TGTTTTATCCTAAAAAAGATAAATGTAGTCCAATGCTCCAATTCCTTTGCAGGTAGAGCAGAGTTGAAACAAAGCGACCACAGACCCGTAATCGCTATTATCGACCTAGAAATCAGAAGCATTAACGAAGACATGCGCCAGAAGGTATTTTACGAAGTAATCGCGGAAATGGGACCGCCCGATTCAACCCTGATAGTCAACTCCGAGGGTGATGATGGCGAAGAGTTCGTGTTCGACGATAACATGGTTATGACCCTTCTTGAAGAATTCTCCCAATTCGGAGAGACTACATTGGTGCGATTTGTCGGCGATACGCTCTGGATAACTTTTAGAGAGGGCCAGATGGTCTTGGAAGCGTTAAAGAAGACAGCTGGGAAGATACAGGTGCTCTATATTACCTGTAGTTATTAGAAATGAAACTAAATTTTAAACTTTTCTAGGTGAATGGTGTTAATTTGTGTCTTTCCTTGAAGACATCCAATTGGATAGAGCAAACTAAAGAAGAAATTAAACTATGCTCTTGTAATGCTACTCCTCTATACGTGGCATCGAGTCCTTCTGATTATAATTGTGAGTAAATCGGTATATAAGTATATAACAACCCAATGAAATTTATTGAAAAATTTCAGGTTTAGGCATTCCAGAGGTACGAAATATGCCGCGTTCTGTTCCTCCAAGTCGCCCACCGCCTCCGTCTGTTAAACCCACTTCACCGATTTCAAGAGCAGCTCCGCCTAAAGCCAGAGTCATTAGCATGCCATTAATTCCCCAAAAACCGTCTGCTGTTCTTCAGGCCAGCACGTCCGATTCTCCACCAAACATCCCTCCGCCTGATTTACCACAAGAGGAAAGTGTCTATGAAGAGATAAGCGATGATGTGACGAGTGCTCCGGAACCGTCAGGACCGCCTCCGCCTCCTCCTCCAAGACCCGAAGCTAATTTACCACCTACACCTTCAAGGGGACCTCCGCCTGTTCCTGCGCGATCGGCGCCGCCTCCGCCATTACCAGCAAGGCCGAGACAGTAGAAGGTTTCGTTCGAATACTAATATAAATACCTGCATCAAATGGATTAGGCTAAAAAGGTTACTTAACCAGCTTAATTAATGTGTAGTTACGATGACTAGATGTATAAAAATATTTAAGATTATTTGGTATTCTGTAAGTGGTGGATTTGTGATGAGCATTTATTCGCGATCGTAATTTACGATTTCACCTAATTTTCTCGAATGTATTTATTTATTTTTTTAAAGAAACATTCCTACTTATGTAAATTTGTAAATAATAAGGTTCTGATGAATTTAAATTCGATACCTACCAATTATGTTATTACTTTAATTAACAATGGATCAAATATAGATGTTTAAAAAAGGGATTAATCGAATATTGTAAGATTTATGAAAAATTGGGTCGAAATTGATATGAACTAATGGGTTAAATAAGTTAATAATCGATAAAATCAAAGAACTCGTTATGTATTCCACACAGATATAGTGGTAGTTGGCATTTGCTTTGTTATTTTTTGAAACAAAGTGTACACTTTTTGGAAAAGTTGATATCATAATCTATAAAACATAAATGTTATGCAATAGTTTTTAGTTATGATTATAGAAAATTTCATGTCTAAAATATGTCGAGGGTGTAGCAGCGCTTTACCCGTCTGGTTATCTTCGTAGGTACTTACGCAATAGGTCAATACTTAAAATAGGAGTTACTCTTATAAGAAAAATGAATATTCATTCAATATTTTAAATTTAGCTACGTACCTCATGTTTTTTCGTGCAAAATATTTTAGAAATATTAAATGATATTGTTAATATGAACACCTACTAGAATTCATTAAAGAAAATACTATTTTGTGTGCAATAACTAGTACTGTCTAGAAAATTGGTTTGTTAATTTTTGGAAGATTTTAAGTTTGTTTTGTACATACTTTATTATTTATTGTTTTATTTATTAAAAGTCTAATATCTACAATGCATTTTCTTTTAGTCACACCCTTTCATAATTATTTCCTTCGAAGCAATTTTCTATGTTACTACCAGTTCAATTAACTTATATTTTTCTATCGTATAAAGTAATTAATCTGGAGGATTTTCTCGAAATCCGCAGAAAAACTAAAGCACGCATGTTATAAAGGGCAACCAGGTATAAATAAAATGAATAGTGGAACAAGATGAATCTTTCCTAAGCAGGCGGAATCGACAAACACAGAAATGGCTCCCTGGAGATCTCATATAATAAACGAGAATCTTTTGCGGCACGTTACTGGTGAAAAAATTGGCTGCATTCGCCACTTCAAAATGAAATCTAATTTATAAGGTTTTTCTGGCCCACTAAACCCACGAAATGTGCTAATAAAAAATTGTTGTATAGGGGAAAAGATTCGTTTGTTCTATTTATGTATATAAAAATAACTATTAGTCTACAAATTTAAATTGGGGCTAACAGAAATAAACAAAATATAAGATTCGATTTCAGAATATCCAAAAATTTTTAGTTGAAATTGGAGAAAAATATAAATTCAAATCATATTGATAGACATTATTCCCTATAGTATTTTTTCAATTTGCAATATGGTCATTTCTATGAGTTTAACAAAGAAATATTAGTAAAACAACAGTTGTTAGAGTGAAAACAATGACACAATATCACTCTTTCTTTTTCATTTATAAATATCTCATGGAAGTTGTCTTTATCGCACTCACAGCCATTATAACCTGTATTGCAAACTGAAATGAATCAATCTGTATATCTACACGATTACCTAAGAGTGTCCCAAATTGAACTTAATACGTCCAACTTTCGAATTGTCTATGATTTCAAGTCGCATTGATAGTGTACATAACTTTATTTTTAGTGTTTTTCATCAAAACGACAAAGAATTTAAAAAAACAAAAATTAATTAAAAAAATCTGTAACATTCTAAGGGAGCATCATCCCTGATGAACCCTTTAAAATACCTATAAAAATAGAATACTTTTACATTATACATTATTTACTTATACATTAATTGATATCCATCTCCCCTAAATATCGATTAATGCTCTTAATACACTAATAAGGTATACCAAATTTAGTTGTTTTAAGTTCGAGTATTACTGAATTAATAATTTTTAATTTTAATTTTGTAACTCCACTTTGAAGTCCTATATAAATTCACATCAATATAATAACTTTAGGCTACCCTACACGCCCCTGCTCTAAGTCAATTCTTATGCGGGACACCCTGTATACGAACATTGATTTAATCCAATTTGAAGTTAAAAAGGGTGTAGTTTTCAAATTATCGACAATTTTGTTACTCAATTATATCTCGCTTTACATTTTTTATTATTTTAATGATCCTCTCTGCTGTTTAAAACGCCACCAGTGAACTCTTTTGTGATAGTGATTATGTGTGCACACATACGTGTATACGATCCTCTATGTAATGAATAATAGGGGGTGAGCTCGGTACCTATTTGTGTACACGATCAATTATAATTTTTCCCTTTAAGCGATTATGCCATTCAGACGCTTACCCCAAGTAATCTTAAAACTGTTGAAAATCATCATCCTCCCTTAACTACCCGAGGCTTAGTTACAAATTACAGGTTTTAAACCTTGTATTGTTAAAATCCTAAATGCAAAATCCTGGCATATAAACTAAATATTTACATAAAAGTAGGATGGTATATTTAAGAGTGTACACTTTGTTTCTATAAATTAATTCAATCAGTAAAAATAAGTATTGGAGTAATCCCCTTTAATAACAAAGTCGACAGATTCGCATGGCGTATTCTCGCAATTTAATTTCAAATCGAATTTCCTTGGTTAAAAATCATTATCTCAGGGTAATTGAAAATAAAGCGCAGTGACGTGTCGGTGTTCATTTAACGACGAACACGCTCAGCTAGGCGTATAGTTTGACGTTCTATTTCATTCTACGGTCAATTCAGAGCGTGTGGGATGGTTAAGAGTAGAAGGGAATACACTAACTTTGTCCCTGGGGATCCCATTGCGGCTTTGGCGACGCGGGAATACATACATTATTCATCCAACATTCAATTATATCTCAAATCTGCACTATGTTTTTTATGGTTACTTTTTCCACATTGCCCACGTTGTTTTCCAGACATAAATTTCTTTGCAGATGGCCTTTAATAACGTTTACTACATAGGTGTTTTATTATATAATTGGTTCAATTATAATACTTTTTCTTTATCTCTTTATCCTTAAATACTATTTGATTTTACTATTACTTTAGGTGGAAGATATATATTTTATTATTTGAAGATTCGTATATGCATGTTTACGTGGCCCGTCAAAATAGTCCAAGACAAAACAGCCCCGACAAAATAACCCAAAGACTAAATCGCCCAAGACAAAGTAGCCCAATGACAGAATCGCCCAAACACAAAATAGCCTGAGACAAAACAGTTCCGATAAAATTAAAAGCATGCACAATTTTCCAAACACAAATTTCCAAAGTTTCTAAGACATTTTTTTATTTGGTTCTATCTTATCGGTAAATTATAATTCCAGTGTATTTAATGCAATAAGAGACTTCCAGTTGTATTATCAAGAGATATCAAAGATTGAACATTTTTCTAAAAAATAATTAAAAAAAAGTTATATAATTCCCATATATTAGTATTTATCGGTCTGTAGATGGTTTTGTATACTGTCATCATTGCCTTCTTTGATATTTCTTTTTTCATTTAATAATCCCTTTAATTGTTATATGTTATACAATCTTATGTTTTACATTTTAATCCTGATGCCCGATAAAATAACGAATGATTGTCTTAAAAATTGCTCGACAAATTCATTATTATTTGTGATAATTCTTGTATTTACAAGAATGTGTAATTCTTGATGTTTCTCCTAATTTTTTTTTGTTTTTGGGCTATTTTGTCAGTGCTGTTTTATCTTGGGCTATTTTGACGAGGTACCCACAAATATATTATGTGGTATTACATGAAGATACTAGGGTAAATTATATCAAATTACCCCAATTTCTTATCATATTTTTGATGATTTAATGTGTATTGAAATTTTTAAAGTTTAATAAGGCTACGGGATAATTATCGTCTATCTAATTTATAAGTTAAATGTAAAAATTTTTTAGCAGAATTAGGCAGAAAAAGTCTTTAAATATCTAGCATTACTGTATGGAAATTTTAAAAACCTCCGAGGATGTAATTTGCAAAAATATTTTTATAATCTTACTAATAATACAACTAATATAAAAGTTGACTAGATTGTATTTTAAATTCGTAAATCCTTATACGTTAATTACATATATCAGTAAGATAATTGTGTTGTCCAAAATTGTATTTTCATAATCAATTTGATATTGTGTGGAATTTCCAAATAATCAATGCAGTAGAATAAAAATCGTAATATGATGGAAAAAAAATTGGAGAGAACAAAGACAAAACGAGACGGGAAATGGGAGATGGGAGATGAGAGCGAGCCAACATCGTAATGTGGGTTGGTTTTTTCAATTATAAACTCTATTTGGCTTAGCACAGATTGTTGTGTAATCAGTTTAGCTCGTTACGGGCCGCGAGCATTCGACAGTAAACTACATCGAGGAACAATCTAACTAAAGCAAACCTAAACCTAAACCTTAACTGGAGTAGAATGATTGCATTTTCGAACCGGCATCTGTCTCGAACTTATTGTTACATCGTTACTCACAAATATTATTCATCTTGGAATTGTATATTTATTTTCATCTCCCGTCTTGGGAGCTTTGCGCTCTCCCTCTTACTCAATATTCCATATTTATTTAAATTACTTTCGCGGCTGCTCCTGCTTCATATTATCAACCGCTAATTTTTATTTAAGGCTTTTGTCTTCCAATTATGTCACTAATTAAATAGTAGATGTACAAGCTTATTAATTTCACTACAATATAAATCCAAATTACGGTAGTTATTTAAATCAATCGAAAAATTCGTTAATTAAAAAAGCGCAGAAGTATTTAAAATTACATTACTAATTACAATTCCACGTAAACTGTACATCCCTGTTTCGATTCGAAAAGTATTATTCATAAGCCGCTTTAAATGAGTTCCTCAAATTGGTATTTTTCTGTATAGCATCTCCTTAATTTTTATTTAAAACGTAATTGTAATTCGGCCGCTCCACTTTTCTAAATGAAATACACCATCTTCACATTAAAAGGAAATGCTCTTTAAAAAGAATTTAATGAGCACAACGACTGACGATGCCGGGAATTATTACCAATAACTTCAATGTGAATAACAAATAATAAATCGACACTGGGAAGAGAGTACATTCAAATCCTTGCAAATGACGCCTGAGCTCTTAGATTAGGTCTCAAAGATTAGGTCTCAAAAGACATATGTTCTAGTTTCTCTCGATAAAAGCATTTTATAATTATAATTAAACCGTTTTTTGGTACGCTGTGATATATTATTCGTTAAATGAATTTGGTACGTTGCAAAATTGGGAATGATACTATTATTGCAATAACAAGCGAGATACTCTTTATCGTATCTGTGTACACGCGTTTTCGGTAAATGGACCAGATGATATACGCCGCAGTAATAAAAGTATATCAGAACAAAAAAATTGACGCGTGGCACGCCGAAATAATAACCACTTTGTCGTAACAAGCACGTGTCGAGCATTATGCTCAATTTATAGCCCTACTTACCTATTTCACAGCCCCTTATTTTTTAATTGTTGCGTTCGTTAGAAGTGCGGCCAACGATCATCTCTTACTAAATGTTTAAAAATTACATTCTGCGTTCGATCCCACTCGAATTTTCTGTACACAACACGTTAGAAATTAGTAAAATATCAAAATTCGGACAAAATATATATCTACTGAACTAATTTTAACAGGTTTCTAATATGAACCCTCCGCTGAAGGGGTTCGCTAATCTTATTTGCATGAACTATATTTACATATTTTCTACTAGTTAAATGTCCTTATTCCTAGATATCACTATATTTGCATTTTAAAATATAGTTTATTAGTCCATCAGAATTCAATTTTACAATCAAATTAATTCAAAAATCAATGATAATGCTTCGTATAATAGAAAATTATTTGTAATGATATTCCAGAGTTTATTTATTAATTAATATGCCTGAATATTGCATTAAAAATAACAAAATAAAATGTGTATTATAGTGATAAATATAATTTTTGCTCGACATTTATACTAGACTAGATTTATAGATGAATTGAATTATGTAATAATTTTAATAACTTTGCACCAATGTTTCTACAATTTTCCTTTTTAGCTTTTCGATGAATAATTTTCGTTTTTCGTGTAAAGAGCTCAACATAAAAACGTTCTTTAACGACTTAAATGTGTTAATTTCCTTCAAAGAGAACGTTTGAAAAACATCTTAAAGAAGTCTATACATAAGCGAATACACATTTTTATTTTCACAAAAATAGAAAGAAAGCAATTAATGCTAAAAAAACAAATCTCGTTTACAAAGGTAAACTACCTGTTTACTCGAAATTGAAAAGGAGAAATCCGTTGTATAAGGAAAGATTTATTTTTAAATTAAGGTTTTCATTCAAAAAATCAATACACAATTATGTATTACTGCAATAATAGGAGGTAACAAATCGATGGATGTATAAAATACATTTTATGAGAGATATTGTTTGTGAAAATGTGGAAAAATAATGACAAAACAATTTTTACGAGTAACATATCGGCTATTCGATCGATAATATCCAATTTTTTGATGGGCATCCTAAACCGTAGAACGGCCGATGAACATGGTTTCAATCACAGTAAATACCATTATGTAAGCCAGAGTGTATTCATGTGCAATAAAACCCTAGCGCTTCAATTATATCTATTATTGTACTACGGAGAGACGCGAAGGAGATAATCCCGGATTTTAACATGTAATAGAAGGAACTTCCAAATGTATGTAACATCCATATCCTTTTAGAAAGTTCAGTTCGAGAAATGTATAAAGGACTTAGTACTAGAGGATTTTACTTACTTACTATGTACCAAGTAATTAATAATTAAAGAGTTAGGGTGGAGGATAATAAAATTAATGAAATTAATGAATGAGGCTTTTATTACAAAAATATCTGAAATTTCAAATACGAGTAAAAATGATATGTTTATGGATGGCAGATTAGTGTGGATTATATTATTATTATTAAAACGTAAAATTAAGCTTTAAATCCATGAACATTTGCAATTTCTTCACCAATTTATTTGTATTGGTATTTAGATACTTCAATTAATTTGGAATTAAAAGGAAATAATTTCAATTATTCAATAAAAAGTATGGAATTTTAATCAGGAATCTTCACAATGAAAGACAAATACAATTATTTCCAAAAAAATCAAAAAGAAAAAGAGTAGGATCATATTTTGATATAGGTTCATCAGCAAGGGTATAAACCTATGATTAAAATAATGATAATAAATATACAACAATATGCATATAATATAAAGAATTATACAAAATAATAGTGAGAAAATGAATACAACTTATGATCTATTTTTTAGTTAACAACGAGTTACACGATATACGAAAAAAAAATTGGTAATATTAAAGTATTTTATAAAAAACCGCATCTTAACCAACATCATCTCCACCCGGAAGGACGATCGAATTAAAAAATAGAAAAACCCCGTAAAAACAGTAGTTATGCTTCGCATTTTCGAAGAAAAGCGCTGAACTGTAGCTAAAGTTCCATTGGTCAATTATTAAGGGTTGGAAATATTTCCGTTCTGTCAATGCGGATTCGGCCTTTTGATTGGACAAAACCGAGGGTAGAAGTGTAAACACAGCCCCTATTCACAGTGTTAGGCGGAGCTTCGGAAGTGTGATTTCCTCCGTAACAAATATTGTCATTTCTGTTCCAACAGTTGTGGAATCCGAAACGCAGGGAAGTTTCGGGAGTTTTGTGTTTAACGTTACATGCGATTGAGGTTGCAATTTTTGATCTTTAAACAGTATGTGAGTAAAAAATATAGAAACTTTTTTAAATAGCTTGTATGTAATTATATCTAAAAATTAGTTTTATATAGTTAGTAAAAAATAGTAATTTTGTAGAATGGAATCTATTAAACCTAGAATGACAGAATCGCAGTCTAGTTTATTGCCGAAGAAAGAATTAAGTCCCAAACCGAACCAGGTATGGAAAACTTTATTTTTAATAGTTTGTGCTTTTTAATTTATTTATACGACTATAAGTTTCAGGTTTCGACTGTTATATTATACGGTGTACCGATTGTTTCGTTGATAATCGAAAACCAAGAACGGCTCTGCTTGGCTCAGATTTCCAACACTTTATTGAAGCAGTTCAGCTACAATGAAATCCACAATCGACGAGTCGCACTTGGTAAGAACACCGTTGGTCAACATGCGGAAAATATTTATTCGTCACGTTTTATAGGAATAACTTGCGTCCAATGCACCCCGGTGCAATTGGAGATCCTTCGAAGAGCCGGCGCGATGCCGGTGTCTTCCCGAAGATGCGGAATGATAACCCGCAGAGAGGCCGAGCGGCTGTGCAAGAGCTTCCTCGGCGACAACGATCCCCCGCGTTTGCCGGACGACTTCGCTTTCGCTGTCCACCACGAATGCGCTTGGGGCTGCCGGGGCTCCTTCCTACCCTCACGCTACAATTCCTCTAGGGCTAAATGCATCAAATGTGTAGTGTGCGGTTTGTTCTTCTCGCCCAACAAGTTCATATTTCATTCTCATCGGCTAAGTGCTAGCGATAAATACGTTCAACCAGACGCGGCCAATTTCAACTCGTGGAGGCGCCACATGAAGCTCACCGGGAATCCCCCGGAAGAAATAATCCACGCGTGGGAGGACGTGAAAGCGATGTTCAACGGCGGCACGAGGAAGCGATTGCTGGCCTCGTCTTTGATGTCGCGGGCCCCGAAACAGAACAAAATAGAACCGCAAACGCAGCCCATCATCCCGGCGCCTAGAATACCTAATTGCCAGGACATCCCGTTGCCGATATCCAGAGTAGCCATGGATTTCATATATCACAAACCGCTGGCTTTCTCTTCTTACTCTTCTTTTCCTTGGCTGAAACGCAATCCCATACTCTTCCCGCAGGATAATCCGTTCTTTCCCATCGACAAGGCTTATCAGTCCGCTTTCAAGCCCGTGCAGCCGATTGTCGAGCGGCCTGTCTCCCAGAAGGACGAAGAAAGTGACGACGATGAGGTCGATATCGAGACTACGGATGAAAAAACCGACGGTGCTCCGACGTCCTGGGATTTAAAGGAGGAAAAGGTCAGTTGACTATTTTTTTAGTCTGTTATGTACGCATTTTCGATAGTAACAACATTTAAAAGTTTTCATAGATTAAAATATCATTTTTATCATCATTTGGTGTTAATGAAAGGGTGTGAAAAGGGTGCGACGGTAAAATACACTTCGCAACTGGCACATGTACTGGCACATTCAAATTGTTTTGCCGTTTGTTAGGTACTCAATAATCTCTTTAGTATTGTTGCGTTTCATTAGTTCCCATTTCATCAATTGAGTAAAATTTACCTGGGTTATGTCCCGATTCGTCGGAAGTTGAATATCTAATGCAACCTAATTAGTCATTTCGTCAGTTTGATACCTAATGTTAAATATTTATAGTTATATAGAAAAGGGTTAAAATACTCAAAAATTACGGAGTCCATTTGATTTAAAAACATGTTGGCCACTTTATCTTGTCTAAGCAAGTCAGACAATTTTAAACGCCCTGTACATGGACCATAAAAATCGAGTTTGATTTCATTTAATAATGTGTCTGGTCATTATCGATAACAAATTTCAACTAACGACATTCAAAGATATCGTAGAAAATGCATTCGACTGTATTTTTCCAAAAAATATCTAATAAAATTATATAAATTATTTGTGCATTTTTGGCGGCGTATGAGATTAGTATCAAAGTCTAGTTAAAATAAAGGGCTAAAGAATCCAAAAGTTATTTAAAAAATAGCACTTTCCATTTGAAATAACGAAGTTAACGTCTATAACTTCCGATACAACAGGAAGTCCATATAACTTTTCTAATGAAAGTTCTAATGAACGGCTTTACCGTGAAAAATCTTGTAATAATGTAATAATTAATATTCATGAATGAATACAAACAAACTGGGAACATTGAATATTTCTTATTTTCTCTTAAAAGTCCTGGGAGGAAATATAATAATAATTTGAAAATCATAATTATTTAAAAAATTACCTGCTTATAACTAATTAGTTTCAGTCAAATGATAAAATGCTATAACTGATGAAACGTATACAAATCATTTCTTTCACCCATTTTACTTAACGTATTTTCTAAATATCTAAATTAAGTTGGAATTAATCAAGGGTATTTAATAGGGGTATTAAAGGAGATTTATTCTGTTATAAGCGTCTTAATGGAAAACAATTATATAGCACATATGACGATCGCACAAAGGTACAATGAATACTTCAAAGAAGGGGAGAAATTGATACAACTATTAATAGTTATTCCCTCGGTAAAATCTGCATGCAAAATTATTTGACGTGATTTACTCGTATTTAGTGTGTTTCATATTTACTAGCACGAATACATATAAAAACAATAGAGGAGACATTTTCTGACTAAAAATAGTGTCAAATGAAGTTAACACGTTGAGCATACATCATAATGACCAGGAAATCAAACACAAGATAAAGCGATTAATCTAATTAAATGACTTAACTAATTAACTAATCACCTAGGGCTGCAATAATCGCTTGCAAAGAGGATGGGCTACCAAAACTAATTTTGGTGTAGATTGATTGCGAATTCGAATAAAAAATATGAATATCTTTATACTCGTACATTACACTATAAAACATATATTCAAGAGAACTTTAATTATTTTTTGTGCCTGTAAAATTATGCTTCCATATAAAATTTTAGTCAATCGTTATTAACTAAATTGTAAGTACCTACTCATATATTATGTATACAAAAAATCTTACATAAAAAACACAAATGCAAATGCATGTTGAAAATTATCCGCACGGGAAGCAGTTTTTAAGTAAACTAATTAATTACACCAAATACACAATGAATTTATTTAAAATAATTAATTCATATACCTATAACACGACCATAATGGAGAAAATATATGTAATCATATTATATTCAGATCCATATTAAATTGAAATACACACACAATAAATCAAAAGTCATTACGTTGATGGGAAAAGTAATTCAGATGAATAGGCACAATCCAAACGATATTATGGGGCTTAAAATGTCGGTAAATATTCAACCTAAATATAAATAGATTGTACAGGGTGTGTTGTCATTTCGCCACCCTTTCCCCCGATTAATGTGTTAGTGTTTTTAATCAAATGTAACCTAATACTTAAGTGTTTATGTTTGACGGCGGCGAAACCTTTCAAAATGATTAAATGTAAACACCTTGTGACGATCGACGTTTTCCTATATTAAATTTGAATTATTTATTCGCCACTATGCAAGTATTTTTTTATTGCGCTCGAATAAATTACATAATATCTGCTAAATATTTTTTAGATCGTATTATTTTTTTGGAACGATCTATGTAGGTTGAAATGTAAAATTTAGGAGATCGACATGAATGCAAGTAGGTATAAAAAGAAGAAAACCTAGTAATGGATTTCCGTATTATGAAATCTTGAACCATTATTTTTAGGGGAAACGATCCAAGACTAACACTTAAGTTCTTTCGAAATGACCCTGTTATCTTGTAAGTGTACGTGTCCTGTTTAGTAATATAAAAAAGCAATCATGTACAAAATCAGCATCGGTATCGACTGTTTGTATGTTTCCTAAGGGACGCATTTGTCCTCTACTGGCTGGCTGCCGACTCCCTCAAGAATAAGAACTCATTTAACTTAGAATGTTTATTTATTTTATTATTGGTGCAACTAATGCGAATTACTTTGCTTTTTCAATTTTGCTCAAAACTTTTCAGACTTAACGGTTAACTGATTTTTCAGTCTGAATTTAGTGAATAAAACTTAAAAATATATCAAAATTAAATTGGAAACGTTGATTTTAATGTTAATTCTAATAAATTATCCTGCTACTTTGAGGTCTTAGTAAAAATGCATCTGAATGCTATAATGTAAGGTAAATTTGAATTCATACGCTTAGTGAACATGAAAACTCGAAGCCCAGAACCCCAACAGCATTAAATTCTCAAGGGATTACAGATATTCTATTAGAAGTTAGTACTCTCGAGTTTAGAGAAACAATCAAAAAAGGCGTTTGGGTAAACGAATAAGAAGTAAAAAAACTTGCCCTTTTATACAGCACATAAAATATCTATTAAAAATTAGAAATTTTGAAAAACATTAAAATTATTGTGCGTTCTTAATATAGCAACAACTAAAGTAATAAACGAATAATGTTTGGTAATAGGTAATAAAAGTCGAAAGAGCGAAGGAAACTTTTTTCTTAAATTACACTATAATTGAATTTTTGTATTTGCGGAGATTTTTCATGGAACATATTTTTAGCGCAGTTAAGTTAAAATGAAGCAATTTAAATGCGAACAATATGCCTTTGTTCAATCAATATTGAACCGAAAGAAGTAAGAAGTTTTTTTTAGAACGGATTCCGATTTTAATGCAATCGGGCTACTCAATTAAACATTCAAAGTAAATAATGTTGTTAAACTAAATTTAACTTTGCCGCTCGTGAAATTAGATTCGAAAAATCGACCAGATTTTTACGTGTACGTGCGAATTAGGTAAAATTTTATCGCCGACTTACGCTTATGTTAATTTATTTTTGAGCTAATAGATGTTGTTGCAGTATCAAGAACAACAGGGGTGGCTAGCTATTATGTAAATTTTAATTACTTTCTAAGAACTGCTGAGTGATTCGGTACGGAGGTCCCTAGTTTAAAGTTACCCTCACGGTTTAGTGCGGCAATCTTTAAAAATGGCTCGTTACTTTTTTTCACTGTCACATCGAATTAACGAAATCGTCCGTTTTTCCTGCCCTTAGGTACAATTTGTTTGACTTTATTAACATTACCAGTATTCTATGCTTTGATCGATCGAATGGTAAATTCTCATTCCGTTAATTTAGATAATACAAAATAGTTAATTATTTATACAAGTTGATTTACCTATCGAATCAATGTAATAGTGTTACTAGGCCAATTTCGAAACCCCATTATTCCGGGTGTTAAAAATCTCCACGTGTGCATGTCTATTGTAATTTTATTAAAACGACAGCTCAATGATTTTCTAGCAAATTGGTGTTTAAAAATGCATATAATGCAATGAGATTTTATAATTCCAGTAGGCAAACAAATTCCTAACCGAATAGTACATTCGACGTTCCTATTATTAAAGCATAAAAGGGATTAAATGGTGTTAGCTGGAACATTTGGAAAATGTCAAGCGCTGACCTTTTTTTACTCCGCGAAAATTAAAGTAGCCGTTAGTCAAGCCTGAAATTAAATGAAACTTATAACGGTGCCGAAAACTGAAACGTGATATTCTTAAACATACGTTTTAATCATTGGAAAAGGTTACATGTCTCTTATCAATGAATGTTTATAATTGATGTCTGTATAGGGGTAACAAAACAATGACTATATATTTAGTAAAGAGGGTTGTTCAAAATTTGTATAGGTGAGTTTAATATCCAGTTCCCGAGATATCGCTTAACAACTGGATATTTTTAGACTCGTGGGTTGATAAGCATGGTGCTTTTGGGTGGGCATTCCAAAATAGGATGTGTGAACTTAAGTGCTTAAACAGAAATATGATTTCGCGTTTAGACAATACTATAAAGTAGTTTTGAGAACGCTAGATTTGAATAAACTAGCATATAATCCACATAATGTTTTCACAAATTCCATTAAATCTCATTTAATCTACCCCTCATGCGGACGTATTAACTTACATTTCAAACATTTCAAAGCGGAATTTTAAAATTGTTGAATTGAGCGATTGAAATTCGTTTTGTTGAAACGATTCTCTTGTTTTAATACCGTTAATCCAAAACGAACTTGAATGGAGAACGTATATAATGAAGGATAAATATCCCAATGATTATTCTGTATTTAAATAAACGGCGCTCTTTATTCGTCGGGCTTTCATTATTTGAATACGAGACACAGACGTTTCGCAGCAGAAATCCATCTAGTGATTTTTGAGTTTTTCCCTAAGGGAGAAGTCAGACACTAAACGGGTGTATGCACTGAGTAAATTCAATACTGACATTGTGTAAATTCAGTTCAGATATTTAAATATTCATACGGCTATAGAAACACAGTAATTAATCTATTGTTATACAAACGTCAATGTTCATTGTAGTATCGTATTCTATATAATTCGTTCGTTTTAATGTACTCCTACTCGTAAGAATTCTATTGTATCATGTTCCAATATTATTCTTTACATGGGTTTTTGTCTATGCTTCAAAAGATTTAGTCAATGACCAGTGACGTTCAATTATTTAGGTAATTTGTTTAATAGATTAAAATTAATATTTTATAATTACAAATAATTAAAAACGATAATAAAAAAAATCAACGAATTAATATGCAAACCACAAATAATCACTTTCAAAGAATTTATGCAATATAAAAAAATCCGAAACGTGCACATGTATTTCGTGAAAATAATAATATACGAGTAGTAATCGTTATCAATAAAAATCTGGAACTTTAACAACTGTTACCTATTATTACAATATCCACATGAAATTATGCTATGAAAGTAGTCAAATATTCAATATCTGTCACGCTAATCATTTTCACGTAATGAAATCACTTGCCACAAAGACTTAACATTATGGCTTTGTCTCTTTTTCGCTTTTATCTATAAAACCAACATAAATAAAAATTGATTATGCCGCTATTGTAATGAAACCGTATGAATATTTTAACAATTCGTTTAGAACAATGTCATTGGATAGTTTTCAATGAAAGCAATTTAATATCCTCGGATTTGATTTTAATTTGAGCATTAAAACGTGGTAAATTTTACTATTTGAATGAATAATTTAAATTACACGAATAGGCTTCATATTTTTTATAAATCTGCTTTTTTGGCGAGGTGATATTTTACCTTCAAATTGTTATTCAGCTAATTGTTACATTTTTAGTACCATTCTATTGCTGTTATATTATAGGTTGCTTCATCAGAACTTCCTCCTAGCCCTCACCCAACACCAGAGCAAAGAGAACAGAAAGAAGAGATGTCGGCAATATCACAAAAAATTTGGAATCTCTCGAGATTATCATTCGACGGGACGGACCGAACGAACTTTCTGTACAGAAAAGACTTGCATCCGCATTTTTTAATCGAATCTGAAGGTAATATCATTTTTATTATTATCTTCCTTAATTGCTCTTTCCTATTTAGTGTTTTTTTGTATCTAAGTGTTAATGTCCGATAAATAAATTTTTCGCTTACCTATACACTCTTTATCGATTTTGACGGATCGAATTCAAATTGGAGGACTAAAGGTGTACTTTACGGAATTGGTATGTTGTTTACAAAAGCCACAAACGCTATAATTACAATCAAGCAGAATGAGAAAGGTGTAAGTGAACTTCAGACAGTATTCATTTCTAAGCGGATCTGTTAATTTCCAAAGTGTAATCAAATCCCGTGTAGCGCGTACTTTACCTGAATAAGTCTCAATTTAATTGGTACGGATTTTGCAAACCTCTATCTCACTAAACTCCTTGTATGAAAGTGTGCGGGATGGCTTTTTCTCATTCAGCAGGATTACGTATTACGTTATTTCTAGCAGTAATGTACACTGTACTTAACGAGATGTTACTGTAAAATCTACTTTGTAGTACAATTTATAACTTATCTATGTTGAATGCAAATGTACTCATTTACTAATGAATCATTTTTTTATGTTTAATATTCATTGATATTTTTTCAGAAGAGCCCTCATCCATGATAAGAACTGCAATGGGGATGGGGTTAGGACTTAATCTGAAGCCGAATGTCGATTGTTCGACTTGCTTGAATCATAGCAATAGCATTATTCTCCCGCCGGAAACCAGTAGTAATAAGATTACATAATTATCTTTTCAAAAAACGACTATATTTATTATTTATGTTATTTACGTAGGAATTGAAAGTGCAATATAAAACCTTTGTATTTATTATGTAAAATAGTAGTGAATCGTAATGTTATTGGATCTCATCTAAATAAATGACATAATTACTCAGTTCACTTGGTGTTTGATTCTATATTTTTAATCCATAATCTCCATATACCTAAAGATACCCAAAGAGATACCCAAAGGTATCCAGTCAAAATAGACCAACACAAAATCGCCCGAGATGGAACAGCCTCGACATAATAGCCCAAAAACAAAATAGCTAGGAGAAAAACGTATCACAATACAAAAATTATTATAAATCATGAATTTATCTAGCTATTTTTAGGACAAAATCAGACGTTATTTTATCTGGCATCAAGATTTTATAATATTGCATTAAATAAATGAAATAAGAAATATAGAGTTTTGTAATTTTTTCAATATTTTTTGGAAAAACGTTCGATCTATGATATGATATGATATAATCTATGATATCTCTATTAATAAAGCAACTATAAACTAGAAGTTTATTATTGCATTAGATAAAATGAAATTGTAGTTTACCATACAATAGACCAGAATGAAAAAATGTCTTGGAAACTCTGCAAATCTTATAAAATAATGTTTGCTTTTAATTTTACATAAAACTGTTTTGTCTCAAGTCTCAGGCTATTTTAGGTTTTTTGGTTTTTTTATACCAGTATTATTTTTTTCTTTTGCTTAATTTATTAAGGGTCAATTTTCAAAATCTTGCTGTTATACTTCCTAATAAATATTTTGTATAAAATAAATTTGGGTTGACCGCGTACTAAACCAGATACGATAGGGTAGGCCGCATACTAGACCGGCACACAATACAATATTTCTTCCTGTTGTAGGGAAGTTGTTTTCGGCAATTATTATTTTTTTTAATTCTTGTTCTGTGTAGGATATTCACTAAATATTTGATACGTAAGCCATCCATTGTTCGAAAGTTCGAATACAGAATATAGGTATTCGTAAACGTATGTAGATATCTGGAGAAACCAGAAGAATAATCAATCAATACTTTACTACTTTAGTTCAAATTGAGAAAATACACAGCAGATGGCTCTTTTTGTTTCTTCTTTTTTATATTTCAGGCCTCAACTACTTAACTACTCAACAAACATGTAGTTTGATAATTATTTAAAATAACTTAAGAGGAGCATTGAGAAAGAAAGTAATCTTATGTCTTATATTTTATCTATGAAGAGGAGCATCATTCAATTACTAAGTGATATTTTTTCCAAAATTTTAATGCACTCAACAGGGTGTTCCTAAACATCGTGTACAACCGAAAGGGGTTGATTCCTTGGCTTATTTTATGACTAAAAGTTCATATAATCGTGGGTCCGCAAACGCTTAGTTGGCAATCTACAGGGTGTTGAAATTTCAATTTTTTTTTGGTTTTTTCTTTGTAGCACCTGCAGTTTTTGAGATATTTTTCTCAAATTTTGAATCTAGATTGCTTCATAGGGCACACATTATTGGGTATATCAGATGGTTGTTGAATTCTACAGGGTAATATTTTTTCAGGGGTCATGTACCCTTTTTCCCCGCGAACTTTTTTGCTGTGCGCCGCTGGTGGATTCTAAAATACAAAATTAATTGTTTGTTTCGTTTAGAAACTTTTTTTATTTTTAAACTTTTTTCGTTTCTGAGACCGTTATCGAGAAAAAAATTAAAAATGATTTTCTGTACAAACGATTTATTTTACAAAACAAAAATCCTAAAAAATAACTATTAAATTACATTATAATAAATGTTGAAAGTGACCCCTCCTACTCAAATTACACTTTATACCTTATATTCCATACCTAATTTGAGCTAAATATCTCAAAAACTGCAGGAGCTCTAAAAAAGAAACAAAAAAAATCTTGAAATTTCAACACCGTATAGATCGGTAAGGAAGCGTCTGCGGACCCACATTTATATGAACTTTTAGTCATAAAATAAGCCTGGCATTCCTTGGAATCACCCCCTTTCGGATGTACACAATGTTTAGGGACACCCTGTATATTAAAAATTAAATTTATATATGTTTATATATATTTATATATGTTTTTTATCGAAGAAACTTTATTTTCCACTAAACAAAGTAATATTTCTGTTTTTTGGAACATTCTTTATAAAATAAAATATATAATATCTTTATAATATAAAATATAAATAAAATTTTATACTCATTCTTGGACAATTCTCTTGTAATACGAAGTTCATGTTTACCTGAATAGGTTCATTATTAATACATACATAGTACATATGTAGATTTATCACCGGAATTTTTAATAAAATTATCTTTTGAATCTAATTATTCGAGAGCGAGCCCCTCGATATCTAATTTTAAAAGCTGAAATGATTTTGTAAATAAAATCAATACAGCCCAAACGTATTATTCATGCACTTGATGCACGTGGTTTATTATTGCCTGGCTACACATACATACGTAATGCGTTGGTTATTGAATGGCCAATTCTATAAATAGGCATGGCTCATTTACCAAGAAACCATAACACAAAATTCGCAATATCGGAATTTCTGTTATTGACAAAATTTGATTAGCGTGGCATTCAATTGCTCTAGCTAAACACCCACGCATTACACCTAGGAAACGCCGGGGTTTTGTCTCCCACCCCATCCGAAACAACCCTCGCGTTTTACAAGTGATTTGTTGCCCTGGGAAGAGTGGTGGGGATTCGCTACGAAGATTCGATTCGATTCTCGTTTCACGTTTCACTTCGTTAGTCGTTACCGGATTTCATGGAGAGTTTGTTTACAAACAGGTGCTTTTACTTCTGTTGCATTCAGTTACAATATCATCAAGAATAATGGGAATGTTGTTGGTGTAAAGGGTGGCTTTCGGCATGTTTTAATCGAGCTTCTGCAGCAGGACAATTGCCAGTTTGCAGGTAGGTTATCGAATCACGTTATTAGCAGTTTCGGTGCCGCTATAACATGCCCATCTCTTTGAGCAAACACGACCCCCGGCTGAGTGGCAAAATGGCAAGTGGCAACTGGCATCCCACGTCTGGGCTCGCACGGCTCGTGCCACGGCTACCTACTTTCGCGAATTCGTGCGACGCACTTTGCATAAAAATCCAAAATTTTAAAAAAAATTTGAATAAAATCCTTAATGAGCATGCTTCTTTTCAGTGCAATCACGATGCATTGACTCGGGAGAGAAGATATATTTTCGTACGGATAAATATTTTACAAGCAAGGAAACATGCATTTCGGTTGGTTTACGAACTTTGTTGTTCGACACCCGTTGGTTGTTGTCACCGTTGTCGCAATATTCTCCGGCTCGTGCATTGTCATACCCATAACATTATCCATAGTCAAGTGGCCCAGCTTCAAGGATCCTCAATTGGTAAGCACATTCTAGATTCTCGATACATTTTTTATAAGATTGTATGCAGATAGAGGTATCTTCGTATTACCACAAGACATGCGGAAACTTATTTATCTAAAATAACACTGAGTGTGTAAGTAGATAAATTTGTTTCTATTTAATAATATTGTTTTGTACAAATTAAGTCAAGAACAATTTAGGCAACTCGTTAAAACAGAGCAATGTCTTGTGTCGAAGACTTCAAATAGAAATTGAACATGTGTGTGTGATTAAATTTCCATATTCACTAATATTTGTTTGGTCTTTTACTGAAAAGATTTAAAGTCTAATATTTTAAGATCATCTGGAAGCAACTTGAAAAATTGGACAGGAACATTTAAAGACATTTAATCTGCTCTTTAGTCAAGCACGTACATCACTCTTACAATCTCCCTCTGTGGAGAATGTTCCCAAATTTATAGGTTAAACATGTAAATGCTCTCAGAAAGGGAGAAATAAACAGTTCTTAATACTCTAAAGGGGTACTTTATCTCTTAAGCTTCTTACCTCTAAAAATGTTTGGTCACAATTATTTCCAAATTTATTAAATTTATTGCCAGTCTACTATGTACTGTGATGTCTCAATTTAGTTTATCAATAAGTTTCAAGTCTTCAACAAAGATTAAGAACAGGACCCCTATGGTTCACCAAAGTTTATCGAGCAGTTTGTCTAAGAACAATTCCCATTCAATACCGTGACTTGTTTCCCGATTGGTAGCAGACAACATTAGAAATATTTTCTTTGTTGTTAAAAAGTACTCTGATTAATTTTGTTTTAGGGTTTCTCCACTCGTGGTACGATAATTGCCAACCGTTTGACAGCATGGAACAATTTGATCAAAGATACTAGCCTGTCTGGTGGATTGACTTCTAATCCGAAAGAAACTAAAGAGATGATGAATAATAGATTCCAGCTTAAGAAGAAGACCAAAGGGACGAGGCCAACTGAGAAACTGAGAGGGAAAAAAATTAAGCATTCTCATAGAAGACCAAAAGATAAACCAGTCTACGGCAACGTATGTATAGATAAACCATTTTATTCCAATTTAATAACCAGTACGAATCATACTACTATTGGTGCAGTTTCAATTTTGAATATTTAAGCAACTAGTAGATGAATATTCAGTGGACTATTCAGATATTTTCATTAATTTTCGTTTAAAAACTTACCTTACTGACATTGGAAGATTCCAAATCGACTACTCGTAGATCAGAAGCGTCAATGCAAAAATTTCGATATCTGTAACCAAAAGTTAAATTAATAACACTTGACTATGTTTTTCTATTAACTATATCAATTCAGCAGAACTATAGATACCAATTAATTGATAAATAATAACTAGAAGAATAACAAATAAATAGAAGTGTTTGCACAAATAGTAGCACATGTCTATATCATCGTCAGTACATCCGGATAATTTCACATTGTTTTTAATATTAACATAGGTATCGTACTCGGAAGACAAAAATTCATCGGCTACTTTGGCCGAATTAAATAGATGGAAGAACGTTCAAAATTTGGAACCAGGCCAAAAGAAGACGCTCGAAGAAAATTACTTTTGTGGAAGTCCAGGTAAATTCTTAAATAAAACTACTTAAAATGCTTACGTTGATTTACCAACAATTTGTTTGTATAATTAGTGGTAATTAGTAACACAAATAATTAGTAATTGTTTTCAGATGAAAGATATGCTCACTTGGTAATCAGCACGAAAGAGCAAAGGGATCTATTTAATTTGGCCGATTTACTTTCTCTCTGTCGATTAGAATACGAGTTGATCGGATTTCCGATATACGAGGAGTTATGCATACAGAATAATTACAGAAAATGTTGCAGAACCTGGTCTCTTCCGAATTTTGTCGCTTACTTTAATATGCGTTCTTCTTGTCTTTCTATAACAGTAAGAGTTTTACCTACTTTGGGCATTTTTCGCATTATAACATTTATTTTGTCCGTAGGCAGAAGATGTGGAGAATGCCAAAAGAATCCTGACACAGTGTTCCAAGTATTTTCATTCCAATGATCTTGATTCTGAATGCTTGCCAAATATACCTTTCGACTGTGAATGTTTACGCAATGATGCTGTTTACAATGTACTAAATTATGTGACATCTGTTTCCTTCTTACCTAGCAACGTAAGTAGAACATTTTGTAATATTTTCCAGGAATGTTTATGATAATTTTTCTTTAGGAAACGGTTGATTCCGATCAAGTAAAGGAAGTTATGCTGTTCTTGCCCTTGGCCTGCAGTACATCTATAATTCCATATTATAATCGTATATCATCAGTTACACTTGATTATAACGACTTGGAAATATTTGCTATCAATTTTGGCATAAAGGACTCGTTGTTTGACATATATGTCGTAAGGGATACATACCTTATGGGATCCGGTGTGTGTTTCGTCTTCATCTGCATTTGGGTATACACGCAGTCATTATTCCTTACTCTAATAACAATATTAATTATTGTATTATCGTTGGGAATATCTTACTTTATTTATGACTTGGTGTTCGATATCCGGTTCTTTCCATTCATGAATTTACTGGCCACTGTCGTTGCAATCGGTTAGTATGTTTTTATGGAGTTGAGCATTATGTATGAAGTGAGTTTCTTTTGCAGGCATTGGCTCAGACGATGCTTTCATCTTCTGCAAAAGCTGGGAGATGCAAAAACAGGATCACGAAGCTGGTTTGGAACAAATAATGAACAATACATTCCATCATGCATTTATGTCTCTGTTTGTCACCACATTGACAACAGCGGTAGCATTTCTGGGTTCTTGCATTAGTGCGGTAACAGCACTGGCTTGTTTCAGGTATGTGCATCACTTTTCATTAATAATCAATCCTACTCTTTCGATTTTTTCAGCATATTTGCAGGAATGGCCGTAATTACGAATTACTTTTTAATGATAACCATCTTTCCGGCGTGTCTCGTCATTTGGGAACGTTCGTGTGTGGTTAAGGGAATGCCAAATTTTATCAAAAGTTGCACACTGACTCTGTGCCAAAAATGGTGCTTCCTGAACGTTCGTTTGAACTTGTCATCCGAAGGTTGGTGCAGGCACTTGAATATAAAGAAGTATTTCAAGACTAAGGAGAACTACATGCTGAGCTACATTATAAGATTCAAATATTTTTGGTGCATTCTATTCGCATTCTTGAGCGTAGCCAGCGGTTACGTCATATTTGTATACCCGAAAGTCCAACTACCCACCACAAACGAATTTCAGCTCTTCCACTCTTCTCATCTGTTTGAAGCATACGACTTCAAGTACAAAGATCATTTTTGGTTCAACCATCCTGATAAGGTAAGGGTACTTAATCTTGGGTAACCATAAGAGGGCGAATAAATCTCTTATTTTTTGCAGAATGCTGAGATTAACTACAAGCTACCCTTGCGTTTTGTATGGGGTGTTCTTCCAATCGACAACGGGAATCACCTAGATCCTACCAATTTAGGAACATTGACATTGGATCCAGATTTTGACATGGCCGACGCTGAAGCACAGGTTTGGTTGCTAAATTTTTGCAGAAAAGTCAGACAACAGCCTTTCTATCAATCCATGATGGGCCCGCTTCTATCGAATTGCTTTATCGAAACCTTTATGAACTCGATGAACAGGAAATGCTTCGATGCTTTCCTGGAGATGGATAGAACTCCTTGTTGCGAAGTATCGAAATTCCCCTTTAACAGAACGGTTTTTGATGGTTGTGTCGAGGACGAGGTTGCCGATATTTACAACACCCCGCCCTCCCTTTTGAATCAAAACATGGCTGGTCCAAAATTTTCTAAAGACCAAAACGACAATAAAATAAAGGCTTTAGTAGTCGAGTATGACAGCACCTACAGTTACACAATGTCTTATGACGAAATGGATAAATTCTATAAAAACGTAGAAGCTTGGATGACAGAGGAACTAAAAACTGCTCCGAAAGCACTGAAAAACGGTTGGTTTATTAGCGATTTGGCTTTTTACGACTTACAACGCGAGCTTAACGCCAGTATTGAAATAGCAGTGATGATCTCAATGGGTTTGGCTTTAGTCGTCATATTTTTATCGACATTGAATTTACTTACAAGCCTTTACGCTGTCATTACAATAGTAAGCAGCATATTCGTTACTATAGCTACGCTGGTTTTGTCCGGATGGAAGCTGAACATCCTGGAAGCAACTGCTATATCCACAGCCATTGGTCTTACTGTAGATTTCAGTCTACATTACACTGTAAACTACTGCATGTGTCCACCGGAAATCGCTAACAACAGGGAAGCAGCTACGAAATACGCTCTTAACTACATGGCCGGGCCTGCATTTATGGCAGCTGTAACTACCGGGGCCGCAGGTGCGTTCATGCTACCGTCTAAAGTCCTACCTTACATACAGATCGGAATGTTTCTTTTGGTTGTCATGTGCGTCAGCTGGGTATACGCTACTTTCATGCTCGGTTCGATGCTCGCTATAGGTGGACCTATCAAGCAATACGGTCAATTCAGCTGGGTCACATTGCTGTCAATATTTACAAGATCTCGGCGACGGGAAAGGTCCTTACCACCTCCTACCGCATTGGTCGAGGCTGATATTCACGAATTGCAATCTCTAACCGTTTCCAGAGGAGAACAATCCACTCCTCCGAGAGCTTTAAAGCGGTCCATGAGCGCAACTGCAGTCAAATACACCCCTGACAAATCCCTTGCAGATCAATCCCCATCAGCAGTTAGTGCTATAACTATCATTATGACAGATGACAATTAAATGTAATGTAATCTTAGAGGTAATTGTTCTGTGATATTTTTAGTTCCGATATTTTTTTACCGTTATAAGCCATTTATATATCATATATGTTTGGATGGTATTTTTATTATATTACGTTGGGTTACGAGAGTATTTTTGCTACATTGAGCACTGGTAAACAACAAACTATACCTTTAGAGTAGTATTTTATTAAAAAAATCTTTTTTATAGGGAACAAAATTATTCGTATCCAAAATATTTATATATTTTGCTATTAGCAGAAAATTCTTTTCTAAAACTCCCTCAATAAAACTCTGTTATTTCTATTTAAAAGACTCATACTTTTACGAGTTCTGTTTTGTTGATTTGGGTCGCAATCCATTTGTCTTTGCAAGTAAAATATATTTATTGTAGGTACATTATGTATGACATTTTCTTTATAGAAGGTACTTAAAACTCGCTCAAATTGTCAGTATTAAATTGTGCCAGTATTGTGGGATTTTACAATATTTTTATTAACGATTTTTTTAGAAAACTTACACTAATTTACATTACTGAAGTTTTAAGACTGTGTTTTTTATATTATTTTTTATATTGTAAGGTAACAGGTTAACCATAAATATTAATGAAGGTATACTTGGGATACACTTCTGTTCAATGTGTAGTAATTGATGTTAATTATTTTATATTCTATTCCCATACAGGGTGACCAGAAAAATCATATATTCCTTTGAAGAGCGAATTATTTAATACTTTGACAATGCAATTGATTTCTTCGAGAAAGCCAATGAGTTAAAAATAAACTTTTCTTGTGCGTTATGCCTGTTTACTACATAACGTATAGAGGAATATAAGTGTTACTTTCGCCGGCACCCTGTATAAATAAATGTGATCATATATAGTTGTATTGTTGCATAACAAATAGGGTTCATGTAGTCCCAAATTATATCAATGTTTAATGTTTAAGTGGATCTACTTATGAAACCCATAAATATATATCTCTTTAATGTTACGACTGTATTTATTTTTACCTTTACCAATATAACATTGCCTATGCATTATTTTCTCCTGTTCTTAATTTAGGGTAAAACAACAAAAATTGATGTCTAGTGTAATAAACGAAAGTTTAATTAACTATTTTTATATAAAATAATAGAGAAATGTACATATGTTACAGAGTACAAAATATAATTAAAAATAGAATAGGTACAATTGTTAATAACAAATCTAAATGTATTTTCTATAATCTGGTAGTCTAAAGGAACTGATACTTACGTTGCAATGTACTTATTGACGTATTTATGTTTGAAAATCTCACGTTAGTGTATATTTCATTTAATAAGGCATTTGGTAGATCAATCAACTGTAGGTATACACAAAACGTTATAGTGGCAAGTATATTCTAGGGTAGGGTATTCGTAATTTAATGTCGAAAGGACTAGGAATTAGCTATACGTTTTTACTAAAATTAAACCTTAGGTGGAATTTCAAGCGTTTTTTTTCAACTTTGATAAGTAGATTTCCAACAAATGCATTAAATAAACTAATAAATATCTTTGGTAATTTCAACTTACATCTACTATCTGTAAGGTCATGATGAAAAATAAGATTAAACAAACAAAAATCAGATCTTTTTAGAATACATTCACAATTATAAAATTAATGAGATTGACTGGCATGAAAACAATGCCTGGGATGATGTGTAGGGCCAAAATTATACAAGTAATCTTTAGGAAAAGAAAAAAAAGGTCCCTAATTTTATATATTCATTAAAAAAATAATTATTATTTTTCAATTCTTAACCTAATTATTTACAAAATACTGTTAGATGGGCTTCACCCGGATGCTAATATATGATTACTGATAGCATTAATTTGCTCAAAACGTTTTTTTGAGGTTTAACAATTACTGTATATCATAATTAAATCTTAAACATTTCTATTGTCGGAAATACATTCAGAAATTTAAAAAAATGTAATCAGTCTTTTTTCCGAAACTCGCTGAAAATATTGGAATTAAAACAAAATAAAATATACATTAAGAAGTGTCGTGAAATACTATTCAAATAATTTCGACATTTCCGCCACATACAAAAATAACGAATGTTGAACACTTAAAAGTTGATAGATTAGGTCGATAAAAAAAGAAGCCATGCAGAATAAATATACGTTAGATAACAAAAAGTGAGGAATTGTAAGTCATAATTTCTCATTTTACTTACCACGAACGTTATATGGTTATACGTAAATATATGCATACATAATATAATATTTAAGTGAAGAACTTGGGCAGTAACACTATCAGTAACATTACTATGTCAGGTGACTTTAAAATATAAATGATTCTAATGAGAAGTAAGTAAAGGAGTCATTTAATTCGAAACAAAATGGAATTCACAGATATGAACATACCTTTGTTGGAATAGCCTGATGAAAAAGGGCCTCCTTGCGATATCGAGATGTAAAAATTAACAACACAAACTAAAATAGCACGAGCGTGAATGTTTATGTTCGAAATTGCCTTCAAACCGGCCTACTGTTATTTGAGGACTTATTTTTCTTATTATGTGCATAATGTCAAGAACTTAACTGTCAATAGTATAATTAGCGGTAGAAAAATCATTACCAACTTCTCAAAAAAAAAATCTCTATATATTTATGGTCACCCTATACAATTGAAAATTAGGTGATGATGTCAGATATTAAACTATCTATAATTAATTATAAAAAACAATGTCCTTATTTTCGTACGTGAAACTTAACATACGAACGTTACGTGTACAATTTTATTCCTTAAAAAACGTTAACACTGCTTAATTGAGATGTTTATGTCCCGACAAATGTAAAACTAACTCGAATAATAAATTATAAGTAATTAATAAAACGTGACTTATTTTGAAGTTGAAACGTTTTAGCAAACAGTTATTTTGGTTTCTGGAAGCTGCCCTAAAATTAGAACATATGTAGACTACATTACGAAAATACGAAAAATCGTCCTAATATACATATATATATTTTTGAACTGCAGCACTCGGTGAAAATACCAGTAAAAGTAATATAAGCAAATAACTAAAATGTCCAGTTATTAAGAAAGATATATTTCTCAATATAGAGAAAACATCGTCTCATATTAACAACTACCTATTTACAAAAACAATTCTAATCTGAATAAACGTTTACTAAAAAATTAATGATTTTTCGAGTAATTACAATTTTACAATTTTTTTATAAGAATACGACGCTTCCTCTAAACACTACAGTTAATATGCAAGTGAAAGAATATTAGAAGGGAATTAATATGTTCAAAATAATTGTATATCGTCACATATTAGTTTAGTCGTAATTTACGCGCAATATTCTAAGTTTTTTATACTTTAATTAATTGTAACTTTAATATCATTCGAATCAATGAATACCTTGAATGGTGCCTACTGAATAACAGCAAGGTGTCAGTCAATCCCCAGATAATGATATGTAAAATCAACATTGAGTTGTGGCCGCACCATTCGTAGGACATCCACTTACGTAACCATTGGCAGTTGTAATAACACCGATACCACTTTCTGATATGCTCGGAAAGTGATGGTGGGTGTCGATAACGTCCAAATCGTCAGAGGTCTCCGATTGAGGCGTGTAGCCCTTCAGTCGCTCGACCGCCGTTCTGAAAGGAGTAGACTGCTCGTCTTGGCTGGGGGAGGGAGTGTGTCGAGAGGCTCGGGCTTCGATGCCCGCGGGGCTGTGGTAGAACGACACCTCGGCGAAACTGGGATTGGTGTCTTCCAACAAGAGCTGGCACAATTTAAGGAAAGTCGGCCTCGACGACGGTTTGTGTTGCCAACAGTACCTCATCAAAGTGTACAATTTGTCGGGGCAATTTTCTGGCCTCTCCATGACGCCTCCGTCGATCACGTAGCGCAGCACCTGATCGTTCGAGAGGCCCTGATATGGCTGCGATGCCAGCGTAGCCATTTCCCACAATACGACACCGTAACTCCACACGTCACTGCTGCTGGTGAATACACCGTCTTTTAAACTTTCGGGGGCCATCCAGCGGACCGGCAGCAGGCCCTTGGTGCCTTTGCGATAGTAATCAGTCTCGTAAATATCTCTAGTCATGCCGAAATCGCCGATCTTCACCACCAAATCCTCGGAAACCATGCAGTTTCTAGCCGCCAGGTCCCGATGCACGAATTTCATAGCCGAAAGGTAAGCCATTCCATCGGCGATTTCGATGGCCATTTGCAGGATTTGCTTCAACGACGGGGGATGTTTCACCAACGAAGGGTTGTAATTCTCGATGTCGGGTCGGTGCGATCGCAAGTAAGACTTCAAGTCTCCGTTTGCCATCAATTCCATTATCACCAGCGTCGGCTGGCCTTCGGAAACGACGCCCAGCAGTTTGACAACGTGCGTCGTATCGAAGGCTTTCATTATGGACGCTTCGGTTAGAAATTCCAGCCTTTCTCTGAAAATAAACCGGAAAATGCAAGTTCAGAAAGCCCACAAACGTTCAAAAATGAAGATAGTCTATGCATTTGTTACTAAAAGATTGGATGAATATGTTAAAGAAATCAAAAAACAATCCCCTAACAAAGTAAGGTTAAATTGCTATAGCTAAAATTAAACGTACCTATCTGTTGCATGTTCGTTAACAGTTTTAATAGCACATCTAACTTCAGATTGACCTCTAATGTCGTGGGCTAGGCCTTCCCATACCATACCGAAGCTGCCTTGACCCAGTTCCTTCAATTGCTCTATATTATTCCTGGACACTTCCCAATCGTCCTTTATGTATACACTCGGAACGTAGTCAGCATTAATAGCTATTAACATTATTTTCTTCTGTTGTTTTTTCCAAATGAATCCCAATATCGCAATCTGTAACATAAGCAATTTTAACGTATGTTTAACGACTAAGTTTTATTACTTACAGCAATCAACAATACTATAACCGTTGACACTATTAGGGCAACATTGGGGGACTGTTCAGGAATCAGGAATGAAACTTCATTAGAATAATCTTTGCTTTTCAGTAGAGTTTTAGCGTAAACCAACAAACTATAGTTCCCGGGACTTAATTTTGTTATTGTATATTGTTGAGTGGTAGTTTTGTTAGTTACGTTATGGCATTCTGATGTTGCTTTGGCCTAAAATTGACAAATGTAAACACTTTTACTAAGAATAATTAAATTACGTACTCTCGGTATATCTGTTCTTCTATATTGTATGATATATGCATGTATATCGCCATTGGGATCCTTCGGTGGGTCCCAAGATATACTGACACTATCTCTATCCTGGCCTTTAGGTAAAACTGTTAAATTACCTATCGTATTAGCTCCAACTAGAAACAAAACTCATTAGCACGATCCTCTCGAAAGCGAATACTGCAATTACCTTTCTCTTTGGTTCTTATCGTTTCCCTGGCGTCATTTTCGCTGCATTCCTCGATTCCAGTTTCATTGTCGGGAGAGCGACGGCATGTGTGAACAAATATGTTATAGGTGGTGAAATGATGAAGGCCATCAATAACGATTTGTGTGCCATTCACTCGCCTGATAATGGAAGTATCCCTAGGTGGGGCATCCTTATGTGTAACATTCGAGAGAGCCTCTGCTGCTGCGGTGTCCCTTTTAGATCTTAAAATAGCATGAAAAATTTGGCAAATTTAATATGAACAGAACATCTAGCTGAATGCGTAACGTACTTTCTTCTCACGTAAACCAAATTCAAGAATTCGTTTTGAAAGTTGATGGCTTCAGTGGCTTCGCTTTCGTCGGATGCTTGCAAGGTCTTCTTATTGGAGCCTTCGCCTTCGCAGTTGCAGGGGCCGATCAATTTCGGTTTGGGCGTCGGTTTGCGTTCATCGCCCATCCCTGAAAACATTTTACCTACATTCAAACATCGCATTGGTGTGGATTCTAAGCATTTTAAATACAGGCGCTCACCTTCGTCGTTGCAGTGGTTGATGTCAGTCGATGAGTTGATTGGTTTCTCGAATTTCTTGGTTACGTTGATTTTGTAATGGGTTATGGGACCGTTTGGTTTCCACGGTCGCTGCCATGTGATGGTCATGGTGTTCTCGGTGGCACTTACGCTCGTTATGATGGGCTCTTGAGGCGCTAAATGTCAAACGTTTAGAATTTTTTTTAAATGAATTTAATCGAAAGGCTTACTTCCCGGCAGGGTTTGGAAGTACATGATCTCGCTCTGCGCTCCCTTCTTTTCCTGGGCTATGGTATAAGTTTTTACGTAAAAGGCATATTGAGTGTAAGCATTCAGCTTTGGTATTGTGTAATTGAAATCTTTAACGTCCTCTCTGTTGGGGAGATCGATTATATTCCACCTGAAAAAAAATATATTTATCGTGACAAGAAGTTGGTCCGAAAGCAGGAAATTTTTGTTTCTTTGCCGAGTTGGTTTATTAATGCGGCTTGTGCGGCTCAATTTGCCCAATATTTCACGTGTGCCAAATACTTTGTTGTTTGCAAATATGAAAGAGCTTTATTTTTAAGTGCAATTTTTATTGGCACGGCTTATCTCAAAAACAGTGTTTATTTTTATCCATTGTCTTCGATTGGTGCACTATGCAATTTAAAACGACTTAAACTTGACCCGTAATAAATGAATCAAATTGGTTGCTTCCTTTTTCGATAAAAGCGAAAACCTATGTTTTCGAGTTTCAATTCATAAACAGAATATTTGCTTTCGAACGGAAATGAGCGGTTTCCCTCCAACACAATTTTAAAATAGACATAACAACAATTGGTAAAATTTACTTACTTATCCTGACCACAAGCATCTATGCCGTCGTATAGTGAAACGTTCTTATACGGAGCCTCTACATATGAAATAGTGTAAGCTAAAAGTTTTCGGTAATCATCCGCTATGAACGCTTCCCAATAAAGGGTAACATTTTGTGATTCTATTTTAAGCACTGTGACGTTTAATGGAACAATATTACCTAAGAAAAAATCGTTAATTAAGTACTGCAGTAAGTAAAAAATTTTAATTATGGGTAAGTGCAAATTTGTTTGCAATATGGTCAATTCTAGGAGTTGATTCCACTGTATCTCACTTTCTTTTTCCTTTATATAATAGAAGTTGTCTTTGTTGCACGTACATACCATATTGCGTACAACTTAGCAGTTATCTGTATATCATGTTATACTTACAAGCAACTTTATCACCGTTGGAATTTTTCGCTACTTCCAATTCAGTAAAATTGTCTAATTTCGCGATTTGCTGCAGTTTAACAATTTTATCGTAGCACAATTTCGGATTGGCGTGGAAAAATAATCTGCCGGAATCGATTTCGATGGTCCGATTGGTCCAGTCCCACAAATCTTGGAGGTTCTGGTTATCGCGCACGGTGAACACGTATTTATCGTTTTCTTTTTGTTCCCCTTTTATCCGTTTCAAGTGCTTGAGGAAGTTCAGCGAAAGCAAGGAAAATGACCGGACCACTTTAAGATATCCGCTGATTTCTTCTATCATTTTTAGATTCTCCTCCAATTCCGTTATGTTGGCTGGAAATGAAGTAATTGTGTTACACGCGGGTTTTGTTGAAAAAAGGTGCTTGGTTACCTCCGCCTCGAATTTGAACTTCTAAAGATCCGTTAATGTGCGTGCAACCTCTAAGCTTTTTCGACATCGCTATGCTATCAATATTCATACCTGGGCAAATCTTTTTGCAATTACCTGTTAAAAACACATCAATATAGTATTGTTGCGATATGAATTCTATATTTGATAGTACAGAAAGGTACCTGAGCATTTTTTACACGTCGAATTAACTTCCATATATTCGGCCGGACAATCCATCAAACATTTACCCATGTGGATTTTGTAAGGTTTGGGAAGATAGTAATTATTTGTTTGCACTACTAAAGGTTTATTAACAGCCTGCAAACACTGGGTTTGGTTGATACAACGTCTTTCCGAGAACTGAAAAGTATGATACAGTATTATATGCAGTACAATAAAATGTATCAGCACAATCACCTCGTAAAGACCAGCAGGGCAATTATCCAAACACTCTTTATGTTCATCGAATCTGTAAGTTAACTTGGGACAAACCGTACAAATATTCGAGTCGTCGTTTCGGCAAGCTAAACACGATTTTTTACAACATTCTTGTCTTTCGTTGCATGCGGTACAGTTAGAAGGGCATTTGATTTGGCAGTGATTCTTATCCCAGCATAAGTATTCCGAATTTGTTCCCGACCGATCCGTTTGCGATCTCATGGGACACTGTACAGTTTTATTTCCAATTTTAACAACCGAAGGACACAATGGACACTCGTTCCTTGGCTTCTGACTTTTTAAAATGTTCTTTTCTGGTTGTTCTCGAACTATTTGGCTCCAGTCGATGGATTTCACGAAACATAACGAGGGGTTTTTGTCGATATATACTTGACCTTTTAATATAGCCGTTAGCGAATACAAGCCTATTTCCTGTAGGGTGGACATTTCGAATATCACTAGCGCCTTGTTAAGAAACGTATTTGAACCGCGGATCACCGATAAATTAGGAAACAATTGGCCGATACTACGAAGTCCATTTACTCTATACATTAACAAATAATCTGTTATTTCAGTCAATCTTGGGAAGCTGATCTGGGACAATTCCGCTGGATCGATATTTTCGATGAGTAAGATTGAAAGGAAACCTTCAATCACTTCGCAATATTCTAATTTCTTGAATGGTTCCAATGAATTTCTAATATCCATGCTTGAACAAACTAAAAAAAAATTGTTCAATTAATTTTTTAACGACTACAATGTAGTCCTATTTGCATTATATTTGTATCAAGGATTCTTGAGTGGCCTTATTACAAAACTTATTAAAATTAGTACTACAGTTACAGGTTGACATTCAGAAGCAAATACATACGATTTTAAATCTAACAAAAAAATTTTGATCGACCACATATACTAGACTTCAGGACAATGTTATCCAAAGCACATTACAGTTACAGTGCATTTCGTATGAGAAGATTGTCTGGGAGTATTTAGGTTATTGTGATTATCGTCAAAAATTGCAGTTTAACTGATGGTTACGCAGATACAGGAGGAGAAAGGGAACGGACATTGTCGATTCGATACCAGATTCCATGACCTGAATCCAACGGTCTCCGATTTTAAATAATCACAATATCTTTGCGGTAGACACCGGCGTTTCCCACAATTCGAATTCACTCGAGTTACTCACTCACACGACATTGAGAAAGCGGACCTTGACATTAAATTCTCTTCCGTTCTTCAATCAATTTTTAGCGAAGGATAACAAAGCATTGGGTACTTTTGAGGTTTTTCCAATGGGCCTCACCATATTGTTTACAAAAAAAACTTTATTTCGCAATATTGGAATAAATAACCGCATTCAATTTGTGAGAAACTTACTGACGATTCGCTTTAAGAAATGAAAGTAATAACCAAATATTTTCTTTATATTTCAACTTAAATAAAACCAATGGACTTTATTTATTCTACACAAAAAATATTTAAAGGATATCATTTTCTTTCTGATGAAGGGGTATTTTATTTAGAAAAAAGGGAAATCTTTTAATAAATAGTCAAAATAATGCAAATTAATTACATTATTGTAGTGTTATATCGACAGAAATATATAGAAAAGGGCAAGTACGACAATACAATAAAGGTCAAGGTAAAAATGTAGAATAATTATCATTTAAATCTAATTTTCACTAACATTATTGCATTTGCAATTGCTATGATACTGTGCAGTGCGGAATGAAATTATTTTAAATGCGGATTTGTAGTATAATTTGAAAATATTTGTTTTAGATTAGTACCTACTATCAGGTATTGAAACGCAAGCAGCGAAAAAAATTGCAGTATTCATGTATGACAAAACTTTAATAAAGCTAAACCATTAATTAATTAACCTAATTTATGTAATTGCTTTATAATTATAGTGCTCTTTGTTAGTCCAGATTTTTGTTCAGTTGAAACAAATATTTATCAAGTTTAACTGAAGGACTCGTGCCCAGCCCTCGTTTAATTTCTTTAATGTTAATCGTTTAATACGTAAAAAACTGCAATATCAAAATGCGCATTTACTCATTTTCTAAATACATTAACAAATAAACACTCAGAAACTAGTTAATTAATACTTAATAGGTTACTATTACATAGTTTTTTTGATTGTAATAACTTGTACACGTACAATTTGTAAGAGTAAAAAATTGCGTAGATAATGAAATACATAATGTAAAAATTTTGTTTCCACAAAACAAATAACAATAAAAACTGATTATTATTGAATAGGTAAAGTTTATACTGAAATAACTAGTGCATTTATCGCTTGCATATACGTCAATAAGCCATTATAAATGATGCCCGTACGTAATGCACATATCATTCTGAATATTATTTTAATTTACGTAACAACTCTACTGGGAAATTTATCGAAAATGGATTCAAAACAAATGTAATTACTAATTAAAATGTAATAAATAATAAAAAAAGTACTTACTCCTTCGGGAGTCATTATTGTGAATGGAGTCCGAAAGGTATTGCTCGGCTCGCAGAGGGTGGAAGAATCCCGGTATGGTTATGAAGAGGAGGCTGAAGGTGAGAATAGTTTTGGTGAGAGTATGGCAGCCAATAATTCGGCACAACCGGGCCGTCGAGGTTGAGCCGCTGACGGCCATCAGTGGGGTCCCCTACACATGGGTAAATTAGCTAAGCGAGCATTTTCATACAATGCCAGAATCAGACACAAATAGCATTGTGACAAACTTGCGGGAAACACGTAACGCTCCTTAATCATCAACATGTTATTCGCAAATTTCCCTGGCAAGTGCTTCAAACTGCTGGTGTTCGTTGATAATTACATTGTCTTCCAGCTTGTACCACCTACAAATTAAAATCACTACTATACTATAAATAACTACGCTACAAATATATATTTTTTAAATGTGTATGTGTATCACTATTACAGGTGGCGTTATAAATACGTTTTAATGTTCACCCCATCGCCCTAGATATGAAATAAAATAGCGAAATAACAGCGGAGCCATTAAAATATCTGATGTGCAAAACAGACACACAAACACTTCAATATACGAAAACAAATCGATATGCACTTTATTTGGTCGGTTAACAATGACAGTTTCGAAGAAACAAAATCATATCAAGCATAATATTTGTATTTGTGATAGAAACTATTTACCGAGAACCAGTATTAAATGCCATATACAACGTGACAAAGAAAAAACGTGAATCGGTCACAAACGCATAATATATTTATTATTGTACGGTAAAAATAACTATCCCGGTCAACTAGTAAACAACGACGCCAGTACTAAGGTTCAACATTAAATAATAAAGACAGTTTTAATTTTTTTTCATAGGTCAATTTTCAGAAAAAATATCAATGATGTGCTCGAACAAAAAATATTACATCAAAACAAAATCTCTAAATAAATCTAATAGTAAAATGGTAGTGTATTAGTAAAATAGTAATGTCGTGATCGAAACGAAATAAATGATGCTTTTTAATAGCATTAGAACATTTCGATGATGCATGTTATTTTAGGCAATTCCTATAAAATTATGTAAACATTTACGCATAATAGTGACGTAACTTATAAGTGTACTTACAAGCATTGCAACTCAAGTAGCAATAAATCTAATAAAATATTTCTTTCTTCGCTCTTTCCTTCTTATTTTCTTCCGCTTGATGATAGGAATAAATTACCTACTCCGCTCAGTTTAAAATAGAATTCAAAATATGTTTGTATAGATATTCGAATCTACTTGCCTTTCTCCCGGTTTTATTCGATTATAACCATAAATTCTGTAGTTCCCAAAGATATCTTCTCATCGTATATTTAATATTTTGTAAATATTTCAATTTATCATTATAGCGCATTAACCATTAATTTTATCTCCTAGTACCAAAAGTACATAATGAAATGTTTTTATCTAACGCGTGCCTAATTTCTGCATTAACACCATTTGGCTGCAGATTTCATTTCATTTATGGGCAAATATTTTGTTGTTTACTAACAATTACATCAACTCTTTATTGCATGTTATAATTATCAGATAATTACAATCAGTCAATTAAGTTTATTTATGGTGTAAATTTCAATTTTTTTTCTCCTGAAAAATGGCTATCTTCAATATCCATTAAACGTCATAATAGGAAAAAAAAATATCAGAGAAGAAAAATGTTTAAGTAGACAAAATTGAAAGATACGAGTATAAAAATATTTACATAACACATTCGATAGTTACTTACCAAAATTAAATATATGAATTATACTAAAATCTTATTAACAATACACTAAACAATTAGTATACTAAATTTTAAGTTTTGGAAAAAATTCAATAACCCTGATGAAATATAATACAGAAGCAAAATGTAACAATCTTTAAAGCATAACAAACAAATATTTTGTCTCTGCGACACAAGTGTATTTTGTTTCACTTCACTTTATGATTAATTACAAATAAGAAGGCAACTTGTTAACGGCTGCACGAAGAATAAACGTCATGATAAAAACAGTATTTAAATTGCCCTAGAATTTAGTGCGCGCAAGTCTGCGGTTACATAGGGTCTCAGAAAAAATGTTAATAACCCTCTTAATAATATATTCAATGCGAACAGTAAAGACACGTTCACCAGTAAGTAAATCAATGAACTGATCATACCATATTTACACAAATTAATATCTAGAAATTGCAGACGAAAATAACAATTTGTTATGATAAGAAAAATCAAAAATTAATATTTTGATAATTATTTAGAATTCTTATACCTGCGAATCAATGGACATTATAATTTATATAAGTTTTTGAATTTTATCGGCTAATATAAATTAACTTATTTGTTTCAAATCATTTTTTATATAGAACTAATAGCTATATTGTTTGAAAATATTACACCTAAAACCAATTTGTTTGTTATAAATTAAATAATAATTTTCATATATTAACGGAAGGTTATCATTTAAATATTTTTAAATTTAAAACTAGGCGAACAAGTGAGGAAAAACACTTAAAAATATGTATGAACTGTTAAGTCCGGATGTTATTTTAATAACGTACCCCATTAAGAGCGATTAATATTCATTAAAACTACTAGAATGGAATAAAACCGAAAATTATTCAAGTAATAAACTTAAAACGAATAATTTTTATTAAGTGGTCTCGGCAAGCTCACCTGAATGAATTCGACAACTATACGCACACCAACACCGACCTCAACATGTTATCGCTTGCACAGATTACTTACTGATTCAGAAGCTTTTATTCCTTTCTTTAATAACAATATGCAGTATGTAAGAGAGCAATTAGACGAATTATAAGGTCAATTTGATTTTGAACTCTCACATTTAAAGAACAACCTGATGGAAATCGTTAAACAACGTTATCATTAATAAACCGAAGGGAACCTATTAAACGATTGAGAAAAGTGTAACGACTTGTAATGTAAATAATTGATATAATATAGATGGGAAAATTATTTTTTCACGAGGTAAAATATTTTATTACAAGACCAAATCTATAATGTGCATATTTCATTCAAAATAACAGCAATAATATCAACATCGAGCAAAACAAAACCTATATTTTTGTAACTTGCTTGACAACATAAATTTCTACAGAAGGTACAAATATTCGCTACTCGAAAGATATAATTCCGGGAGGCCCAAATATCATCTCTGCCTTTCTGTAATTCCATAAAACCGGTGATACAGGTTATCAATTAAAAAAAAAGCATACTACTATATGTTGAAGGTAGAAAATCACTTGCAATGCCGATTGCTCAACACCGTCAAACACCCTGTACTGTACAATAAATGAAGAGTGGTATAGAAAAACTTAATAAGTCCTTATAATCTCCTTATGAATTTTAATATTCCGACTATGTGACAAACTGTGCGAACGTTTTCTTAACGTTTGTTCTAACTAGAACGATGATAGGAAAGAAAACTTTAATTGAATATTAAAACGTATCGAATAGAAAAAGCGTATGTAAAATGAACTATTTACATATGTTTCTCGTCTCTATTAATAAATAAGTCATAAATGGCAGTTTTTTTAGAAAATAACGATAATTGAGTAAATCGGGGGGTGAAATAAACAGACTTAAATAGCCTGGTATGTGGAACGAACATAATTAAGTACCGACGAAAATTAATTTGACATTTGTTTATAATTAGGTCACAGGTTATAGGAGCAAACCTACGTATTATTACAACGCAGTATAGAAGGTTCTCATGTTTGCAAATAAAACCTTAATTATAATCGAGTGTTGTTTTGTTATTCCTTTTGCAATCAATAAATTCGGTCATTATTTAGGTATATGTACATATTAATAAAGACAATGAGCCTATATACCCCTTAAGGACTTTATTGGACATTCATTACGGTATCATTATAATAAATAAATAAGTCAACACTGTTATTTCTGTCTTTTTACGTCATGATACGAAAATGGTATGTAATTAAAACTATTTGTTACGTACGTGGTGATTATGCCTAATTAACTAAACTATAGAAAGACTATCCAATGTATAATTTAATTTAGTTCATTATATTCCCCATTGTGTATGAATAATTAAAAGGCGAATAAATACCTAATTTTCGGTTTATTAGTGGCGCTAGTAAATTACAGCACTTACGCCTGATTTTCTAAAGATCTAAGCAGTGTCTAAGTCATTGAACATCGCTCGTATGAATTGGATAAAATTTAATACAGTTGTTTGCCCGACTTTAAGTTAATTACCACATTGAGGTTCTATAAAGATGTTTGTCAACAGAAATGAAAGCCAAATTTGGTAGCAATCAAGCATAAAAATTAGGAAATAAAAAATAGATGATATCCCTGTAGGCACAGCAATGTGAAATACGTTGTACTTACATGTACACAAATTTGTTTGTAAACTTTTCAAAACAGGATATAATTTTTGTGGTTTCAGTTAGCTAGCTAATTGCGCCATATCAGTATTTTATCGTTATCAGTGGCAACCAGATCACTATGAAATTCAGAAACATATGAATGAAAAACTTAGTCATTTCTGCTTACGATGATAATGTTCTAAATAATGGTTAATTTTTTAATGAGTCGAGATAATGCATGTTACTTCAACAATCCCAATAATTACGTTAAGAAACTTCAAATTACTACCTTATTTAAGATATTTTTGGATTGACAATTCCTGATATAACGTATACGAAGTTTCTATCCATACTTGAATCAACCACTGTCGCAAATAGCAGGGAAAAGAGCCGTTCGAATTTAAACTTAACTCGCAAACTATTGCGGTATTGCGCATTGTGGAGGCCACCGGCAGAGCTGTAAGCTGTAAGCAGCCGCATGTAGCAGAACGGAGAAACAGAAAACCCTACGTGACCCCTTCAATCAGCATTTTACTTGGAAAAAGCACCTGCGGCTTCCCTCCAAGCCAATTCTACGTACATAGCTCGCCGGTTCTCACGGCTTCCTTCTAAACTAATTACAAGTGGCCAATGGTGATTATAAATATGTAAGTGAAATGGTAACAGAATAAATTATTTCTACTGAATTAGGAAAAACTGGACGATTATAATAAATTTAAATTAGTTCGTTGAGCCTAGCTTGTTTAATTATCACTTACATCTGGATATGTAAACTGTATCGGTAATTATTGTACTAATAAATATTTAATTAGATTATACGTTTTTGTGTATAATTTTTTTCCGATGAAATCGGCGTTAAATTTAATTAATAATTTACAGCACACCATATCCGGCTGCTTACTTAAAAATGACCAAGGTCTTTTACCTTTCCCGAATGGCCCCCCCAATTGAAAAAGTGTTTCGGAACACAAGGGTGACGTTATGAGAATTCCGAGAACGTATTTTCGTCACCAAACTCATGCAAACAAAAACTCGATTTTCCGGTCGACGACCCGTCTCAAGCTAATGTCGCTACCTTCAAATAAAAAAAACCGAATAAAATTTTTAGATGAGTAATCTCGCTACATTCGTGAATAGTGAATACATTGGCATTGAAAAAATCAGCTGATAGATAATGCGCTGTTAGACATTTCGCCTAATCGTTAAAACGGAAACTTGGGATGAATGAATATATTTTAGATTCGCGATGGATTTACGATCGATCATTCGAAAATATTTCGAGTTTTGGGGTGCCAACTTCACACAGTTAAATTATTTATAAGGTGCCCTCATTCTATCTTACGTGGGAACCACCTAACATATTTTTGACTTTCTAAACTGATAATTGTGCAACGTCTGAACTAGCCCAAATAATGAGCTATTCAGACCAAGCCAAGAAAAATATATTCAAACTAGTACAAACACATTACAAACGAATTAATGCATAAAAATTTGTGGGCATATCTAAATGATTTTAAAACGACAAAATTCAAACAGATTATTCTGTGTTGTCTTAGTTAAAAAATAACAACAGAGGGAAATATAAAAATAAACTTCCTATTACGTTATACGTACTAATGCGTAATAATACCGACTGTAGGGTGCATATTTTTAAACCCCTCCATTCTAAAAATAAAATTAAATCCTCCGTATTTTCAAGGAAGCCTTCAGACAACTACAATTAGAAAATTACATCTCTAAATGAGCTATTCCAGTTCGCTTTTCTTTATTTTTTTAAGGAAATTTACGAAAGCTAAAAAAAATTGAAAAGCAGAAACTATAAAAATATATTTCGAATCATGAATAATATTTTTAAAAATCACGTAAAAACATAAAAAATCGAATCTTCAACAAAAATCTTGAACGAATTAAAGTTTATGGGGATTATAAATATAATATACACTTGCCTACAGCTCGTCTCGTAAAATTACGCTTCGTGACCTACAGCTTTACAGGGTGTTACGGAAAATGATGCCATAAATGAAACTGCTAAGCCCTTTGGATTGATTTTAGTAAGGGTGTACTTTTTTTTTATATATGATCTGAAGTTATTTCAAAACCATGAATAAAGTCGTGCATGAAATGTGTAAATACATTTAAAACAATGTTTAAAAATCACGATAAAAAATTTAAAAACGCGAAAAAACCTTCAGTAATAATCTTAGCAAAACAAGGACAAATTGCTAAATGCACTAATACTCAGGTATACTTGTCTACTGTTCGTTTCGCAAACATCCTACTCGTGAACAGCATCTAGATATCCAAGAAACAAGGTAAAAATGCACGGCCCGTAGGTCCCGAAAGGGGCTCTTTTTTGGGTATCGATACCTTTTATACCTGCACCTGAATGAAGGCGCCATCATGCAATATATTCTACCTCCGCATAGATAGCGTTATCAACGATGGGAAAATCGATATTACGTAGATGATAAGAGACGCACTAATTTTTTTTTGTATAAATGAATAAGTCCTATTTTAGCACGTGGTTTCGCCACGCCTCGAATTGTACTATAAGTTATTTTAAAGTGGGAGGGCGAATGTTGTGACGGCGAGCTGAATCGATATCCTGCAATACATTCCTTTATAGAGACGCCACCCATGATAATGTTTAACTGCAAGTTACAAGCCGTACATAAGTTTATAAAATGTTGTTACTTAATCAATGCGAACGATATTGTTTATTTCAATCTCTATATCATTAGGTTATTTGCTGCATCCTACTCTTTAATGCGGCGATAAGCGAGCAAAACAGCAAAACAAAATCTATAAGTACAGTAGAAAAAAAATAATAATAAAGGTTAGTGTTTAAAATTATACTAGATAAAAGGCTAATTAGGCAAATCGAATAAATGCGAATAAATTATAAGCAAACGCTTCCACGCACTCGGCAATGGGGGGAAATAGTATTCTTGAATGAATGAATGTCAGGTTGTTTACAAAACGCAATTAGCCGTTAAAATGGCATGTTTCCGAATAGTTTACACGACTTATAGAGACAATAAACTAACAACTACATCCCTTAGGTTAGAATTGTACGCACAGTTAAATGAAAGAAAGGAAAAAATTCGAATGCTTGTTACCTTTAGAAGCAAAACATTACACAATGTGATGAATTCACGATCCGGAGATAATTTTGGCGATTTCACACAAACTCTGTTAAACGAAACTCCGTTGTCACTTGAGAAACGGCGATTTTAATAAATGTTCAAACGCAAATTTAATTTACTTTTCACCTATCATGCTTACTGAAACCTGAAACATACTTTACTACTTCACTATATTTTGTTGTTTAGTACTCGCACTCGAGTCCAATAATACAATGTTGCCATTTTTACGCGGTTTGATTACCTTTCACTATTTGAGGAAAAATATGGTAAAAACAAAATCAATCTCGATGAAGGTCAGCAAACACTCTATTACATCATTAAATTAATTATTATTGAGGGTTAATGACAGAAACGTACGGTTTTGTATTATTCTACGCCGTTTTATTATTGACAAGACAGCTCAAGATATGCGCAGTAACCCAGCCAAGCCATGAGGCAGATAATTTTATTTTTTATTTTACCTCCTAACGCTCTCAGCCTTTAGCTCAGTTAGTTCGTTCAGGTCCGAATCCGAATCTAAAACTAAAAATCCTGCGCATGTTGTCTGCCTCTGCAACAACAACAGATCGGGACAGGTGTAATATGGAATACTCTACTCGCGATCACAACAAAAATTAATTATAGCACTCAGTACATACATGATGGATACTTCGGAAATTTTGGAACGAAATAACACATTGCGGCGGCAATCTAAACCTATTTGTATCGAGGTATTGAAATTGTTTGTTTTGCCGCTTGTGACAAATAATAATGCGTTATTTAAATGACCTAGCCAATCAAGTAAGTACGCAAATATCCTTGAATAATTATATATTTTATACTCGAGCTAGTAATCGTAAACAAATTAACAAACAAACCAAAAAAAAACAATACAAAGATTTCAAACGCAAATTCATCTAATTGCGACGTTGCTATAATTGTTATGTCAAAACAAACTATTCAAATTATGAAAAAAGAAGAAGAATCATTCCTAGTTATTCGTAACTGAAAGGTAGGCAACACAAATAATACGTTCTTTTAAAGTTTTCATGTGTTAACTACTCCATTGCTATTATTGTATTAAATTATATCTTGTTTGGACACACATGATGTGGCTAATTAAAAAATATGTAAACATAATATAGAAATTTATTGCAGATTAATTTGTACAGTAATTTGACATATAGGTATATTTAATAAAACATTTTATGTTTTTTAAATAAAAATATTGTTTTACGTACAACCTAGACATTTTGAATACTACAATTTTAGAGAAAAAATTTCTTAATCAAGAACATTAACAATTACATTGTCTCATATCCGTGATAACAATTTTAAATTGAAACACCAATAATACTTAAATAAGAATATATCATGTATTTTTAGAGTAACATTTTTTTTTAATAATTTATCTAAGAAAGTTTGCTGTATATGTTTTTAAACGGAGTTGTAGAAAACCTACTTAACAGATCTACAAGTTGAAAAGTTTCATCTAACAAAGAATATGTACAGTTAGATTTCGTTAAAAATTGCATATAGTAGTTTTACTACAAGATGTCTTAAAAATTTAATACGCATCTATTTTGAAATGAGAGTCCTATAACCTTATTAGGTAATTAATTTTTCAAAAAAATGGCACTTATTTTACGTAAGACAGAACGAATTTTTTAAAACATCTGGTATAAAATGTGTATATAAAAATTATAGTTTCTTGACAAAAAAAATGTAAACAAACACAACACTTGATAAAACAATAAAGAAATATATATAACTGGGACGTTTAAAATTTTCTAAAATCAAATAAGTACATCTTCAATAAATAGGAACTGCGAACACATTAAAATTTGTGCAATTTTAGTTGTAAAAATATTTTACTAGAAAACAAATAGTGAGCGAAATTGGAGATTCTAAGTACATAAACAGATCCTACAAATTGAAAATTCTTGTAAAATAATTGGCAGAAAATAAAAATTCCTAAACCAATATTATTCTAAGATACTATCTTGAGCATTTCATTTTAATATTTCATAAAAGTTTAGGAACACAAATATATTAGATTCGATCATACACAAACAATTTTGGCATACTGAGATTCGTTGTAACAAAAAATGCAAGTTACACCTAAACTTTTAAAATATCAATTAGCATAAATACCTCAAAATAAAATTTCGCAATGACAGGTAGGAATACGTGAAACCTTTGGTAATTATTCAGCCAACAGTCGCTTCGACGCGTCCCTGTTGAGCAAACCTAATCTCTGTTTTTGCTTGCGTTGCTCGGCCATCTGATCCTTCAGCTCCATCAGCTGTTGAGATAGAGTAGTAACCAGCATTTCCGTTTTCTGCAACTGATTTTGTAGGCTTTTAAACTCGATTTGCTCCCCTTCTCCTTCGACCGCGGCCAGGCTGATGGCTCTTAAACGAGGAAACCACTCCAAATTCGCGGTTTTTACCATGGCGTGAACGTAACTCTCCGGACCGGTGAATTCGGTCGGATCCTTCACTTTTATCAACACGATGAAGTACAAGTAGTGCCACATATTATGTTCGCATTTTATGTGATCTTCGAAACTTACGATTTTGTTGTCGAAAGCCGATCTGTTCAAACCTATTACAAAATATTACGCTTAAACAGAAACCACTCGTAACGATTATAAATATAACTTACCGCATATAAAACAAGTGTTCTTCAGAATGAGCTCTTTTTGTTGTTTTTCGGATCTCAAATCCGCGAACGTGTCGATTATAACACCAAAAATTAGATTAAGTACAATAATGATCACCACAAAGAAGAACAGTAAATCGTATACAACTCTGGCAACGAATAAAGATTCCTGAAATAATTTTGTTAAGACCCTTTGTAAAAATATAATTTAAGTGCACTTACTTCGCTGCTGGGCGCTCTTAATATATCACCAATACCTCCGCCATTTCGCAGCCCTTGATTTAGCGTAGTAATGATGCACATTCGTAAAGATTCACAAGCCAGTTCTTGTCGCTCTTCTCCCGTATCAATAAGTTCACAATACTTTCCAGACTCGTCTTCTTTGTAGGTTTTGCCGGACATTTCCGACAAAGTTTCACAAGACTCATCTGAATGAAAAACCAGTCAATAAGAGAACACGCATAAAAACAAACCTTTACCTTTTTTATTAACGCTAACAACGAAGTCCTCTTTAAAGAACATATAACCGATAATCGAAAACATATACACTAGGATTAGGGCTAAGACCGCTGTTAAAACAATAGATCGGCCATTTCTAGTCACAGACCTTATCACATTCAAGAGGGTTTCTTCGCGATAAACAACATCGAATAGCTGCAATCAATGTTCGTTTAAATGTAAAATACGCTCATTTGCGTCGATACTTACTAGTACGGAATAGAAGAAAGGATGCATAATCAAACCCAAAGTACAGAAAATCAGGTAGCACATGTGATATATTAACTCGGCGTCTGTTAAAATTTGAGCGTAAGCTTTAGTTAGCGTACCGTGGTTGCCCATTATGCTGACTAGATGTATACATTTCAGAAGAATCGTTAGGGTGCCCAGCAACCACAGTGTCGGTTCAGGACCCATTGAGTAAATCAGTCTAAGAATAGTAGATGCTACTAAAGTTCTTATTCCCGTTTCTCGAGGCAATGTGATCACAATAGCCGAAGATGATAACATAGCGAACCAAATGAGCACAGATATTGTCGGGGCGATTGCTAAAAATCAACGTTAATAAGGGTAATTAATAGTGGAAACATCACACTTACTTGGAACAATATTATCGAACGGATAAAAACAAGCCACAATTAAATTGATGAGTACTGCGCAATTAAAAAGAATATTGCTCCATAAAGACATGTAGTTACTGACCCAAAAGAGAAAGGGTTGCGCTGAAACGAAAAATACAATTAACTATAAAGCGATGAAAGAAAATGAAGTTACCTCTGAGTTTCTTCTGCCACTTCATCTCGTTAAACATGTGCTCGGTTCTGTCGAAGAAATCAGCGACTTTGGAACCTTGATCGTCCCTCTCGGCAGTGTTAAGTACTTTAATTTTCGTGTCTTCCGTTAAATATTCGCATATTTCCGGTATGGGAAAGACGATCTGCTCCAATGTTCTATCTTGCCTGACGATTTCGATTTGGGCCGTGTGCGGGGCGTAGTAAGTCACAGCTTTTTGGGTTTTGGGATCTCCGGTCTCGGAAGGTTTAAGTAACGATGCTAAGTCTTTGTTATGTTGAGCCAATTGGTGACACAAAATCCATATGTTATGTCCGACTTCCCTGGGCGATACCATGTTTTCGTTAGAGTCGTCCAATTCTTCGTTTTCTTCTTGGTGAAAAGCGTTGCAAGCTACATCGACAAGCTGCTTGGGGATCATGTTTGATAGTATTCTTTCAGCATTTTCACTATCTCCTCTACTTTCCATTATTGCCAGTAGTAGTTTAGAAGCGTTGTTTTTCAGTTCTAGAACTAAATCCATTCTGGTTTTTCCTAAGGGGTTTATGTCGTTCAATATCAACGCAATGATAATATCCAACCCGTTGGATTCGTGAGTGGCTATGCAGTTCTGATTTTCGTGACAAGGTCCTTGACAATATTCAGTTAAAGTTTCCAACGTCTGATTAATCAGCGACACGTTGTTCTCGTTGATATACAATCCTAACAGACCTAAACCGCCAGTAGTAGACCCGCAAATGCAATCCAAAAACAACAAAGTTTCGCTTACTAAATTAAAATTGCTCTTGTTGTTTTGATTTCGCAATAAATTCTGCAATGAAGAATTGTGGTTTTCGCATAATAGTTGAAGAAACCTTAATATCGGTTGCATGATTAAGATTTTGTTGGTGAGACCGTTCTGTTCTTCGCGATCTTTCTGTTTCTCCGACTTCTCTGCCAATAAATCCTCCAAGGAGGACGCTGTTGTAGAACCATCTTCCGTTACCAGGCGAATATTAGCCAGAACTTGAGCATCACTATCGCCGGCAGCGCATTTCAATTCTTCGCGCAACTCGGGCGTTATAAGAATACCGTTCGTTTTGCTATCAGATTTTTTTAATCTCTCGCCATCTTTACCGTTCTGCTTGTCTTCTGGAACTTTAGCTGGTAATTCGGATGTATTTACAGTTACTGTGGATTTTATTTCCTGTTCGGCGTCTTTCATTTTATCGTGGAACACCTAAGCCAATAAAAAAGCTTTACGTCTTTAAAATTAAAGTTTATGCGTTATAAAGTTAAAAATAAACTCATTTAAATAAGGAACAAATACATTTAGTATCGCGTTGAAAACCACACAGCACGCGCGAGTATTGTGTTATTACTAACAATGGTAAGTATATATTTCTTAAAAAATTTAATGTCGCATAAAGGTAACTTACCTTAAAAAACGACTGGCTCATATCACCGCCGAGAAGTTTATTAAACATGCTTTTTTGTATAATGGGATTCCCTCCTTCCAGCAGAGCAATTCCTAATTCAACGGCTTCGCTAAATATAGATGGGGAATTGCCACTTTTTATCACCAATTCCACGACTAAGTTAGATGCCCCTTCTCGATCTAAATGTGTCTGAACCTCGTGAAGACTTCTTCCCGCACGACTTAATATTTTCGCTATAAAAATACAATCAAACCCTATTCAAAATTGTGTGTACAATCATTACCTCCTGGACCATGGGTTGCTGGTACGATGAGATTATTTCCGAGTTCAACTGAGTTATTACTTTGAATGAATGCCCGTCCAAAGTAACGAGCTAACAAGCTGTTACGTAGAACGTCCCCCTAAAATTGATGCAACGTAAAAATCAAAGTTTGTTTCATGCAATTACCCACAAACATCGACTACTGTTTTTTTCAAAATAAAAATTATTCCAAACAAACAAAGAAAAATCAAACTACACACACAACTCGACAATATCATACCATTTCTGACTGTTTCTCACTCTACAAGTAGCATGTGGAAAGAAAAAAAGTTAATTATTCGAATTAAAAATATATATCATATTCATATAACCTTTTCTCCGTATTCGTTGTCAATGGCCATCATCTCCCTGAGCGTTTTTAAAACTTTAACGCATAATTTCTCTTCTTTTTCTTCCATCAATTTCTCTGTGTGCTTTATCAATCTAAAGAACAAGTATACCTAAGCGAACTGTTTGAATTAAATGTAATTAAATATACCTTCTTATAAAACCACCATTTTCGCATTTCTTTCTGGGTTCACTAGCAGGAGGAAACAGAAGCTCTGGTCGATACAAAACATCGACTAATAATGATAGCTCAGATTGAACCAAAGGTTTTAGCTGATCCTGCAGCACGGATACTATATCTTGTAAACCTTCTATAACGCTTCTATCCAAGCGCATAATCTACAATGAAACGCGCAATGTAAAACACATACTTACAAATGGAAATTAGTGTACTAACTTGAGATTGCGATCTTTCCATTTTAGGAATTTTCGAAGCCTGCAACCACTTACTGGTTTGCCTAGTCAAAATGGTGGCTCTGTTAAACATAGCCGAGACTTGGCTTTCTAAGTCAAGCGGAATGGCTATGCCTCTGTTCTTAGCTGAAACGAAATTTTCGAAATTATAACGTTCGAATGTGCCGAAAATGTGCGAAAACTAACCGACTTCGGACAGTGTACGGATGCAATTTTCAACATTAAAGCGTTGCGATGCTGCTAGCCAAGGACACTGCGACACCCTGAATGCCGATTGCAATAGCTGAACAAAAATGGGCTGTCTTGTCTGCAAAATATGGTTTCATAACAAAAAATACGACGAAAATAATAAATAATAAACAATTAAAGATATGTACACTAGCGAGATTAGTAAAATACAACCGCAGTGTGTCTCAAAAGCACATGCACTCAGTAAGTGTGATATATAACTTCAAAACTCTTTCCCAAAATATTTTTCATACGAGTTACCTAAATTATATTTACAAAAGTTCGGAAGAGTTTTGAAGAATATCTTTGCACTATTTTTTTGTTAAACTCTCTTCACAAATCCTAAAGATTGCCGAGAGACTAGCTATAGCTGTTAGAAATTAAAATTAATTCTTCACCTCAGGTATCGGCCGCCACTCTTAATGCTTTTATCGCTTCACTTGTGTTAAAAACCAAGGTATTGTATTTATTAAGTGTATTCGAGACCAACGTTAATTGTTACTGGATATTTTTATATTTAAACACACTTAATCCATGTATAATTCAATACAAATGCTTCTAAAATGTAATAAAGGGTCTCATTACAATGCATACAAAATTGTAAAATTCATCTGGTAATACCCATCATGCTCGAATAGTACACATTTTTAGTACACATTTATATTGAAGAACATACCATAATTAAAAAAAAAACATTTTTCAACCATCCGATCCATAAAACTTAGATGCTAGGAGTGTGTTTTGTGTGGTGATGTTAGTATTGTTCGAGTTAATTTGTTGTAGCTTAAACAACGGTTATTTCTGCATGTTTCTTAGACGATAATTAACTACTTACATTACTCGAAAATGGAGATTGTTTGAGTTGAACATTACCCGAGAACGGATCATATTCATCCATAGTGGAGTCGCTCCAATATACCCTGGCTTCATGCAGATGTTTCTAATAGAAAAATACCCAAAAAAGACACCGTAAAAGCAAGGTAAATCATATTGATAGTCAATAATGAAACGTTTAGGATTAAAAGGAGAACTAAACACCTATGTACCTATATCTAAAACCAACAAAATCTACCCAGTTCTAAAGTTAAACAAAGCAATAACCAATTCATAAGCACATGCAGTGTTAAAATAAGGAACTTCAAGGAATAGGAATTTTGTAATTTATATAAACCCTATGTGCATACCTGAACAGTCGTACTCTGATCCGAAAAAGGACTATTAAAAAAAGTCGAGATAATATTCATTACGCAGTTCGTTACATAATTTTCCAAAGCCCTATCAGAATGTTTTCTATCGTTAGGTGCTGTTGCAATATCCGCCATGTCGACTAGGAATGATTTTTCGAACAATGTCCACATGTGACTGGAATTGTATATTTCCTTCATTTCAACCTCTGTATCGATGTAGCAATGGTTCAAAAATCCAACGTAAGCCTCCTTCACTTCGGGTATGCAATCTGGGTGGATCACCATCACCACAATATCGTCCAATGGTAATAAACTGTGACATTTTATCTCGGTGTAAACATTTTTTCCCATAGTACAACAAGCCAGAAGCTTAACCAGCTCTACGTGGTACTTCAACGAGCTGCTTTCATCCATGGCATGTCGCTCTGAACGCATCATTTCGATGAAATGATTATACGACGCTTTATCGTTGTAAAATACCAATACGTCTTCGCCCGCGTTTATCAACTGGAATGAACGGTAATAAAATTGAGCCCATTTGAATGCATGTAAAAATCAAATTACCGCTTGCATCACCATATCCTGGCATTTTCTAATAAATTTGTTTTCCGCTTTCACTATAGTCTGTAGGAACTTTAAATATTGCACGTGTCGTCCGTGTGTTGCTATGCAGTGCACGAAATGTTGAATGACCTTTTCGTTTTCTTCATTGCACAGTTTCGAATTATCTTGGAATATCGCACAAACTGTTTGAGCTTCTCTAATCTATAAAACATAATTTACAACTTATCATTAATAACAGATTAATAGTTTATACATACTCCTGGATTGAGGAACAAATCCAACTGCTTGTAGAGTAGCACTTGGTTCTGCTGGTTTCCTAAACAGAAATTTTGTAAAAATTCGTGAGCCAATCGCATTAATTCGTTCATTCTGATGTCTTCTTTTTCATCGTAAGGTACTTGCAAAAGATCTAATACGACTGTATGAACACCGACGTTCCTTAAAAGCCTCTGTTCGTGTTTCTGAGGTTTAATAACGCCCCCTGCAGTTCCCTGAGTGCATAATTTATTCATTCTAATTAATATTTGCTGGATTTTTTTGTATTCATCCGCCTGATCCGGATGCAAAGGAGGCCCGACATCCAAATTAATGGCTGAACCTTTTTTCTCCAACACTCCCATTGTCGTAGCTTTAGTGTTACTGGTCGTCTCTTCTTCATCGTCTTTTGATTTCTTCACAGGTTGATGGTCTTCCAAAGATTTCGATTTGTAAACCCAAAGTTCGGATTTCTCAACCGATTGCCTCAAAACATCCAAATCTGCTTTGATCTGCTTGTACGATTCAACATCGCTGTCCGAAACAAGGAGCTGAACTTGCCGGAATGCTTGCAGAACTTCTTGCCTTTGACTGAAATGCCTAAAGAGCAATTGCAACGCTCCAGAAACCAAAGATGGATAATCGTGCATCGTTAAATGCAACAGTACTCTTAGGAATGTTCTTCCGCCGTGTCCATCCAGGTCCAGCACAGCGCATTCTTCGCTGCTACCGAATATTCCTTCGGCTTGACGGCCTATGTATTCGAAATCGATGTTCTTTTGGCCCAAGTTAACTTCGCTGCTAAGATTAGAATTTTTTTCGTTCTCGTCGAATTCTTGCTTGAAAATGCTCAACAGACAGCTTATTCTATAATCCAGTCTTACATCCAAAATGAACTGAAAAATGGATAAACTCATCAAGGCAATCGACGTCGAGTGTTTGTGTAACACTTTTATACCTGCAATATTTCTATGATTTTTAATTTAGTATCCATTACCAGCGGATACTCTTTCATGTACTGTATAGACCGGCCATGTGAGACGGAATTTGGAGATAAACCACCGCCTCTTGTCGATCCTAGAGTAAGCGATGTCATAACAGCCCCCATGTCTCCAATAGTCCTCAAAACACCCCCTTCGGCTACCAAAAAATGCAATTGGTTTAGTACCGCACAGTTCAAAAATATCGCTGACATTGAAACATCTAATTTACTCAAGGTGCAACAATATTTACGTGATCAAAAAAATAAGAAAGATATTTCCAAACTAATAATTATGTGATAATTGCTTTAAATTTCCAAAATGATCGTATTTAGAAATATCTTTTCTATAACCACACACTAAACCACACATAATATACCTCTTTGATCTGAAGCAGTTTCAGCAGCTGTATCAAAAGAAATAATGGACAATTAATGATAAACCAATAAGTGTTGCACATATTTGAAGGCATTAATAATATCTTCGATAATAAAATCTTTGTAAATAAAATATGTTTTCAAATTTGGATAAAGGTATAAAACAAAATTACTTACAGTCAATATCAACTGATGGAACACGTCCTTCCAAAAAATCACTCTCAGACACACAATCTAAAATATTGAGCAACGTTTTTGTTAGTTTCAACAAATCAGAAAAACTATAAAACCCAAAATAAATTAATTCTCTAGCTAATTTCACCACCTAAAAATCAAACGTTGGAAAAAAGTACAATACAAACGCAAATATCAAATAACTTACCTCGAACGTTAGTTTGTTCTGTTCCTGATCGGCAAAAGACCACATTTTTGCTACCACGTTGCAAAGATAGTCTCCTACGAAAGCGATGGTCGATGAAAATTTTTCACGTACAGCCTCCTTGTTCGGATTCGGAGTCTTGTTCGAATCGTAACTGAAAGTCAAATTGTATTTACAAATCGCTATTTAGAGGATACGAAAATTGTTTACTCTAGAATGGACATCTGAGATGGGATTTCGGACCACAATCGGGCGTATTTAACCGGCGTGACGGGCTCTTGGGGATCTCGGTCTACGTGCAAATGTAGCATCAGGCGACAGAATGACGCTCTTAAATCAAAACTGACGTTCTCGTCCGACATACACTTCAGTATCAACTCTATCGAGAGTCGAGGCGACAGATTATTGAGTGCTAAGTATTGCCTATTCAAGCACATATTCGAAAATAAATCGAGTTGATGTCTATAATAGTCTAATATAGCTTGGTCCTCTTTAATTCCCAATTTGGCGTTTCTACAAAGATCGGTTAAAAATATAGGCTTTTTAGGAACGCTAAATTGCAATTGTATTTCCTCGACATCAGTTATTAGGGACTCTTCGCGGTCCAAAGAGCCGTCTTCGTTGATTTCTTGTACTTCCACTTCAGTGTTAACCATATTAGTTTCAATAAGGATATCTGAGTTCTTGTCGCTCAGGACACTTTTACAAATTAACTCTTGAGTCACGGGAATAGCTTTTTTATTGCAAATGCACAGATCTGATAGATAATCCAAAGAACGAGATTCCCAGTTGTTCATATTCTTTTTAACTAAACCCACGAAAGTTTCGATTTCCGCTGCTGTTATGTGCTTTTCTAGCAGCTTCCTGTTGTTATGCAGAAGCGCAGTTATAGTATCTTCAGCTAGAATGTCATATCCAATTTGTTTTTGCATGAAACCAAAATGCTTAGCAATATATTCCTGATTCTTTCGATAATCCTGCTGGCTCAGCCTCAAAATTCTGTAACAGAGCCTGAAAATGTGCTTGTACGGAGCGTGCCTAGGATCGTTTAGTTCTTCTATCTTTAAAAACGGACCTTCGGCGCCGTTGTCCAAAAATGGACCCTGAAAAAGATTATTAAATTGAGTTTACAAATTTTTACTATTGAGTTTACCACTCACTTGCAATATCTTAAACAGTTGTTTTAATATGGCCTGCTCTCTTAAAAGCTTCTGTCTGTCACGATTCGGGTTTGTAACGATTAACTCCAAGGCTTCAGATTTATTTTGCTCATTTTCTAATTCAGCAACGAAGTATACAATGTCGTGAAGAAGTGTTGTTAACGACCTAAAATACTCAAATATAAATTACATGTTAGTTACATTTAAATTTTTTTAGTACCGTCTTTCATTGTGAGATATAGTACCCTGTTCTAAATTAACTGATAGAGATGATAGTAATTTACAGGCATCGTTAGCGAAATCTAGGTCTCTGACTTCAACTGGAGATACGGCGATTAGGGCAAATGCTTCCTTGTCTTCTTTAGTAACTGCACAACCTACTTTAGACATAACAGGTTTTTCCTCGTCTTTATCTATAGATTCAGCTGTTGAATGTACCCAGCTATTCGTGATCATATGATGTAATCGTACGTAGCTCGATTGAGGCACTAATGAATCGGCTCTAGTTAAACTTGTAGGATCCAGCTCGAAAAGAGTGGCAATATCGTAATTGCAACCAAAAGGAACCAAGTGGTATTTGCGATTGTCGATTATTGCATTGTTCAATCTTTCTTTGTCTTCTTCGGAACTCGTCACGTGTTCCTTATCGACATCAACTGCTAAATACTGGCCTGTCGCTAAATGTTTAAATCTGAATAGGGAATCCCAGTTCCCCGCTCCTCCTCTGCAAGGATCGTTTTTAACTACTTCCACTTCCCACAACGCTACAATTAGTATAAGTATAGAAATTTCGTTTGAGTGCATTCTTAATAGCACTCACCTTTACTGCTAGTAGCAGCAGTGGCGCTAGTACGACCTGTAGTTCTTAAGAAAACGTGATGTTGCTTCTTGTACTCGTCCATCGTTAAGAATTTCTCTTGTTCAGCGTGAAATAGCCTAACGACGTCCCCGCCTTTCAAAACGTCATCCAGATTTTCCTTGAACTCCAAAAACAGAGTAACTTTCCACGATGTGTTTCCATTTACGATGTTGACTTCTTTACAACTAGGATTGTCCGGTAATTTGTGATTCGAAACGTGAAGTTGCTGGCCGGGACTGAGAGGATTCAAAATTACTTTATCGCCGAGAACAATGTTATCACCGGTGGTTCGGAGTTTGTAGAATGGAAGAATGTAAAACCATGACCCTTCATTGCCGTTGCTGTCTAAGTACACTCTCATCGCATTCTTTTCCAGTAAGGCCGGCAAACGTTTGTTTACCGTTAAGTACTTGTTGGACTTCAAGTGTAGCAACTGAAATTTTTTTAAAGTAATTAGGGCGCATTTTTAAATTTTTAAAGGTGAATAAAATGTTTAATTGTCCCGTAGCATTTTTTTTCAGGATAACGATAACGTTTTAAAGTTTCAAAGCAAAATCGAACAACAAAATCGTTAGGCAAAATCATTAATTACTGCTGATAGCAAATCATTGATAAAAGGCGTAATTAAATCAAGATTTTTCAAGGAAATCAAAAACCGAACCTAATGATAAGGTCCCAACATTTTCTATAGTAGTTTATTTTTAAACACAAATAATCTCTGTGTTGGTACAATTTATCTTAAATTGGAACACGAAAACAAGAAAACTAAATTGGAGAACGAATAACTAGTCGTGAAATTATTAGTTTACAATAATCGATTTAATTGATTTAAATTGTTTAAATTTAGATTGCATATATGATTTTATTTATCTCTAGAAATTTGTTATTTGGATGCTTTTAAAGAGAAATTTGTACTGTACCTGCACTACATGCCCGTATTGCACTTTGGTGCCCAAGAGCTTTTTGTTTTCAGATTCATTTTGCTTCTTTTCGATTTCTGCAGCATGCTAAAAGAAATATTTGAAGAATAATTCGTGTATTGTTAGTAAAAGTACTTAGTAAACAATGCACACGAATGGAATCGAAACTTACATGTAGCCGTTTTAAAAGATTGGTATCTGTGTTTGCACTCATACTTTGCTTTGCTGCCTTCCAGAATTGCTTCTGAGCAGAATACCTGTTCATGGGACATATTTTGAAAAGACAATCTCTGAATTTCTTTGGTGGAGTCGTTAAACTCCCGGATTCCGGACATACCACACATCTGTCATCAACTAATCTAAAAGTAGCAGAATAATTAAGTGCGTTAGTTTTAATTGAGCAATTTAAGTAAGAAAAACTTACCCCAGGGTACTTAAAAATCCACAAACATTGCCTTCTGCATATAGGGAAACTATGTCCCCCAAATGCAGTATACTTGAATTTCCGAGTTCCATGTTTGATTCTAATTACAGTTGAACCATCATTAATTTTTGCATGTTAATAAACTTCAATAAACTAATGTAGGTGTTGGGCTAACACTAAAAATAAAATTAAAACAAAAATATTTTACATTTAAAATAACATCTGTCATGTGTCAGAGAGTAAGCTACTGGTATTGTTTATATTCGATTAAAATTAGAATCTTGGCAGTACTTAGGTCTCTAACAATAACAAATAAGGCAATAATTAATATTTAAAAACTACAATTAAAATTGGTAATTAACAGTGATAGAAAAACAAATATAGGTTATGAATATAAAAAGTTAACTTACCAATGGACCCAATTCCGACTAAGCTTCAAATGTAATTATACAAACGGCAATTATTCTAATTTTTCTATTTTACATTGCAGTAATATATGTATAGTGCAGGATTCTCAATAACTTCCACTTGAACCCAAAATTATTGACAAAAACCCTTTCAAATTGAGCCGTAGCAACTAGTTGCGCAGAAGCGATATATTTCTGTAACCTGTAGAGATCATTAAAAAATTATTGACCAATAATTTAATGGTAGATTTCTCTTATTTATATTTAATAAGAATACAGATAACTTTAGGCTGCTTGATTTACGTACCCGATATCACGAGCGTATTGAACACTTGTCGTTCAGTGTATAATTAAGCAATAAAAAATAACGAACCGTTTTAAAATGAGCAGTTTTAATTGACATATTACTAATTATTTATTTATTTGATATGGGTTTGATAAACATCCTACGCAACTTGATAATTAAAAAATGCAAAAATTACTGTATACGCTGGAATAATAATAGAAGTTACATCGTCTTAAATCCGTTCAAAATTAGATTAGGTAATCCATCAGCTTTCAAAGCTAGTATATTTATATGAAATTATGATTTTCTAATAATATTTTTAACAGATTGACACGTGGCCATGACACGTGCTCTTGACATATTTGACAGTGACATATGACAATGGCATAAACAAACTCGTTCATAGAACATCGTTTGCAGAATGACAGAATATTGTAAAATGTCGATCGCTATCTACAACGATTGCTTGGCATTAACGTTAATTTCATGCAGTTTCCTATTTAATTTTAAAAATGACCTAATTTTAAACGTGCTTTTTAATGTATGCTGCAGATGGCAATAGTAATTTTGATTTGATTTCTGTATATCGAATGTGTATTATTGCCCCAATCCCAATAGGTAGTTGAATAGTGACAGGTTTGTTGGTAATTTGTAGGGTGAAGAAGATCCTTATTCGTCAAATTATTTGTTCGATTTAGACACGGCCATTGTATTTCAAAAGTGATTACGTCTTCAAATATATATATATTTTAATTAGGTATACCAAATTCATGGTGAGAATTTCATGACAATCTAAAAATGTCGTCCCCAAGTGCTGGAAAAAGACGTATGGACACTGATGTTATTAAACTGTATCCTTTGTGTTCTCGAAATAATACCTTTGCTCGTTTGTATCAGCTGATTGTCGAAATACTGCTATTGGTTTTTTCGCAATTTTTAGGTTCATTAAACATTTGAAGTTTTTATTTAATAAGTTAGAATCAGATTTTGGTTCACTACGCAGAAACAGCTGATTGTCAATAACAATATGTTCATTTTCCTTAATTACTCATTTAGCATTGAGAGTAAACATGAGGTAACCATCCTTGGTGGACTTAATGAATTCTGTGTCAAATTTTATGGACCTAGAGGAAGTAAGTCTGATTATTGTTCTTTATTAAGAAGTAGTTTTTCTTTTTTATTGTAGCTCCTTATGAAGGTGGTGTGTGGAAAGTAAGAGTTCATTTACCAGAACATTATCCTTTTAAATCGCCAAGTATTGGTTTCATGAATCGCGTTTACCACCCAAACATAGATGAGGTCTCTGGAACAGTATGTTTGGATGTAATAAATCAAGCCTGGACCGCTTTATATGGTGAGTTTATTTTTTACTCAACCTATCCAAGATCATTTAATTAATTTTTTATAATCGCTTCCTATTAATACAGGTTTTTTTTTTAATTTTATCTGTTTTATGAGCTAAGTATAGACTAATATTTTATGGTTCTTAAGAGTAGCATCTAATTATATAAGAATTATGTATTTTAGGGTATTTTATATGGTAACATTTGTTCGTTTACAGATTTATCGAACATTTTTGAATCATTTCTTCCACAATTATTAACCTACCCCAATCCTATCGATCCTCTAAATGGAGATGCTGCTGCAATGTATTTACATAAACCGGAGGAATATAAAAGAAAAGTTTCAGGCAAGTACTATTTTATATAATGCTTTAATAATAGTAATAAATTCTTGAAAATAATTTCATATCAAAAAATAGTAAAACTTTAATCATTTCTTTATAAAAAACCCTATTTGTATAAGAGCGTTTTCACACGATGCAATATATTAAAAACAATAAAAAAATGTGTGCGATATATTGTTAATAATTGTTGCACTACTGCAATATATTGACCAAGTTAGAGCAATAATAAGGTAAAACCCTGCATCAATTTACGTGGGTTTCTACTGGTCACAATATACAATACAATATTGTACATACAATATACTATTGTACAATGTATTTTAACTGCAACAATTGCAATATATTGCGTCTTGTGAAAGAAAACGCTGTATTGCCATATTTTATTTTATTAGATTTTTTCGTTTAGAATTAAATGAGACACTTCGCTCTCTTTCAGAATATGTCAGAAAATATGCCACAGAAGAGGCTCTTCGAGGGCAAGAAAACGTTAGTTCTGATAGTGAATCTAGTATGTCAGATTTCTCTGAAAATGAAGCTGAAGACATGGAGTTATAACGCAGGCTATCATCAAACTCCACCATCTCGCTCAATATGACCTCCCTAAGTGTAGGTGACATTTACGTTTCAAATTTATATGTGATGTGCTTAAAAAGTTATTTATATATTCTTGATTGTTTTGCCTTTTCATAGTTTATTTTGTTGGTCAGTCTGTCCCAGGATTTATTAACGCTGATATACACTTCCTTCTTTTAGTATCCGTTCATACAACTTCGAATGTACAAAAAAATCCTGTTCTATATTTTTTTTAAAGAAGAAAGCGATAACAAAACTCTATAATGTAAACCAGTATATCATCATAAATCTTTTTTTAGTAACAAAAGAATTAAATCGACTGTATCGAGAAATGGTAACATTTAAATTATAGACAGGATTTTTTGATAATTGTAATATGGAGATAGCATGTATCATAAGAACCAATGTTACTAATGGCGATAAATTATAGTCACATTTAGTGCCATTCGAAAATAAAAAAGTTACTTATTTTTATTTTGAAGCCAAAAACTTTATTCAGTTAACTTATTGTTTTTTTGTGAACCATTTTAATATAATTTTTATTTATTACAATTTTAATTTATTTAGGAAATTTAGTTTATTTTATTTTGCTTAAATAAGTTATTGAAATATTTCAAACAAATACCGCGAATATTGGTTTTGTAAGGTTATTAAGTTTTCAACCAGCAATTTTTATTATTTTATTTTTCTTGAATAATTCGTGTTTCAAAAATAAGTAAAACGGTTTTGTATTTATTTTAATTAAAATATGCGACCAAAGAGGTGTTAGTCTTAATTTAAATAAATGGACACTTTTTGATGCATGCAAAATCTCGCCAAAACATATCTTGACATATTGTATCCAAAATACTACAGTAGTTTATAAAATACCCAAAAATTTGTAAAATGATATCCACCCTATAGTAATACATTATTTTAAATTTTTATTTCATTTGTGTGTTCGCTTAAAATATATAAAATAAGTACTATATAAATTTTATATACACAAAATGGCCAGTCTAAATTGATAATCTAATTAGATATTTTCTTTCGTATTTTTTATGCACGGAAATAGAATTTTATAAAATTTATCGAATGTAAATACTCAAGAAAATATTAAAATATCTTCCAATATCTATAAAACGGGGGCGATTAGTAAGGCTTAAATGGAAATTCATTCTTAAAAATGTACTATTGATAATACTTTTGATTTCTAAGGATAAACAACAATTATTGAATCATGTACATTTATTTGAAGTAAATTTCCAATGTGATAATTTGAAATATTTTGCCATTGCAACACCCCTTAATTGTTTTTCAATAAAGAAACAAACTTCTAAGGTGAAATAATACACTTGAATAATTAAAACGACACGTAATTTTATGATCACAACACGGATTTATGTAGTCTTGTTCAAACTACACAGTACTCTTACAAAAATATGTTCCTGCGTTAGTATTTACAGTATGAACAATGTGTTTAAATAACACCCGTGTTTTCATTTTTTTTGCTATTGTTCTAGCAGATAATAGTCAAATCAAATACTTGCGTATAATTAAAATTAAGCAGGGGATTAATCATAGAATTATCATAATAATCATCTTTTATTGTATCAAGTTATTAAGTACTATGCAAATTTTATAAATGTTTAACCAAAACAATTCATAGGAAGTGTTTTTGTAAATGAAAACAGTGTATAAATTACCTTCTTAGAGGTTTGTTTACGTTTTACTTTTGATATAAATTACAATCTGGCTTTTGTTTATTACCATTTGCACGTGAACAAAAATCATGAAAGACGATTAAAAGAAAAAAGAATCTGTATTTTTTGTGCATATTGTAGATACTCGATCCTTGTTCGTCTGGGACATTGTACATATTATAATATCCTATTAATAAGATTTTATGCCTTTTAACCATTCAGGATATTCATATAAAAAAGTTGGATATTGACATTATTGTAGTGCAAAGTTCATAAATGCATGTAATACATGTCGATATCCAAAATAAAAAGGATTTATTAGAGATTAATATGTCGTGTGATTTTTGATCTAAATGTGTAATTTTTCGAATTTTATGACAGTCATGTGTTCGTAAGCATGCTTACATATTGAAAAAAGAAGGAGAAAAAAAATAATATTAGAATTACGAATTCGTCTACAGTAGATGTATACATGAAAGTTTAAATTTCGTTGCCATTTAACCGTAAATATTTACCTTGCTTTCCGTGATGCTGTGTATTTCAAAATATATCTTAATGCAATAATTTGTGCCTCTAGAGCAAATATAAAATGTGTCCATAAGAGATGAATGTTTATTTACAATCTGCTCGTTGTTTTTAGTGTCTGACATGCATTTATTTGCTTTAAAATATAACTTCAAATTTTTGATTATTTAACGTTTTAAACTCAATTGTGGTTGCATATTGTAATAAATAGTCACACTTGCTCCAAAATTCGATAAAAGAGTATTTTTGATACGTATTACGTTTGTCGGACACTTACGAAATTCCATGGCAAAAATTAGTCTAAAATTACAAGAATGCAAACATTCTAAATATCTGATTAATAGAGAAGCAATTGTAATTGTAAGAAACACCAAGCGTCTATACTAATGTATTGTGTATTGTCAAATGTTCGTCTACTAAAATTGTTATTACAGTAGTATGAGCAGTTTTTCAATCCGTCCAACCAAGCACAGCATCTTTTTTTTTGAAAACGGCTTGTTATCGTTAATATACAGAGCTTTATACTAATTTTACCACCTTTCTTTCTTTCATTTGATTTACTAATGGCTTATAATGATTGCTCTCTATAGCTACTTCGCATTCAATTTATTCATCATTAATCCAATGTAAAATTAAGATTTCCGAACATTCATCTCTATTAATGAATTTTTGGACAATTTCAACGCGCTTTATTTTCGAAATTTACGTGTTTCTTGGACAATTTGTCTTCCAAAAGATTTCACCAAATTCACGTGATTCTTGTTCGTTTTTCCTTATTCTTAAAAAGAACGTATTTATGAACATATATTGTTTGCAAATGGGGTGTAATAACTGTGATTTTAAATGGACGATTTGGAAAACTACTATTATATACTTGTTACTGCCAATATTAATGACTTACCTGTTCAGATTGCTTAATAGTAATAGATTTTAGTTTTATGAAATAGTTGCCTTACTGAGCGAGAAATAATGTTTAGTTTAATTACGTATCGGTAGTGCAATAGGTTTATACTCTTTTAACTTACATTAACTTTCATTTAAGAGGTCATCACACTATTTACTTCGCGGTTTTTCTGTAATTAAACCTTTAAAGTAGAATTTTTACTTTTCTTAAAAAAATTCCACGTTGAAGCGAAATGCTTCTGGTAATGCGATGCTTGATTTATGAGAAACGGTTTAATTTTGTGTCTTGTGAATTTTACATTCGACAATATATTTTGAAATCAGGGATTTAATGTGCCTAGAAAGATATTGCGTACATGTAACTGAGTAATGTATTTTTTCTCACAATGAGCGAACGATAAAGTGTTTTTACCTCTTAAGATTTTGTGGTCTCATATTACATACAATTTAGTTAAATATTGTACATATTAATATTTATATTTAACATTTACCTATTCGCGTCAAAAACTTTAAGATATTATTTTAAGGTAAATTAGTGTAGTGAAGATTTTTTTACATTTTAGCGTCGTAAACTAGTTCGTAAGTACGTTTTTTATCATTCGGAGAGTTCATACATAACGTGTCTTACTAGTTACTATTTCAGTTATATAAATTAATTTACAGCACAATAACCTAAGAGTTTTCTTTTAAGGATTTGTAATGTAATCTTCATTTTTATTACGTTGCTGAACGATTTAAAAAAATAGTTTATATTATTTTAATGTGACACTTCTTACTTACGTGTTAATAACGTATATTTTTAGTTTCCTATGTTGTTACAGTGTGGTCTAACAAAAGATTTCAATTTCCTCAACAATTAATTCGTGGATCACTACATTTTTATTAGATTTAAAGTTGAATAACATAGTTATAAGATGTAGATTCCTAAATTTATATTGTAAATGTGGGCATAACCGTTTTTTAACTGTAAAATTGGTTGATATAATTTTTATAAAATTGATTATAGTTGATAAAAAGTAACAATAACATTCATATAGATCATTGATCACGGTTTCTATTTTTAATGAACAATGAACTTTTAAATGTAGATCATTTGGTAGCGTTCAATAATAATAAAGAACTACATTTATGTATGATTTTTATTTACCTTATATTCCCTCCTGAAAGTAGTACCCAGTGACAAAAAAGTTAAGCATTCGAATCGATGCGGTCCAAGAAATTCCGTCCAAAACCCAAAATATGAGACAAACTCTTTGTTCATTATTGTTGTCCATTTCAAAATTCGCAAAGCACTAGTGAGATGAACTGATTTCAATCAGCTGTGCTACAACTAAACTGATTGAGAAATCTCTAATTTTTTGCTTGCTAATTAAGATTAGTTTTCGCTACATACAGAAACAAGTTAAAAATATTAAGTGCAGGTAATTTAAAATTCCGGATACTTTTTTCCACAGGGTATATTTTATTTAGTAAGATTGGGTAAATTAAAAAACAGTTTTAATTAAATATATCTTTTACTTACAAAAAACTTCATTTCTTTTTTACCAAGAATAAATATGAAACCAAAATAAAGAAAGTAAATAGCAAATTCATGTATCATACAGTTAGAGTACCATAAGTACCAAAAGCATATTCAATACTCAATAAATTGGTGTTAAGACAATGTGTGACAATGGGTTCAATGTATTTGTTGTTTTCGCGACTTCTAGTAACATTCCAAATTTTAATAACCCCATTTAGAGTTCCAGCACATATCTCACTACCGTTAGTTTTCCAAATCATTTTTAAAATGGGCGCCTCTTTACACTTCAGTTCAGTAGTAACTTTAGAAGTCAATATGTCCCACACTCTAATAGATTTATCGTCACTTGCACTAGCTAAAAATTTACCACACGGACTAAAGACCAAACTATACACAATACTCTTGCTAGCATGTAAAAGTCTTAAGCAACTAGCTTTATTAATGCACCATAATCTAATGTTACTATCAGTAGAACCCGTTGCTAAATATAAACCATTCGAATGAAAATCTAAACATGTAACAGTTTGCGAATGACCACAAAATATCCTGAGTATTTTTCCTTTTTTCAATTCCCATAGCCTGGCTGTTCCATCGGCAGAACCCGTGGCTACATAGGCTCCATTTCCACTAATTTTAACACAGTAAATAGCACCTAAATGACCTGTACATTTTTTCACTAATGTCATGGCTTCTAAATTATAAATACATAAGGTTCCATCAGCGGAGCCCGAAACTAAAAATCTATTGTCAGGAGACAAGTCGATACAATAAATATGACTTGAATGGTGTATAAATTTCATAGGAGAATTATTACTTAAATTAAATATAGCATTCATAGGATATGTAGGCATTAAATAAAGTGAATTATGTTGAGCAAACACTACAATACCCGCTGTTCTTTTCAACAATCCGCATGACACTAAATGTTTACTGTTGGTTGAAACAAACTGCGTATTAAAGTGACACTTTGCAGAATTTTCCGTTTTAATGGGAAGTAACGAGGGGTTTGAAAGTGTAACACGAATCTGCAGTTTATCTCTAATTTTGACAATAAAAATCGGAGTCACTTCTCGCCTCAAATCCCTTAAGCATCTAAGAAATTTTTTTTGTTTGTACTCTTTTCTGTGCTCAATTGTACGCATTCTTTTTGGTTTCTTCTTCTTAGCAAAATCATTCACTTGAAAGTCAAAGTAAGTCTGTAGAATTTGCAGGAACAAAATATGACAATTTTCTAACACAAATAACTTCAAGTTTCTTAACGAATCAGGTTGCAACTTTAACACTATCCTATTGCTTCGGAATCTTTCCTTGAATTTGGCGATGTCCTTATCCTTCTTACCGTTGGCAAATATTAGTTCTCTTATCACTTTATCACATTTGTTTTCGTTTATCGAAGGAAAATGACACTTGAAAAACGATGTAGCTACATTTGCATCCTTGCATTGCAAGATTTCCATGTACAGATGATAAAATAAAGGAGCGACAATGCGTTCAATGTCGTGGAAGCGATTTCGGAATTCCGTCTGCTCTCTTAACCAGAACAAAAATTTTGTAAAGTTCTGGTCGATAATTATTGGATCACAGTTAGGATATAATATTGAATTCGATTTCCCCAAGGATATTTCTACGGCTGAATGGAGTAACTGTTGCCTCTTTGTAACCATAAACGTTGGCGAAGTATTGTAATTCCTCCGTTGAAGATACGATGCAACAGCATTTTTCACCTCACTTCTTTCATCCATTATATAATTAAAAAAAATGATAACGTATACATTGTTTTATAAAAAATAAAATTAACTAATTTAAACGTTGAACTACAATAATTATAAATTGCTTCGAGTATTTGAGGTTAGGTTAGTGCGGGACTATACATTGCGTTTTGACGGAAGCGGTTAGTGCGGGACTGTACATTGCGTTTTGACGGAAGCGGTTAAACGGGACACGTTCAGCCGCATTTTATTTCATCGGTATACATCCATCGTTTATCCCGCTAAAAAGGATGCGGCTCAGTCATTTCTTTGTAGAATTCAGATAGAAAGTAGATGGTTTGATGAAAATTTAATCAAATATTAAAATTGTTAGCGCCCTTGAAGCTACTGGCTTACTTAAAAAAGAGAAAGAAAATACAATATTCATCATTTTCATGCTTTTCATGTTCTTCGACATACTGAATGAATTTATCAGTGTCGAATATAATTAATACTATAAATATCCAACAAAATATTCAACAAATCCAAAATACTATATTCAAATAACGAAATTTTCTGTATAATGATCCCGTTCAACCGCACAGTGTATAGACGCTACAAATGAAATGAATGTGTTCTTGTCGATATGAGTTTTTAAAAGGGACCCGTTAAACCGCAGCAAGACGCGGTTGAATCCTGTTGCCGTTACCGGACCGCACATGCATAGACGATCTAATATAAAACAATGTTTTCTACCTATCCCGCGAAACCGGTCCGGTTAAAACGCTCTCGTCAAAACGCAATGTATAGTCCCGCACTTACGGTTAACCAGGATAGCCAACATTTTTAAGCGTCAATTACGTCAACCGTTCTAAAACTTACTAACGAATTGTTATGTTCGATATCTACACTGAGATTGCAATTTATATTAATTGGTTAAATAATTGGCAATATTGTACAGAAAATTTTAATAACTCTTATAATCTATATTTATAGTTGGATTTTTTTGAGTATTTATTCTATTTCTGTAGAGAAAAAGTTTCTGAGCTCAATATCACGTTACCAACATAATAATTCGGGTACGTTTTTTTGTCAAATCTTGTAATATATCAAAGAAGCCGTTACGGGAACTGTTCCTTTGGATTTTCGTTGACATTTGACATAAAAACATACAACTCTATACCTGTCTAATCTAAATAAAAAAATGGCATATTCCATAACAAATATTTTTCCATAAAATCGTCGCAGTATTATTTGAATATGAAAAATAACCCGTTGGATGCAAAAAATTAATTGGATTTAAGAGAATGCTATGAGTATCACTGACGTCGATATAATACTCAGAAGGCTCTCAGGTCGATTTCATAAAATATTTTACGACAGAGAATTCGTAGGTTGTATTCAGGAAGATTTTCAAGTTATACTTAAAAACAGGAACCGCTGTTGGTAAGTTCGCACTCTCAAGTATTATTTAATCGATTGCGCCGCACAAATACGCGGAAAAAGAATGTACGCTGTGCAGTGAAAGAGAAAGTAGAATCTTCAGACAGTGACTTCAACTATTATGTAAAGACCAATCTTGATTTTACTTTCATTGGCGTTTACTTTTAGTGTTGTTGTCTTTCCTCTTCTCGGTCCAAACTATTTTAAAGCAATCCAATATCAAGCAGAAATTTTTGACTTTGAGGTGTTTGTTTTGAAAAATAAGAAAATAAGTTCTATCGCAGTATGTGACAAAAAATTCTTGATGTAAGTTGTTTAACAGTAAATTTTTTGTTATTGTAGCGGGTTGTTCGACGTAGTTTTTCAAAATTCAACAGTATTCCCATTTTAGGGCTTGCAATATGTTGTTGTAGTGACCTATCTGTTATCATTTTTTTTTAGAAAAAACTCGAAAATTCCCGACAGACAAATAATGCCCATTACTGAGCAACAATGTGGTGTTGGCAGTACTTTAAAGAAAAAACGTCCTGAGAGGCAGCTTTATGTACCACCAGCTCAAAGGAAGCTATCTGTTAATGAAACTCAGCCGCAGAGTGAGCAAGGAAGCAGTGTAAAACTCAGAAAGTGCAAAAAATCAGAATCGTTCAAGAAAGTGAAAAATAACAATGAAACCTGCAAGGCGGAGCAAGAAAATGTGAATCAACTGAGTGAAGAGCCCAATAAACGAATCTCTGAAATTAATAGCTACAAACTTATGGAGAACTATTCGTTTATGTGGTGGAAATATGCACTGTTCGAATCTCCATGTGGAAATGACCATAATTTCTTTAATCCAACAGTACCTTTAACAAACATGCTGTGCCGTACCGACTTAAATGGATCAATGATATTTGATTCCAGAAGAAATTTATTTACTTTATATATTTTAGGTAATGACTTTGTACTTTGGCAACCAAAAGTCTACGCATTTATTAGAAGCAGCGATAATAATGCAAAAATCGTTCCTCCCAGTAATATTTATTTACTAAACAAAGAGGTATTTATAGCAATTCTACTCCATTTATTATCTAATCGTGTGTTTAATTTTTTGTAGGTAACTGTTTGTGAGAAAATGGCTTTAGCAGAATGTTCTTCCTCTATTACGACATACGTAGAAGTTATAAATAAGTATAGTATATATTGTGATTTTGATGTATATTTACTGAGAAGTATCGACAATGCCTATACTTTTTTGGATATGTACAGCCTTTGTTACTATTATCTGGTAGTAAATGATGAATACAATGAATCAGATTGGATAAACGAGTTGGTAAATATTTTTAACGTTGTTTAATACCTCCATGGAGCGATCCTCGACTATTCAGCGACCTTGAATTTTGCATTTTTAGTGTTTACAATAGCAAATAAATTAAAATTTAATGTCATCAACCTTATTAACAGGCTTTTCCTCGTTTACATCTTGAGTAGAATGAACCACTCATTGTTTTTAAACAAACTTTATTTATTATTCTAACTTATTTATATTTTATTAGTTGGCTGAAGATTGCAAAAACGACGATTCGAAGAATACGCCAAACAATACATCACAAGAAAAAAAAATGGTTGTTCGTGATAAACCGTCACAGCCAGAAATGCATTTACAAAAAAACAATTTGAACTATTTAAGAAGCAGCATGCAAGTCATTGATAACGTGAAAAAGGAGAAAAACGAATTGGAAGAGGAGAAAGAAATTATGAGGAAAACTAAAGAAAACATAAACAGAAAAACTCGTCCGATTATAAAGTATGTAGACGAAGCGAACGACGCTTTAAAAATCGAAAAAGACGATGTTAATAATTGGGAAGATTTGTTTAATGACGAAGGTCAACTGCAAGAAGATTTATTTAAACAGGTAATAAATATAAATTGTTGAGATATTTACATGTTAATCTACAAATTATCTTTCCCCAGATAATCCATAAAGTTGGAAACGATGTAACAATAATTAAAGCTAAAGAGGACTATTCGGACTACTTTACGAAGCAAGTAAACATCGAGGAACTGGAGCATATGGTGGAACTCTACGATTTCCCTCCAACTTTACAAACCCACGATTTGATCCAAGCATTCAGTGAAATCAACAGTGACGCTATGTATATTAAATGGGTCGATGATACCCATGCCATACTCGTCTTGGGCTCTTCCACCCAAGGTAGGTGCCTTGTCATTCTCTGGCTTTCAGCGCAATTAAAAGCGTTATATTTCAGCGCAAAGAGCCATAAACGTTAAAAATCCTTTGATAAAAGTTCGACCCATGACGGCGGCTAGTAAGGTTACTCTTTCTACTGCCTACAAGCACGGCCTGAAGCCGGCAATGAAACGGCCTCCCACGAATTTACAAACTGCTCGGAGATTAATCACGACCCATCTTGGAACCAAAAGCGGAATTAGTAAAGAAGCGAGTGCGAAAGAACGGGACGATTTGAAAGCCGCTCGAGGTACAAAGCTCTTCCTTAATGACTTGTATAATTTAGAATTCAGTCTTCTTATGTGCATTATACTTTCAGAAATGAAAAAAATTGTCAAGAAAAACGAACAAGACGCTTGGGAAGGAAACCTGAAGTCTTCGAAGAGTTCAAATTGATTATGTTAATTCTCCACTTGATTATGTCTTCAATGTTTCGCAGTATATCGTTTTTCCGTTAATTTTGTTGTGTTATATATTTATTTTGTTGATCAATGTTATTTGTTTAATTAGCCGATGTTTCGTTTTGAGATTTGTTGAGTGATTAGTTTGAAAGATATAATCAAGTTTATGGGAATTTTGTAATAGTTGCATTTTTAATGTTCTCGTTCAAATGGGTCCACATCCAAAGATGATATGATATTCAGTACCTACAACAAATTTTGTGCCTTATACCTTTAAAATAGATATGTATTTATTACTCATCTTGTGTTGATGCATTCATAGTCGTTTTATCAGGATGTGTTAATTAATTACTTAAATATTTTTACTATGTGTCTATTGTCCTACAATAAATTATAATGTATGGAATATTATTATTGTTTATTTAGCCCTAAATTGATTTAAGATGTGGCAAGACTTGAATATTGGACGCTCGTTTATTGTAATTAAGTAATTTTAGATTATTTAATGTTAATTGTGAGATATTTAGCATACGACCTAGAAGAACCTCTGTGCCCATTCATGGGAAAGCAGTACCTACTATTAAAATAGCGATGGGATCTTTTAGTCTTAAATCAGAGAGGAAGGATTGAAACGAATATACATTACTTCCCCTTTCCGTTTCAAGGGGGGAATGTATATAAGTCCACCGATTTTAAACAATCTGATTGAAAGAATCATTTGACGCTGTAGGATATCCTCCATTAAAGTCAATAAGCGCTCCCGGGGCAAGTGCTATTCTAGTTTAAATAGTAATGTGATAGTGAATGGACCAATACCTTAAAATTTAGATCGATTAGTCGGTTATTTTGTATTTTTAGTTTTTGTAATTCGTGTAAGTTTCGGTTAAGTGAATTTTAAATATAAGATACCTTTACTCGTTTAGTGCGTAGTAGAAAGTGCAGTGTTTTTTTGAAAAACTTTACCATATTTTAGTGTATAAGAAGTGTACGATGGAAAGTTGTTAATCATTTCTTTCCAGCAAGTTCTTCCACCACTATAAAATATATAGGTAGGTCTAGGTGTCGATTTAGGTAACCTTTCTGGAGAATAAGTAGGAAATATCGATTTTTTACGTAAATTTTTAAATATACTCGCTAAATCATAAACCGACTTGTTAATTTTTGATGAAATGTTACCCAATAAATCATCAAAAAGCGCTGTATTGGTTATTGGGCACATTATCTTTGTATGTTAGCGATTAATTGTGCTAGATTTAGCTTCATCAATTCATAGATAAGAATCTCCGCTTATTATTGTTTTATTAAGTATCCCATTAGAGCGATAGCGGATGCATTTGGTTAATTCGACAAACATTGTATTCATATCCGGATTAACGACTATAATGGATTTATGTAAGTCTATGCTGCCTGAAATTTATTTTAGGATATGAAATATTGATAACTCATTAATCCTATTATATTGCCCGAAACATTGCAAGTAAATCCTTCATAAAAAACCTCTTGGTTCATTTACAAATTCAACCTGCGAAATTTTTGATCAAATCAAGGTTTTTTGGCTTTGACTTCTCCAAAGTAAAAATTGGATTTTTAAAGAATTATTTTTAGCCTTTACTCATCGAAATTATTTCGAATTTATTAGAACACATCCCGGAAACAAATTATTGTATTCGGTTTAATTTTATAAATTACAGAAGCAAATATTCTATGATTGTTAAAATGGACTTTAAATACGTTATTAGAATCGGAGCTATTTGTGTCAGTACCATTTGTCTTATTTGTAGAGACGAATTAGTCAATCTGCATATTCTTGTTTAAACATCCTAAATCGTTCTTAAGTAGGATTCGTAAATAAATTCGTTGAAATTATTTTCAGATTTAATTTGGGTCATGAGCTGACGGTGGAAGTAAAAAGCAGGCAAAATGACACAGCGGAGAGAAGAAACCCAGGAATTCGAAGAGGATACACTTAAAATAAACCGTCACGAAAATATCGAACTACCGGCCCTAACGAATGTGCCAAACTTAGTGAATCAATTAACTTATAGCAAAACGAGTACTCCTAATTATCCCGAAAGAGGATCGTGGAGTACCAAATTAGACTTTATCTTATCCGTAGTAGGTTTAGCTATAGGTTTAGGAAATGTATGGAGATTTCCATATTTGTGCTACAAAAATGGTGGCGGAGCCTTCCTTGTTCCCTACTTCATTACGTTAATCCTCGCCGGTATACCGATGTTCTTCATGGAATTGGCGCTCGGTCAAATGTTAACTATAGGAGGTCTTGGAGTGTTCAAAATCGCACCGATTTTTAAAGGTGAATTTAATCCAATCTATCGCTCCCAGAAGTAATCTTCCAAATTTTACAGGAATAGGATATGCTGCCGCTGTGATGTCCTGCTGGATGAACATCTACTACATTGTAATTTTAGCATGGGCCATATTTTATTTTTTCATGTCTTTACGTGCAGGTAATGAACATACAGATAACAAACTTACCTCTTAACATTGCTAAATAATAGAGATATTTTATTTAAGGCCTCTAATATGTACAATGCTAAAATTTATTTTCATTTAAAAATAATTGTTGTTACATTTATCACCGTTTGTCTTACAGATGTTCCTTGGAGGACGTGCAACAATTATTGGAACACTAAATTTTGCGTCAATCCTTACGATCGCAAAGGTTTACTTTGCTGGGAAAAATATAACGTTAACAACACTTTAAGCAAATTTTGTCAAATCGGCTCGTACAATGTCTCAGCCAATGACTTAACAGATCCCGTCAAGGAATTCTGGGAGTAAGAACATGCTCGCTATATTTAATATTTATTTCAATGGCAACATTTTTTATTAGACGAAGGGCTCTCCAGATCACCAAAGGAATAGAACATGTGGGCTCCATCAGATGGGAACTTGCAGGAACATTGCTGCTAGTCTGGATAATTTGCTACTTTTGCATATGGAAAGGGGTCAAATGGACTGGCAAAGTAGTCTACTTCACAGCGTTGTTCCCTTACGTGCTCCTCAGCATACTCCTAATAAGAGGCATTACATTGCCCGGCGCCACGGAAGGCATTCGCTTTTACGTGATGCCCAATTTATCGAAACTCACCGAATCGCAAGTATGGATCGATGCCGTTACTCAAATTTTCTTTTCCTATGGATTGGGTTTGGGCACTTTGGTAGCTCTGGGAAGCTACAATAAATTCACCAATAATGTGTATAAGTAAGCTTGGAGCATCTATAGTTATTTAATTTTAAACGAGTAATTCAAACTCTTTTCAGGGATGCTTTGATTGTGTGTTCGGTCAATTCGAGTACCAGTATGTTTGCAGGATTCGTTATATTTTCTGTAGTAGGTTTCATGGCTCATGAACAACAACGGCCTGTAGCAGATGTAGCTGCTTCTGGTAGATTAATAATTTGATTATTTATCTACGTGTTAAAATTTATCTGTTTTTAGGTCCTGGATTAGCGTTTTTAGCGTATCCATCAGCTGTTTTGCAATTACCAGGTTCTCCACTGTGGGCTTGTCTGTTTTTCTTCATGATCTTACTAATCGGTCTCGATTCGCAATTTTGCACCATGGAAGGGTTCGTCACCGCTGTCGTCGACGAGTGGCCGTCTTTGCTGAGAAAACGAAAAGAAATCTTCATTGCTATTGTTTGCTTCATATCGTATTTAGTCGGTTTGTCTTGCATATCGCAGGTGAGTACTTATGCAATCGAACGAATTTTTTTCGTGAGGAGGTGTATTTATTTTAGGGCGGAATGTACGTGTTCCAAATACTAGATTCGTACGCTGTGAGCGGCTTCTGCCTGCTGTTTCTGATTTTCTTCGAATGCATAGCGATTTCGTGGGCGTTTGGGGTCGATAAATTCTACGATGGTATCAAGGAAATGATCGGATACTACCCGATAAGTTGGTGGAAATTCTGTTGGACTATCGCTACACCTTTCATATGTATAGTGAGTTGCGGATAAAGCACATAAAACCTAAGTTTCTATACGATGGATTCTTTTACAGAGTGTGTTTGTTTTCAATTTGATACAATGGACTCCAGTGAAATACTTAAGTTACGAATTCCCTCGTTGGGCGCATCTGTTTGGTTGGGTGACGGCCTTAACATCTATGCTATGCATTCCTGGTTATATGATTTACCTCTGGAGCGTTACACCTGGAACCAGACAAGAGGTACGATCTTTTGTTAAGTCTAACACGCTGTTTATACGTTTTTAACATTCCAGAAAATTCGTCTTCTTGTAAGAATTGACGATGATGTTCAAACTATAAGAGCAAAAATGCATCAAAGTGCGCTAGGGGTCGCCGTGTGATAGACTGACTATTAGCTTTTAGTAAATACTACTTAGATGGGTTGTCACTAACAAAATATTTTGTACATTACTTTTTTTTATAAATATTTAATTTTAGATCCAGGTAATTAAGTTATTCTATTGCAGCTGCCACAAGTAGGTACAAACTATACTGTGTAAATAATTTAATGGTAAAATGAAAAAATGTAAATAGTGTAATGCAAAAAATGTAATATTTTTGTAAATTTTGCGTAGATTATAACAATATCGGGTGTAAGCAACATATATCACTATTATATCGGTTTAAGTTTGTTTTTTGAGAATAGATATACCTTAAGTATGCATGAATAATCTTTTGCTTCATTAATTAGTATAATTATTGATAAATAAATCATTTTAGCCACATTTTCTGGAGATACTGCGGTATAAAAGAGGCGTAAGTGACCTTTATAATTTTTACGTTAAAATTAATTAAATGTATTTAATCAATTTAGATTTTTGATTGTAACCATTATAATATATTGTACTTGTTACTTTCCTAATAAGAACATTTATTTATTGCCTACCTACTAGTCAATGTATGTTTATATTTCAGTTTATTGCAGTTAAATTTTTAAATAAAACTATTCATAAACAATTTCTAGTATGTTATTTAATGCGTATTTGGGATAATAAAATATACTGGGATTGAATAAAAATAGAAATAGTTATTCTGGAATGACTACTTTATTTCAGGAGTAAAATAGGTAGGTACAATTGTTACATCGATTTTTAGCTACTAATACATTAGAGATCACACAAAATATATAAGAATTCGAAATTCCACAAAATACTTTACGACAGTAAATTTAATATATAAGTTAATAGAGAGGAGTTACTACTAATTCATAAATTCATATTAATTGCTCTGAAAACTCGAACATGCTCTAGAGAAGTTTAAAAATAAATGTATTCCAATGGAAACCAGACAAGCGTTTTTATGGACAATAATTGTATCTATTTTCGATTATACAGGGTGTAACACTCACATATATGTGACTCCACAGTTAAAATGCATCTCTACTAATGAAACACCTACAGGATCAACAAAATTATAATACATATATTTATCACAAAATTCTTAATCTATATTTGAATTACCTACCAAAGTAAGTGTTTAATATTTTTAGGAACGTACTGAATATGTATGAAGTTAATAAATATTTATCCCTATTCATCTAAACCTTTAAATGCAGGCAACAGTAATACACTTCATTATCACAGCTAACACCTGTAGGAAACGGGATCGAATTGTAACTCATGGGATAATTTCAGAGATATGTTAGAAGCAATTTTTCACTTGATTGAGGTACTTCTGGCCACGGTGCTTCTAACAGAAGATCCTCTTGTCGACACGTAACGCAAGCTGTAGGAACTGGTACGATCTGGCGCTCTTCCATCAGACTTCAGGCAAATGGCTTGAATGAAACTCTCGCGAAAAGTCTTCGACATGAATCCGTAAATAATAGGGTTAATGCAACTTAAATAAAATAATGCAAATTAGCTTTTATCGGAGCGATTGAATTCGAGATTTTCACCTGTTGAAATAGGCCATTAACGAAAACGCGCTCGACATGTATTTCAGCGTCCCGAATTTCTGGAAAGGCAGGATTCCATAAGCTGTAAGTACATTATCCACCAACATCGGCGTCCAACAAACAGCGAAAAGCACCACGACTGTAACCAACATGCAGATAACCTGCTTCACCATGTTCGTGTCGTCTCTGTAGCCGTTTCTCGATTTACACTTCTGACTGTCGTTCGGCGAGAATGTCCGTATCAATTTTTGATTTTGTGGCAGGTATTTGCTCGGGTTTCGTGACAATCTGTACAAACATTTTATTAATTATTCTACTCATTGATTATTAAAATTCACTTACGCTTGTTCGCTGGTCATAGCGGATCTTCTTTCCATTACTTTCCAAATTTCCCAGCAAATGAGCCCGTAAGAAAGGGCCATAATGCAAAAGGGCAGCGCGAAAATCAAGATGAACATGTAGAGCTCGTGGAATTTATGTATCGATAAGTAATTAACATCCCAACCTGCTCGCACGCAATAATTCGATTCGTTTTTCCGACCTACTGGTAAATGCAACTGAAAAATATGTAAAAGATTTACAGAAACATGCCAATTTTTTTCTAAAAAAAGCGCATTAATCAACTAAATAGTGTGGTATCTTCTATTCTCATATACATACATGGTCATAAGTAATGTAACTTAATTAATTAAATATTACTGTTGTAACAATTAATAAAAAATATTCTTGTTCTAAATAAACTTTGGTATGATATAAAACAAGCTTTCAATTTTCAATCCTTTGTAATTTACTTAGCTCACGGCAGGATAATGGCGACATATAGCTACTTACATCAAGAATAATTACTAAAAATTAGTATGCATGAGAGTGCTGAGAGCGAGGAGAGTGGAAGATAATTTAATAAGAACTCACATGATAAGGTACTCTATTTGTATTGATTAATATTTTTTGACTATATAAATTAGACAAATAGAGATTTACAATAATTCCTTACCTGCGCTTTTATTGTTGGGGCACCCAATATTACCGCCAATATCCATATGACTAAAATAATTCTTTTAGCCTGGCTTATTGTGCAAATGTATTTTGCTTTCATCGGGTGAACAATTGCATAATATCTGCATAAAAAGAAAAACACGTGTGTTAATCAGGAGCGTGCATAAATGCAAATTTTGCAAAATCTAAAACCAGCCCGATGATAACCCCTTTTAAATGAATGAGTTTTACTAAATTTTGATTACAATTTTTTGAAATCCTCGGGAATTATCGAGAATTCATTGATTAATTTATAATGAAGTTTGAGTCAATAGTTTTTGTTAAAAATAAATTTTTCTCAATTGATTTGGGTTGAAAATTTTCCATACCTTTCGATGCTTATTGCAGTTAGCGTTAAAACCGAACATATAGCTGAAACGTACTGCATGTAATGAATCGTTTTACATATTAGCTCGCCCATTTCCCAAGTGTAAGAAAATAGTTTGGCAACCTGTAAAAAACAGAATATGAAAGTTGAAAGAAGAAGGAATTTTAAAATGCCGTTTGTTGAGAACCATGAACCCCTTCTTATATTTATATCGGGCACTTACATCGTATCCATTAACACCCAATGATGAATTACATCATAACTTAAACATTTTTTGGCATAGATCTTTCTAGGACAAGTAAAAAAGATTTATTTCCTCGTAAACGATGACAGCTCTCTTAAATAAAAATCTAACCAGAGGAATTCAATTTTAAGTCGAATGTGATTAAAACCCGACCAGCTGGGCCCAACGCGTAGGGTTTATTAATATGTACAAATTTATACTACTTCTGTAAACTGTAACATTTTGTATAAATAAAATCTGTGTATTCGAATTGTGTATCATAAAAAATTAATTCATGTCTCGTTTTCAGATCCTATTTTTATACAATGTTAAATTTAGATAACTATACTATAAATTTAACATATTAGATTATAATTAGTATCCCTGACAGTCGATCATTTCTGGATTCAGGATAGTTAGTCGGATTAGTTAATTTTTTACATAACATAACGTAGATATATGTTCCTAACAATCTATTCTAAATTTAAACATTAACTGCACATCAAGTACAAGTGGCGGGAAATTAAATGCGTTTTGATGAGCCTATGTTTGTTCATAGAAAATAAATTGATGCATATTTTATGATCTCGTTAACTTGCAAGAAACGTGCATTTCTTCCAAAATATACCTATCGTTAACAAGTTTGGAAATTTCAAAATATAATCAGGATTCTCTACAAATAGAACACTCGCCAATGGCTCGAATTGTATGTAAACTTATACCCTTGAACGATATCTGCCATTAAAAACCACATTGAATAATGTGCTATTAAGTATCTGTAAACACATCAAGAGACTTGCAAATTTACAGAAATACAAATATTCAAGTACTTTTATGTGGGAAAAAATTAAACGCGTTGCACTTTGGTAGCTGATAGGAAATTAAATCGATCAACACAGTGTTTAAAATTTCAACAATTTTGGCATTGATATATCAACGTGCAAACACTTTCTGAGCACCAACAATATTAATAATTGTTAAAAATCAAAACCCGCGATTACAAAAAAGTAACTCAATTTTACTTTTTAAAATCGGATGTTTGTATTAGATGTTATAACGAAATTCACTTTCTAAAATGAGGTTGAGTTGTTTATTTCAAGGATTCTATCTAATAAATTATAGATCAATGACTCAAATGAGAAAAAATGATCATATCTTTTAATCATATAGAATTTAAATTTAAATAATTCACTATAAAGTAGTTAATGAATGCTATTTATTCATGGCATGGGGCAAGCTTGATCCAGGCTGAACATGTAAATGAAAAATGGTTTTATTAATTGCGGGTAGTGTTTTTAATAAATCACTTTCTGTTGGAGAGTTTAAGATTAGAATTCGTTTACCAGGACATAAAAATATTCGCCAGTTTCATAACTACTTACACACGTGTTTTATATGGGATTATGCGTTCGAAAATACAAATTTAATGAAGATAGGCCAAAAAACAGATAAAATTAGAGTGGTCAAAATAAACATAAAACTTGTTGAATCTTTAATAGAAATAAACATGTTCACATTTTTTTATTAGAGAAAACTAAGATAAATTGGTAACTATTTAGAGCTCTTTATTCGTAAGGTGCAATTAATGATTTTGAAAAAGCAATTTAGGAAATGCAAGTACAATGTGGTTCTAAATAGGTGTGATGAAATTTTAGGATCTTTGAACAAAAGTTTTTACGATTTTAGTTTACATTTTAAAGCGAATAGGATAAATGATAAAACAATATAGAGGGCAATTAGGTTTTTATAAATTTTTTACTCATTATTTACATTAGTAAGCTCAAACAGAGGAGCCCTTTATTCTTCAATTACCTACACCATGAAAGTTTACCAAATCACCCTGCAAAAAAATAATCAAAAACTGATCTAAACACATTCAATGTATAAGTACACCTCAGCTAAATATAAACTCATTCAAAATTGAAATATTTACTTTATTAAATTGGCTGTAGGCAATTTAAAATGCAGTGTATATTTTCCATTGCAAGAAATGTATACGCAGTTTTTTGCCGTGGAAAATCAATCCTAATTCCCATATATTATTTCAGATACTATTTCAGATAATACTCGTAAGTAAAATTAGGTAATACATTTTTAGCACCTCTTATCTATTGTGACATAGGTATACCTCGATTCATATTTTTTTAATCAATTATTCTTCTATGAATTATGCATTAATAATTTAATATAATCATGATCGATAACATTCTGGTCGAAAAGATATCGAACATAGATCATCAGATTAGGTGCATCTCTTTAATTGATACTTTTTTGATAACGTAATATAAAACATGTGTTCAATGTTTACATACTCTATGAGCGATAATGAACTGAAACTATTGGTAGGATTATGACAATAGATTAAAAAGGAATAGGAAGTTTTATACGTATCATAAGAAAATGAATTAATTCAACCCATTACGATTCCGAAGTTGCAACATAGCAACACACGGTCAGTTGTAGAATTTATTGAGGAAATGAGATACGCAATTTTAAGAGATAGTCAGTAACTAACGTTAAAGGTTATGTTATCAATTAAAAATTTCGATCCGGGCAATAACATATCGTAGTAGATACCTAAGCTTAAATTTAAATAATATACGTAATATTAAATTCGAGATTAATTGTATCTATCAAACATATGTTTGATAACCGGAAAGTTCTTTAAACTTTACGTCATTGCAATATAAATCTTAGAAATCTTACCTTAACAGGTATACAAACGATGATCAATATGAGATCGGAGCACGCCAAACTCGATAGAAAAACGTTGGTGACGCTTTTCATTCGCCTGTATTTAAAAGTAGTAAAAATAATCAAAATGTTCCCCGTCAATCCCAAAATGAAGGTGACGCTGTAGACAATTAGCGTAGGAAGGAGCTCATTCCAGTTGAAATTCCTGTTGAAGGAATCTTCGTAAGTATTGTTGCTGCCGTTCCCCATGAGGTTGATGTAGTCGTAGTCGCTCATAACTTCTAGTTAAGGGAATGCCTCTGTAATTGGACAAGAACAATCTTTAATTAATTATGTGAATCGACCCTTTTCTAATCAATTTTATCTCCCACGGAATTAGATCTCTATTTTGATGCTTATTTAATTCGCTTGTTTATTTCACCAATGCTTATGCCCACATATAGGACTTAAGAAGTTATTATTTTTTAATGACATTTAATTAATTTCTTTAAGCTGCATTTAGGAGATATGCAGCGTCTTCAACATTGCTTTCCAGTCGTTTTTAATAACTTTACCTGAAATTTGAAGAACTTGACTTATTAGTATGATTGAGCTCAGTGATTATTCATATGCATGAATAAGTCAACTTGCAATTTGCAGAATTCTCCACGATGTATACATTGTAAAGTACAATGTAAACTTGGGTAAACAAAAGTCTTCATTCCAACGAACAATTTATATTTATTGTAGGTATGTTTACTTCCAGTGTTCACAAATTTTCGACTTGGCAAATGCATTAAATCGTCGTTTATTATTTTAAACTGTAACCGTGTATTTTCGCATGTTAATTTACATTTTTTTATTATCTACTAAAAAATATACGGTTGCTATACGTTGCTTTCGTAAAAAGGGATGATTTTCGATGTTATTTTGAAATATTTTGCAAAATTTTACGTACATATGTTGCACTAATGAATATGATTGATGTTCACTAAGTATCATAAAAATGGTACCATTTAATGGTATCATTAAAATCTCTTTATAACCAACACTTTAACATAAAAAATAAGTCTTTTATTGCAACCACAAGAGTGTTAGAAGAAAAACTGTAGGTACGCAAGTAAATTTGGCTAGTTAAAAATATTAATAAACCAATACTAATGGAATCAATGTATGTTTAGCTTTGGATGATTCATTTGTTAACAACATTCAGTAAAAGGCGACGATATGATCGTTACCTTGTCAAAGCCGAACCAATTGAGTCGACTTAAATGGAGTTCCTGACAATAAAAGAATGCTTATGTTAAACACGTGTGGTATACTTGCAGGATCAATTTAAATGTCTTCATCGATAATAATTATGTCATTGGACTATTTCACAAAAATGGAATAAAAAATAATTAAATTTTGTTTCCATTTTCCAGCTGAAACAAGACTTGATGTTCTTGAAAATTACACTATTATCGTAATATCTATCTCATAATTTTATTAAAAAAATATTGCAAATTCCAATATTAAAAACTGAATAAAAACAATAAACAAATCCTAGTAGATTGCAGTTTTATTTAAATCAAAAATCAATTCTTTTGAGGATGTGACAATTAGGTGACTGTAAGTACCGTTTTATAATACAAACACGAATATTACAATAGAATTGTTGCCACCATTAATATCAATTACAATTTTTAAGCTAGAGGTCAAGGCAACGTTTTTAATAAATTTTAGTTGCCCAATTTAAAATGATGTAACTAAAAACTGAAAAAAATTATATATGTATATTTTAAATGTTTAAAACACTTCATTATACGTCATTAAGGTGATATTCATTGATGATTGATAAGAACGAGATTCAGGTGTATATAGATTTTAATTTTCTTTAGCGTAGTTTATTCGACATTATTATTGCGTTTCGCCTGCAAATACGAAAATTTACGTTCATCGATACTTTTAAGGAGCGGAAAAATCAACTGCACTTTATAAGAAAACCTGATCTACCCGTAATTATACCATATTAAAATCGACTTCTTTAATTAGTTGCATTACGTAGAAAAAAATCGTTAAAAAAGTACATCAATCAACGTAAAAATAACTTCGTTAATTATTTAACATTGAATGCCGTAATATAATTGAAACGAAATAGAATTTGTAATCAAATTGTCGCGGATATTTCATTGAAATTTTGAATAATTGAGTTACCTACCCCGCTAAATGTTATTCATGAAAAAAATGGTTGAAAATCTCAAACGACCATTTAGTTTTGACAGTATCAAAAGCGATTTATCTTTTACTCTTGGCTTCTCTGTAATTGACTTTTCTTTACCTATTACGTTTAATGAATAATAATGCCGTGTAGAATAACTTTACCTATACTACCTATCATGTAATCAAAGTTGTACCTAAATTACATAAATTTCGAATTACTTCGCATACGTACTGTTGTATATTCACAATAAGTAACTTTGAAGCGTTTGTTTCAAACTGAAATAGAAACTGTAAATACATTCTAAAATATGTACGTTAATTTTTCAAAGAGTAGTTAAAAGCAACGTATTTGTATTTTTTAACCAAATTAATATTTAAAAGCCTACCAAATATATGTTGTCGTATAACTAAAACGGTGTTGAAATTTTCTACGGTTATTGATAAACTCTTGGAAGATAACGCCGGTGACAAATGGTTTTTAAATAATATATACCAAAAAATGAGTTATTTTTCTATCTACCAACAAATAATTTCAATAATCATAACTACTACATATTTTGTATTGAAACTTAACCATTTAAAGTAGGCGATGTTCATGCTGCTTTCAAACAACATTTAGCATAAACAATTATAGTTATTATAGAATTTAAAATAAATTGGAGACTTACGTTCACAATACCTAGTTGTCGCGAAGCGTTGAGTGCGGAACCGTCTTACACTGGAACACACTCTCTAAGGGTATCATGACAGTCCAGAAATTGAGAGGATAACTAGGACGCCTAACGTCGGGATGCGTCTATATATCACTAAAGTTAAAATACGTTGCCGCTGTATATGAGCCTATTCTGCAAGCACTCTTCAATTTAGAGCATTATTTTGTGTGTTCGGGACGATTTCAATGAATGCGAAACATACAGGGTCACCTTTTGCTGAAAAACAAATATTACTGAAATTACTATTTTCTCCAATATTGAGACTTTTATTGATACTTTTTAAATACTAATACTCTGATTATTTAATATTTTGTTCAAAAGGTTTTGTATTAAAAATAATGAATAACAAAAATTTTGTAACCAATTTTTTCTGTTATTACTTAAGTATACTTTACACGACAGTTATTAATTATGAAAACGTGAAGATAATATAATACAAGAAATTAATATACTACTATACTTTCTACTAAAATATTTTTTTACTAATTTCACCATGTAAACAGTCAAAAAGTATATCAGTTAATGTATTAATGATAAAATGTATGATGTAATTGGAACCTGTTGCGGTGGTCTGGATTTTTTTGAATGTTATTAATAAATTTTTCATACTATTCTTGCCATATGCCTTATCAAATTTCATTTATAAAAATTCAAAACTGACCACCTTCTCAAAAACATTGGAAACTAATTTTTAACCTTCACACGGATATTATACATTTTTAACTTTTAAAACCAACATTTACCTATCAAAATTTTAATCACCTACGTTAACATAATAGATATATTTTATTATATTTTTCATGACAAAAATCACTAAGGACCTTTAGAAAGTTTTTAAACCACATTTAAATTGTTTTTTTTAAATTTAAAAGAATATACAAGTATAATAAAGAAACAATATTAAAATCAGTCTTTCATCGTAAAAATACATGGTACATCCAATTAAACCTACAATAGAAAAATCAAGAACAAACGGTCGTTAATTTTTATTTAATGTTTTACTCCTATTTTGTAATATACATTCTTAGAAATTAGATGAACCATCAATTTTTGTTACTAAACGGGTTGAATTTATCTCATTCAACTTCCATAAGACAAAATGCATCTCTTGCAAGTATTTATCTACAATTTTCTGTATAAAAACGATGGATTTGAGAATATCTGTACATTTCGTCGATCACCAAGTTATCGAAACAATATGTGGTCGCCAATTGTCCTTTGCTTCTTAGGTAAGTTAATTATTTCATATTAAAATAATAATTTGTATAATTTTATTATGTATTAATATTCCAATGAATACTGATTAATTGAAAATTGGTAGTTCCTTTTAGGGTTACTAACAATTTTCAGCATGAAAATTAGCTAAAAATTATTAACCAATAATTGCTTTCAGTGGGCTTTGCCTTCGCTGCAAACAACCCCGGCTGGAAAAATGGATCTGAATACGTTTACAGTATCCGAGGACACTCTTTAGTCAGTCACAAGGAAATTTCCAATCAACAATCTGGTTTTGTATTCAAAGCCAAATTGAGAATCCAACCTCAAAATGACGGAAAATTAAGGGCTCAAATCGTTCATCCCGAGTACGATGAAATCCACACCGAACTCAACAGATGGAATGCCCATATTCCTGACGAGAAACTCAGCTGGAAACCTCTGAAAATGAGTGGAAAGCCGTTCGAACTCGACATGGAACAAGGCAGAATCGTTGGTTTGTGGGTATCGAAAAATACACCAGTTTGGGAAGTCAACATGATCAAGAGTTTCATGTCTCAATTCCAAATTAACACCGACGCATCGAACCTTATCGAAAACGATTTGAACACCCTTCCGGAAAATGGAGACGGCGACAACGACGCTGTTTACACAGCTATGGAAGACACCGTCACCGGTAACACCGCTACTTTGTACCAAATCAGACCGTTGCCCGCTCATCTCGTTCAAGCTGACCCCGAAGAAGCTGAATACGTCGATGAAGACGGTGAGGTTATTGAAGTAATCAAAAACAAGAACTACGAAAACAGCTTGGAACTTCCTGCGTACACTTACGGATTTGAAGGACTTAAAGGTGGAAAGCCTGCCGGTAACCACATGGGCGAAATTTTCTCTAGGCAATCTACCAGCCGCATCTTGTTGACTGGAAGTTTGAAACGATTCGTCATCCGTAAATCATTCACCGCTAATGAAATTCACGTTAGCCCGACTTTGAGCTCTGACAAGAGCTCATTGGCTTCGAGCATAATGAACGCTACCTTGATTGAAATCAAATCTCAAGAGCAACAGATTCCGGAAGTTCCCCAACCAATTCTTTTGGAAAGTCTCGTTTACTCTTACGAAAAACCTTTCGCTGGAACCAACGAAATTGAAGCAAGACCATCCAACAAATACAGGCAGAATGAAGATTTCGAAAATTTGGAAGAATCTAGAACTAACTGGATCAGCCGATCGCCGCGTTCTCTACGCCGATTCCAACAAAACAACCAAAAACACGGTTTCAAACAAGAACTTTCCGCACTTAAAGATGCACCCAAGAGTCCCCTTTTGCCCTTTACCATGGGATACGAAGGTATGTCGATCAAAAACAAGATTGATACCGTTGCCGAAGTCGAAAAATTAGCCAAGGAAATCGGCCAAAGAATGCAAAAACCCGAACAAGACCATCACGAAGAACTTTTGGATATGTTCTCCACAATGGTATCTCTCATTCGCGTTATGGATGCTGAAGAACTTCACAAGGTAGCCAATCAACTTTACACCAACAACGAACAAGGTGTTGAACATGCAGTGTGGTCCGCTTACAAAGACGGAGTAGCCCATTCAGGCACTGGACCTGCTCTTCTTGTCATCAACGATTGGATCAAATCCGACAAAATCCGAGGAGAGGATGCCAGTCAAGCTGTAACCGCTACCATCGAGTCTGCTCGCCAACCTACTGTCAACTACTGCAGAACTTTGTTTGAACTTGCCAAGTCCCCTAAAGTAGAGAAACAATGGCCCTTGAACGATACCATCCTTTTGGGATTCGCTGACCTTCTTCGTAAGGTTTACGTCGACGACGACGCATTACAAGGACGATTCCCCGTACAAAGTTTCAAACCTCTTCGTACTGAAGAAGGCAAACAATTTATGGAACGTGAAGTTTTGCCGTACTTCGAGCAACAATTACAAGATGCTATTAAACACGCACAAACCCACAAAATCCACACAGTCATCCGTACAATTGGTACTATTGGATCGTACCACATTTTACCGGTATTCCAACCTTACCTAAACGGACGCGTACACGTTTCTCAATTCCAACGTGTATTGATGGTTTTGGCTCTTAACAAGCTCGTAGAAACCGACGGTGAAGCCGCCCAAAATGTTTTATTGAGACTTTACCAAAATCCTGGAGAATCTAGAGAAGTGAGAATTGCCGCCGTATTCCAATTGATGAGGACCAATCCCGACACTGAAATCCTTCAAAGTATGGCTCAATACACCAACATTGATGATGACGATTATGTTAACGCTGTTGTCAAATCTTCCATTCAAACTGCTGCTCAATTGGACACTCCTGACACCCAAGAATTGTAAGTCGCTTATAAATCGTTTAATTATACTTTTAATTCAATTATAATTAATCCTTGCAGTGCTCAAGCCGCAAGAATTGCTGAACCCTTGCTTACTGAGAAAATCTACGGCTACGGATATGGAGGAAATTACCTTCGTACCTACTTCATCGAACAAATGGAAAGGAGCTACAAACAAACTCTTCAACTTTTTGGAAGCGACGATTCTATGATTCCCAACGGTTTCAGATACAACCTTAGGAAACAAATGGGTGGACTTAAATCAAACATTACTGAAATGCATGCTATGGTCTCCAGCTTTGATGACTTAGTTCAAGTTGGAAAGGAACAATTCAAGCGGTTCGACAGGCAACAACAAGAACAGAAACAACACTCACAAGAACAAGAACAAAACCAATGGTCTAGTCAAAACATTGCTAAGTTATTGAACTTAGAAACTGATGATGCTAAACAACTCGAAGGTTTCTTGTTATTCAAGATGGGTAATTACAGAAACATGTTTGCTTTCGACAACAGAACCGTAGAAGGCGCTGCTGAATTCATCCGCAAAATTGAACAAGAACTTAGAGAACAAAAACCGGTTAGCTTCTTCAAGTTGATGACAAGAGAAATGGCTGTTTCTGTACCGACTGAAATTGGTATCCCCTTCTTGTTCACTTACGATGTTCCCATGTTCATCAAGGCCCAAGGAACCTTCAAGGCATCGGCTCAACCGCAATTATCGCAAAACGGTAAATTGCAAGTTCCTGAACAAATCGAACTTAAAGCTGACATGAGATTCACTGTATCGACCAAGGTACAAAGCAGACTGTCCGTAACAGCTCCTTTCAACCACAAACAATACTTTGCTGGATTCGACAAGCACTGGCAAGTCAATGTACCTGCCCGCCTTCAAGTTCAATTCGACGTCAAAAACATGAACGCCGAAATCGAATTCGAACCTACACCGAAGAAGGAATTCAACATTTTGCACTACGCCACTCGCCCTTACACTTCACAAGCCGAAATTGCAAACTTCCAACCCTTGAGCGCTAACAGCAACACCAAGGTAATCAAACAAGACGATTTGCAAGCTTTCGAAACTACTGTTGGAAAGAAATCCACCGGTATGGCTTTCCACGTAGAATTCGTCCACTCCAGGCAATTCTTCAGTACTCTCGACCTTAGCCGTATGCTAAGACAACAAAACAACTTCGTTGACACGTTGCAATCTCTCTGGGACGACAACACCGTTCAATACGGATCACTCAACGTAAATTACAACCCTCAACAATCATGGGCTCGTAAAGCTGTTTTACGTCTTTCTTACGAACAAAAATACAAGTCTCAACCATCTTCTGGCTCAGCTAGCGAATGGATCTTAAACGAAGACGCTCAACCCTCTCAACGCCAAGAAGAACTCATGCAAAAGGTCGCCGCTGACATCAAAAACGTACATGTTGTAGCTCTCGACTCTACTCTTGAATTCAAGGGACAACAGAAACTCAAGTACATACTCACCGGAGCTGTAGCCAAGAGCAACGTTGATCCCAAATCGCGTGTTATGATCACGTACAAGAGAAGCAGCGATGGTACTTCCAAACCTCATGAATTCCACTTTGTCGCCAAGAGCTACATTCCCAACACCAACGCTCTCGACGCTGAATACTCCTTGCACAAGGAACCCATGGCTGAAACTGAAATTAAGGTCAAATTCGGCAACTCTCAAGAACCCCTCGCTAAAATCGAAGCCCAATTGAAATACAGAAGGAGCGAAGAACGTAGCCAATACTTGAAGGAACTTCCGATGTACAGACAATGTAAGGAAGAATCCAGAGCTGGAAACAAACAAATGCCCGCCTGCCTCAACATGACGATGATCGCTAACCTCCTTGACAGCGTAGACTTGAAGGCTCATTACGAAAACTTGCAACCCGGAGTCGCTAAAACCGTAGAAAGATACTTCCACGCTCTACAAGTACTTGCTGAACCCTATGTCAACATTAACGAGAAGGACTCATCTGTAGCTGAAAACGAAGTTAGAGTACACGCTCGTTTCCACCCCGACTTACAAGCCCTGAACGTCACCGTCAAAGCCCAAAACCAAGAAACTAAATTCGCTAACATCGAAATCGATGAAGTTACTCAACAAATTTTGGTAGTACACCCCGTCTTCCACGTCTACAACAGGTTGTCTGCCTACTTGTACAGCCCCGAAGGAAACTACAGAGGTTAGTACTAACTAAAGAATTCAATTCAGATTCAATTATAATAAAAATGTTTTATTACAGATTCCTGCGTTGTTGACAAGTCACAAATCAACACCTTCAGCAACCAAACCTACTCCGCCGATATCTCGAAACACTGGACTGTTATGCTTCAATACGTCGCTAACTACGTCGGTAACTCAGAGAGGAACCAACCATCCGTATACCAACAATTGAAATCCCAACCCGAGAACTACGTTGTCCTTGTTCGTGAAAACCCGGAAGCCTCCAACAAAAAAGACATCAAAATCGTCGTCAGCACCCCGCAAAGCGACTACCAAATCCAAGAAATCGAAATGACGCCCTACCAAGGATCAGAACTCAAGGCTAAAGTAACCGTCAACGGCCAACAAGTCAGAGTAAGCGAAAAGGAGAGTCACGACGTCAAAGGAGGTTACATCCAAATCTACGCTTTGCCTAACGGCGAAGTCAAGGTCGAAGTTCACAGAGCTTTCTACGTCATCTACGACGGAGCCCGAGCTAGAATCACCTCCACCCAAGGCAAATTCAAGAACAACGTAGTAGGTGTTTGCGGACAATTCACTGACCACGAAGCCGACGACTTGACCACCCCTCAAGGCTGCGTCGCTCGCGATGCCGAAGAATTCGTCAGGAGCTACGAAGTCGAAGGACAAAAAGGCAAACAAATCAGGGACATTTTCAAGGGACAAACCAACAAATGCGTCGACAAGGAGAGCCCCCTCTTCGTCCGAGTGGTATCCCCTCGCGATTACAGGAAACAACCTCAATTCCCTGCTGCTTTCAAAACTTGCACGTTCTTCCAAACCAAATACGTTGAGAAGAACGGACAAACTTGCTTCACCGTCCGCGCCCAACCGACTTGCAACGAACAATGTAGACCTACCATGAGTCTGACTAAGAACGTTCCTGTCCATTGCGTTGATCAAGACAGCAAAGTAGCTAAAATCTGGAAGAAACAGATCGATGAGAAGAAAAGCCCCGACTTCAGTGGACAAAGGGCGCACAAAACTGTACCGATCACTGTCCCCCAGAGCTGTTCCCAATAAGAACAACGCCTATGACCTGTATTGTATTTAGTTTTAGGAGCAATTCAAAAAATGTAAAAAAAATATACAAATTAGAGGAATTCTAATAAATGAAATTTGTTAATTATAATATTTTTGTTTCATTTGAAAATTTTAAACAAAGCTTGAATCCAGCTAAATCTATACACCATTCACTATCAGGAGATAAGTACTAATAAATCCTAATTTTTAGTCGTGCTTCTGGAATATTAAATAGATACTAGAAGGATAGATATAATAAAAGATACTTGTCAGTTATTAAATTTATCTATTAATTCAATAGTACTTTTTAATTATTTGTTGGCGCGCTTTTACTGCTTCAAGGTTTTATGAGTATCTCCTGATAGCGAACAGAGTAAATTACTATTTGGAATACTTTATTGGAAAATTACAATTGACTTAAACCAATAGGTCATAAAAATTGATCAATAAACAAAATATAAATTCATTAACAACACATACATGTAGATACAATGAACAAATTTAATAAACTGATTAAAGATGAGCTAAAAATGAATGACTGGCGTTTCATTTAATAAATGTAAGTATTATGTATTTTCTATTATGTACCTACGTATGTACATATACTATTATTTTTAAACTACCTAAAGCTATGTACGGATATCGTGTAGCCGATTACTACTAGCCATTTAAGGTTTTTCAAGGGGTGTACTGGTGGCTAGAGGCACGAAAAAAGAAGTTTGAAAGTGAGCTCTCTGTATGTTAAAGTTGACCTGTTTTGGCATTTTTCCAAAATTTGAACAAAACTCGAAATATATGAGGAAGCAAATTTTAGTTGGGACACCCAGTATGTAGTCTAAATATAAATTGTCAAAAAGAATTTATAAAAAATAGTATCAAAACGCTCATCGTAGAATGGCTTATACATATGTATACGACATTTCAATGTATTAAATGATCAATATTAATTAAATTATGTCAAAAATAAATCGTTTCGTTACTCGTTATTCGTTTCTATCTCATACCAAATTATTAAACTTAATTATTATTATGTTTTTTTAAGTGTGTTATAAAATTTAGAAAATATAAAGATAGAAATAAGAACCTCCAAATAAGAGAGGGTTATTAAAATTATGAAAGGTGGAAAAAATGAATTTATTTTGAAGAAAATATTTTACTCCTATGAATTATAAGTTCTTAACATATTTTTTATAACTTAGAGTTTCAATGATATGACTGGTATATTTAAATTTAAATTTTGGTAGTATAAATAACCGTAAATATTCTTTTTGAGTTAAGTGAATTAAATAACAAGGTATAACGAAATTTCTATTTATTAAAAGCGTGGTAGTTTTGATAAGAACCTTAAATAGTATGGATATGCATATGAATTAAATCAATTTTTTTATTAATTGGAAGTTTTAGTGGGAAGGATTATACGAGTATTAATGTGCCATTTACCGTAAGCAATTTATCCTGATGGCCTATCGTAATAATATTTACTTAAACACCGCGTTTATGGTATCTACATAGATATTTTAAAATTTATTGAACCAAAACCGGCATATCTCTAGAGAAATAACTACATTTAATTTTCCTTTGATATAAATAGTTCCAACATATTACGACTGCAATAAAATTGATTTTAAATTATCTGATTATACAGGGTGGTCCAGAAATCGCGACCCCATCGGAATTTTGAAAACAACAATAGAGATGCCAAAACTGTAGGTGAAAACGTGAAAAAGTTTTTCCTTTGGAAAATAAAGATGATAAAAATCGACCAACCCAGTAATAGTTCAAAAACACGAAAATTAATGAGCTTTATCAATTTGACAGTATTGAAAAAGAACATGTTCTATTTAAATTCAAAGTTAACAAAAACTGTTATAAACAGCTACTAAACTAAACAACTATTAATCAACAAAGATTTGTTTGTAAAAACAGAAGGATAACTCAGGATAACTCCTCCTCCCGGGAAATCGTTCCCGAAGAATTCGAGCAGCTTTTCGTGCGTTTCGTAGACATTCTCCATAAATTATAATCATATCCATTCGGCGACTGCATGCTTATTGAGACTTCAGTAATGTCAAATTGTTAAAGCTCATTCTCATCATTTTCGTGAATTTGAACTATTACTGGGATTGGTCGATTTTAAAGCTCTTTATTTACCAAAGGACATTTTTTCCATTATTTCGGCTGCGGTTTTGGGATCTCTCTTGTCGATTTCATAATCCTTTTCCTGGTGGGGTGCGAATTCTAGAACACTCTGTATACATTTTTTAAAATACGGATAATAAAATAAAATTTAAGGCCCTCGAAATTTTCACAACTACATATTTACACACAGACTATTTAAATTTAATAATAATTTAGTAATTAATAATTAGTTTTACGGTAGGTATTTATCAATAATAAAAATAATTTTTATGCTTATTAAAAGTTCAAAGTGGAGATGCAAATAATCATATTAAAAGAAATAATTTGCCGAAAATAAAATTTGGAAATATTTATTAAGATAGCATTTGTTTAAATTTCCCTTTTTATTTATATTTATTAAAATTTTCAACATAGGTACATATTCGTATTTTACTTCTTCACTTTGTTTTTTTAATAATGTTTTAATAATGTTAATAATAATTACCTATTTAGCAAATTTGTATTTTTATAATATCTCGTCAATCGGTACTAAAATTTATAAAAATGCGGATGTTTTCATTTTCAGCATCTGCAACACAAAAGTGATTACTCGAAGAAAGCAATGAATTAGCAAAATCAGTTTTATAAAATCCGTGATAAAAAAATAAATACATTGATATGAATATCTTGTTACTAAAGAGTTGCATCATCGAATTTAGTGATATATCAAAATAAAATTTGCATTATTGCACTACGTAGTCAAATTTTCAGTATAAAAGACCTGGACTCTAATGTTTCTGTACACTACGACCAGTTGTATCCAGTAGTACAATCATGTGGTCGCACGTTGTCCTTTTTTTCCTTGGTGAGTAAAATATGTTATTTTTAATTAATATTAATTATTAAAATATTTATTATAATTCTATTATAACAAGACTGTTTTCAAATAGTTTTTAACCCCTTAAATAGGGAATTCGTATATTTATTTTTAATTTATACTTAGTTCGTTTTGCTCATTTATAATTTTCAATTCAGTGGGACTCGCCTTCGCCTCAAATAACCCAGGATGGACCGACAATCAAGAATACGTTTACAAAGTTCGCGGTAGAACTTTGACAGGACTTGCTGAGGTTGCCAACCAATACGTAGGAATCTTGTTCAAGGCTACCCTCAGAATCCAACCCAGAAACGATGGCCAACAATTGCAAGCTTTGATCACGAACCCAAAGTACGCTCAAATCCACGACGTTTTGCCCGATGCTTGGAAGACTCAATTCCAAGACGAGGAATTGAACTGGAAACCCCTTCCGATGAAGGAAAGGCCTTTCCAAATTCAAATGAAAAATGGCCTGATCGACAAAATCGTTGTCTGTAAGGACATGAAAAACTGGGAAGCTAACATGCTCAAAGGTATCGTTAGCGTTTTCCAAATCAACGTCAACGGTGAACGTGCTCTACCTAGGTCTCTGAACGTCTTGCCTTCTCCTGAATCTAACGATGCTATCTTTATGGCCATGGAAGATACTGTTTCTGGTGAAACCGAAACTTTGTACGAAATTAGACCTGTTCCACAACATCTTTTCGATGAAACTGAAAAACACAAGAACTTCCAACAATGGAAGAAAGACGGTGAGATCATCGAAGTCTACAAACACAAGAACTACACCAACGAAGAAGAACTTCCCGCATTCATATTCGGATTTGGTGACCAAATTGAAGGTCTTAACCCAGCTGAAACTAGCTTGGGAGATATCATCAGCCGAGACTCAACTGGCCGTGCCATCCTTGTAGGAGATTTGAGACGTCACGTCATTGTTAACACTACTACCACGGAAACAATTTACGTAAAACCTGCCGTTATCGACAAACAAAAAGCTGCTATCGTTAGCGTTATCCGAGCTGACTTGGAAGAAATCAAATCGCAAAACGAGAAAATCGAAAGTGTACCTCAACCTTTTGAATTAGACAATCTTGTCTACTCTTACGGAGAACCTTTTGAAACAAACGGCGAAGTTTATCAAACGAAAAAAGCACAAAGATCGCAAGGTAGATCGCAAAACTACAACGATGACGATGAAGAATACTCCAGGATCAGGAACCGTCGTTCATTGAGGAAATCTTCAGACGACTACTCCTACTATTTCACACTAGATAAAATCGAAACAAGTAAGGCTCCTCCAAGTCCCCTGTTAGCTTACTACACCGGACACCAAGGACAATCCATTAAAAAAGCTGGTGACCTCGTACACAGAGTTGTAAAACTTGCGAAACAAATCGGCAAAGATTTACAAAGCCATCAAAAAGAAGACCATGAAAAAACCTTGGACAGATTCGTTAACCTTAACGAGTTGTGCCGTTTGATGGACAAGGATGAGTTTGATCAAGCTACTCAACAACTGTACTCTAAAAACGCTAAAGGCGAAGAAAAAGCCGCATGGGCTGCATATCGTGACGCTCTCGCCGAAACTGGAACTGGCCCGGCATTTTTGTCCATCGAATCTTGGATCGAAAGTGACAAAGTTGAAGGAGATGACGCCGCTCAATTGGTTTCAACCGTTGCTAAAATCACTCACCACCCAACCCTTGATTACATGAAGAAGTTCTTCCAATTTACCAAGAAAGAGAAGGTTTTACGTGAATGGCCGCTCAACGACACAGCTCTAATCAGTTACGCTCATCTCATTCGAAAGGTTTACGTCGACGATGAATTGAGTCGAAGCGAATTGCCTGTACATGCATTCGGTCCATTCGACAACGAAGAAGGTGAAAAATTCATCAAGGAGGAAGTCATTCCTTACTACTCTGAAATGTTGAAGAAATCCATCGAAAGAGCCGACACGCCCAAAATCCACGCTTACATTGCTACGCTCGGTAAAATTGGCGCTCCTGAAGTTTTATCTGCCTTCGAACCTTACTTGGAAGGAAACGAAAAAGCTTCCCAATTCCAACGTTTAATGATGGTGCTGTCCCTTAGAGACTTAGTCGAAATTGAACCAGAAAAAGCTTTCGCTGTTTTGTACAGATTGTACCAAAACCCTGGCGAACACCCAACTGTAAGAATTGCTTGCGTATACTTCATCATGCGTACAAAACCCACAGCTGAAATTCTCCAACTTATGGCTCAAAGCACAAAAACCGAAAAGAACGAATACGTTAAAGCCGCTGTGAAACACTCCATTGAACAAATTAGCGAACTTGAAGATAGCGAAGAATACGCTAAAATGTAAGTAATAGGTAATATTTAAATTATTTAGACAATTATTAAAACGCATTTTTTTAATTTATAATAGCATCCGCGCTGCCAAAATCGCCAAATCTCATCTTACCAACGAACACTTCGGAGTCAACTACGGTGGAAACTACCTTCGTGCCTACGTTATCGAAGAATTGAACAAACACTTCAGAATTACAACTCACTTGTACCCAGCTGCTGATTCATACCTCCCTAAAGGAATTATGTACTCTGTTCGATCCAACAGCGCTGGTCTTCATCGTAAAAACTATAACGCCCGTGTTATCCTAAGCAGCATCGATCAACTCATTAACGTAGCATTCAGACAAACCAAAGCCTACGACAGACAACAACAAGAGCAAAAATCGAACGCCCAACAACAAGGTCAACATCCCTGGTCTAGTCAACACATTGCTGAACTTTTGAACATGAAGGCCCATGAACGCGAACAATTGGAAGGTTTCTTATCCTTGGAAATTGGAGCTCCTCACAGGATGTTTGGATTTGACAACACTACCATGAAACGTTTACCTAAATTCGTTGAAGAATTAGAAGCTCAATTGAGAAACGGACAAAAAATCGAACACTACAAAACCGTCGATTCCGATGGATTGGTTGTAGCAGTCCCTACTGCTATGGGTATCCCATGCGTCTACCATTACACCAGTCCTATGATCATCAAAGCTAAAGGTGAAGTGATGGCTGTCGCCAATCCTCAATTATCCCAGGGCAACAAGTTGCAAAGACCTCAACAAGTGAAAATCGATACTGAAATGGAAGTTACAGTAACAGGAAAGACCATTGGACGTTTGATGTTTGTTGCTCCCTTCGAACAACAAATTTACATTAGTGGATACGACAAACACTGGGAATTCAATTTACCCACACTTAAGGCCCAAATGAAGATTGATTTACAAGAACAAGAAGTCCAAGTTGAAATCCAACCCAAAGAAGAAAACAAGGTAAACATGTTCCATTACCACACATGGCCATACACTGCTATGACTGAAGTTACCAGTGATGAACCTCTTACCTCCCAAAGAAACATGAAATACATTGAACCCGAAAACATGCAAGAATTCAAAACTGTTGTCGGTAAACAATCAACTGGAATCGCTCTTGAAGTAGCTATCCGCCACGAAAGGAAAAACTTGAACGCCCAACTTATTCGTAGATTGTTCTCGTACAACGGAGCCTACGATGCATTGAGAGAACTTTGGGATGATGCAAGCATTCAAAACAGTCAAATTGATATCTCTTACCTTCCACAACAATCCATCAACAACAAAATAGTACTTCGCTCTAAATACAACCATGATTACGTCGAAAGTCCGGAACCCAGAGAAGGTAAATGGGAATTGAACGAAAAAGCAGAACCCGCACAACGTCAACAAGAACTCATGAAAGTCGTCGCTGCTAAAATCAACAACGTCGATGTATCAGCTTTGGACAACATCGTCGAATTCCAGGGACAGAGAAACATTCAATACTTGCTCACTGGCGCCCTAGCTAAGAGCAACGTCGATCCCAAGGCACATATGAGAGTTTGTTTCAAGAGGAGCTCTCCCGACAACCAAGTCAAGGATTACGAAATGCACTTTGTAGCACACAGTGAAGCTGAGAACACCAACGGCATGGACTTAGAGGATTCCCTCCAAAGCCAACCGCAAATGGACACTGAAATTGAAGTTTCCTTTGGACAATCCGAAGCTCCGCTTTCCAAATTGAAGGCCAAAATCCAACACAAGAGGAGCGAAGAACGTAAACGTTACTTGACAGAGTCTCACCTCTACAAACAATGTTTAGCTGAAATGGAACAAGGCGACAAAGCACTCAGCGCCTGCACGAAAATCAACATGATCGCCAATCTCTTGGACCGTGCTGACATTAAAATCAGATACGAAAACTTGAGCCACGAACTTAAAGAAGACATCCAAATGGCATTCGATGCCGGACGTGTATTGGCCCTTCCCAACGCTGAAATCGAATCTAAACAAACTCCAGCACAAGACAAAGAAGTGATGGTCCACGTTAAATTCCACGGTGATCTCCAATACTTCAACGCTACTATCCAAACTAAGGACGAAGAAACCGCCCTCTACAACATTCCTGTTGGTGAATTGACCCAACAAGTTCTCGTCCCTCACCCGGTATTCCCGGTTCCTGCTAGAGTTTTGAGCCAAATATTCGGTGCCGACACATACAGAGGTAAGAATTCATATTAAATTTACTATTAAATTGGTTTTACATAAACGTTTTTATTTAGACTTCTGTACCGTCGACCAAACCCAAATCAACACATTCAGCAACCGTACTTATGATGCCGAACTTTCGAATAGATGGACCGTAATGGCTTTATACGCTCCCAAACAAGCCCGTGAACAAGGCCAAGAACACGCTCAACTATCTCTCAAGAAACAACTCCAAGAACAAGCCGAGAACTTCGTTGTATTGGTACGAGAAAGCAAACAATCGCAAGACAAAAAAGACGTTAAAATCGTAGCCAGTGCTCCCCGAACCAAATACCAAGTTGTCGAGATTGAATTGAAACCAGGTCAAGGCAGAAACGTCGAAGTTGCCGTTAATGGAAAACCCGTTACCTTGAACAAAAAACAAAGCCAAGACATCTTCAACGGATACGTACAAATGTACGCCCTTCCCAACGGAGAAGTCAAGGTTGAAATTCAAAAGGCTTTCTACATTCTCTTCGATGGTGAACGTGTAAGAATGACCACCGTCCACGACAAATTTAAGGACGCCACCAGAGGTCTCTGCGGTCAATACAACGACCAAGACGCTGAAGATTTCCTCGCCCCACAAGATTGCATCGCCGCCGAATCTAAGAAATTCATCAGAAGTTTCGAAGTCGAAGGTGAACAAGGTCAACAAATCAGAAAACAATTTGCCGGAGAAGACAACCAATGTGTAGAAATCGAGCCCGTATTCGTCAATGTAATCACCAAAAACGAAAGGACCAGCGATTACTTCGAAGATGACGAGTCAAGGCACTTCAGTCAATACAGCCAAAGCTCCACACACCACAAATCAAACCGATTCGATGAATCGAGCCAATACGGTGACTCAGAAGAGACCAAGAACAACCCGAAACATAACGCCAGATGTTTGTTCAAACAAACCAGATACGTCAAGCAAAATGGCAAAATCTGCTTCACCATCGAGCCAGTAGTTTCCTGCAGGAGCCAATGCCGTCCCAGGAACTTCACAACCAAGACTGTAGGAGTACATTGTATCAACAAGAGCAACGTATCCGATTTGTGGAAGAACCAAATTGACAACGAAAACAGTCCCGACTTCAGCAGCAAAGAGCAACACAGAACCGTAGAGATGTCTGTACCTCAAAGCTGCTCGGCATAATCGGCGTGACCTTTAACTGTATTGATTTAGATTTTTAGAAGCATTAAAAAAATGTAAAAAAAATATTTAAATAAACGGAATTTTATCATTTAAAATATGTTTTATTCGTATACCTAATTATCTTGATACACCTAATCATCTGAACTTAAATGATCACTAAATGCTTGAATCAAATTTGTTATTAATAATTATTAATAAAAAATTTCAATGATCAAAATGAAGGTACTTGATAATAGTATATTGTAATTATACCTATAGGTCCCTAAGACTACGACAGAATATATACCAAAATAATCACTGGAAATAGATCTAACGTAAAAAAGTGTTCTTCCCGTGTCACAGTTAAAAAATTGTTTGAGAAGTATCTTAAATTTTTATGCGGCTTTATTCATAGGAAATTGCAATAATCAAATATTTGACGAATCAATTTTCGGTGTCAATATATGTTTACTTTTCTTATCGTTGACAGTTTTTTGCAATATTAGAATGTATAATATAAAGAGCTTTCATTATCTATAAACCCGTTGTTTAATAGTTATTGCATTTAATTTTTTCTGTATGCATCAACATGATTTTAGACGGATCAATTTTATCGTACAGGGTGCCTTGTACTTGAAAACTATGTCGGAAGTATATTTTTATTGGATTGGAAGAGAATCAACCAGAGCCAAAAATGATGAGAATAAATATGAGAATAAATATACACATATTGTATACATATTTTGCTAAATTTGTTCTACAGAATATTCACGTGCTTCTTGATGCCTTTATTTCAACACAGAAATCCTATTATCAAACATTCCCCTTTAGCAATTTTAAATTTAATTATAGCAAACAATAACAATTATCTTTGCTTATATTCAAAAATTCACCAAATTTATCGAAAGATGATATAACAAAACATAAAACGAAATGGAATTTTAGTAAATTTAATGCTTACCATATGTTTTATTCACCATAAACTGGCAGGTCAGTAGAAGGAAGTTTTATAATTGTTTCAATCGTAAAAATAATTAAAAAAAATGGAAAAAAGTTGTTAATGAGAAATTATTACATAAATTAATAATTAGATACTATTATATTTAAATGAATTTTTTTCTTTCGAAGACTTCACAAAATTTTAATGATTTAGCAAAAAGTATAAACAAACTAAACAGTAGGTGCATGAGATTAAATAAGTTCTCAGCTTCGAACAAAAGAACAATAAAATTATTAAATTATTGCCTACTGCAATAGGCTAAAAATGTAGGCAATTGGTTTAGACACACATAAAATATAATATAATAGATAAAATACAAAATACGAATGAGAAAGGTTTGAAGCCAAACCTGTAAACTGCATATGTTTCTAACATTGCAACAATTTCTAAGAAACGTTACAAATTGCACATAATCTATCAAAAATGACTTGATCTGTTTTGTTCATAGTTCTTTTTAGGCTTCTTAATTCGTTAGGATCAACTATATTGTGCAAAATTGGCCGAAAAATAACCATTGAGTCAATACGCGGCCACCATTGTTTATTCTTGTCCTCGGTAAGTTAATCTTAATTTTAATATAATTTAGGTATATCTAACTCATTAATGCAAGAATTTTCAAAATTGTATTTTATTTTGAATACTATATTTGAATATTTGAATATTATATTTCAAATATTTTATTTACTCTAAAGTGAACGTAAAATACCGATTTTACAAAAATCCTTTTTAACAAACTTACTTCCAATAATTTTATTTATACAGGTGTACAGAAAAGTAATCAAAGTTTAATTCGCATATTTCATTTTTGCACCGAAAACAATCTACGTTTAAATTGCTTCTAAATTAGTTAGTTAGGTACATTACGTGTTAAAAATTTTCTTCCATTAATTTATGAGTGTACAAAAAAGTAATCAAAGAGTAATCTGCATATCGGGAAACAATTTACGTTTTTAAATTGTTTCTATATAATTTGTTTACTGGTATTCATTTTATTAATTTTCCTCTACACTTCCAGCTGATTTCCAGAATATGAATCACCCCAAAGGAGAATATTACTTCATCGAACGAATCGATTACTAATACAGGTAGGGTTGTTAAAAATACTTTCTAAAAAGTATTAATACTACTTAAAAGTTTAAATACTACTTAATAATATATGTATGGAAAAAAATGTTTAAAATAAAAGGTGACTTTGGTTCTTCCATTTTTACTGTTCGAGCTATTATATGCAAATATATTTAATTTCGTCAATTCAAAAATTACAAAGTATTACTTGGAAAATTCTCTTAAATTGATTACAATTGACTAAGGACTAACTAATCGCTAAAACTAAAACTTATCACTAATTCTGTTGCTCCCTAGATTGAAATAAAATTGTATTCATATGTATAAAGTAAATAATTAGGTTATTAAGAAACATGTAGTTCAGTACATGAAGTTTACGTTTTATATTCTACTTTGCGAATTGAGGTGGGTGAACGTGTAAAAAAATTATTTAAATAAACGGAATTTAATTATTATAAAATGTTTCTTTTATATACCTACCTACATATACATAGTTATCTTTATACACCTCCATCACGCTGATTTCTCAATAACCACATGAGAAAAAGAAAAAAAGGTATGTTTCAGATTCCATTTTTTACGGACTTTTCAATGACCTTACACGACATACCTTTGCATTTAAAAAATAAAGTTGGGTAGTTTCAGCGTTTTTTGTTTAAATTACTGGTTCAACAAATTATAATTTTATTCCGGACTTTTGCCCAACCCTGTATAGGGATACCGAAGAAAATGGCAGAATTAAAATCTGGCAATAGATCTAAAAGTATACAAAGTAATATTCTACGATTATTGAAAATGGTTCTTCCCTTTTTAAATTTGAAAAAATCATAGAATTCATAGGCTTTGTTCATAGAAAATGGAATGTTCAGATATTTGACGAATTAATTTTCAGTGTCAATATGTTTACTTTACTTATCGTTGACGTAGTTTTTATCAATAGACATACATATGTACATACCTATAATATAAAGAGCTTTCATTATCTATAATCCGGGTGTTTAATAGTCATTGCATTTAATTTTTTAACCACTTCACAAATATTCATTCATATTTGATCACTATATTCTTATTTGCTTTTTATACGAGTATCAATATTTCTATTAAATTTAAATTCTTTAAATTCTCTAAAAAATTGTTGAATTTATTCTTATACGATTTGCATTGAATTAGCTTCGAGAAATTTGTATTTGGAATAGTATAAAATTTTCAATTTCCACCCTATTTCGATAGATTGGCGAAAAATCAAATAATTAATTAAACAATTAGGTACAATTTTAATATTTTACTTATCGAACCTGGCACTATTTATAAAAATACATACACGCCGAAAAAATCACTATGTTACATTTTGGTTTCGAAATAATTACAACAAAAAATACATATAATAAAATTTTATACTATACTACAAGTATTTGAAATATTTTTTACCTGTTAGTGTGTTATGTATGTATGAATAAAATGAAAAAAATATGTTATACGCAATCTTCACGTTGCTTCATGATATCCTTCATATTTCAACGCAGAAAACCTATTATCAGACACTCTACCACCTAAGCAATTTTAGACATAAAAATTTAATTACGGCAACCAACAACAATTATCTTTGCTGATATTGAAAAATTCACGAAATTTATCGAAAGATGATGTTACAAAACTTAAAACAAAATGGAATTTTAGTAAATTTAATGCTTACCATAGGTTTTATTCACCATAAACTGGCAGGTCAGTAGTAGGAAGTTTTGTAATTGTTGACTTGGAAAAATAATTTAAGAAAATAGAAATAGTTAATAACTAGAAATTACTAAATAAATTAATAATCACTATTATAATCACTATTATATTTAAATGAATTTGTTTCTTCCGAAGATTGCACAAAATTTTAATAATTTAGCAAAAAATATAAAAAACAAGTTAAGCAAAATAAACAGTAGGTGCCTGGGTGCAATTAAATAAATTTCTAGCTTTGAACAAAAGAATAGGGGGGCTAAAAATTGCAATTTATTTAAAAAATACATAGAATATTAAATAATGGATAAAATACAAAATACGCATGAGAAATATTCCAAACCTGTAAGTCCAAACCTGTAAACTGCACATGTTCCTAAAATTGCATTACTTTGTAATAAATAATACAAATTGCACATAATTTAATAAAAATGATTTTATCTGTTTTGTTCTTACTTCTTTTTAGTCTATAAATTATTGAGGATCAACTGTAGTATGCACTAGTGACCGAACAACCATTTGGTCAATATGTGGTCACCATTGTTTATTCTTGTCCTCGGTAAGTTAATCTTAATTTTAATATTAATCAGATATTTCTAGCTTAATGAAAGAATTTTCAAATCCCTATTTTTTAAATATATTTTATTATCGATTGCCTATTTGTCTTTAAAACATTATATTTGCAATATAGGAATTGTAAATGTAATGAATAACGGATTTTACAACAATCTCTTTTTAAAAGAAACAAAATTACTTCCAAAGCAAATTTTCTTCCATTAAGTTATGAATGTATAAAAAAGTAATTGTGTAAAAAAGTGTAATCTGTATATTTCATTTCTATATGGGAAACAATTTTGTGCTTTTAAATTTTTTCTATATAATTCGTAACTTTACGTCTTATTAATTTATTTTCCTCTACACTTCCAGCTGGTTTCGCTCTCGGCTCCAACCGGCCGGCATGGAGAGACAACCAGGAATATATTTACTCGGTTCAAGGGCGTGCTCTCGCCGGTCTAGAAATCGCCAACGAATTTTCGGGTATTTTGTTGAAAGCTAAATTAAAGCTTCAAACAAGACCCGATGGCAAATTACAAGGTATCATAATGAATCCGCAATACGCTCAAATCCATTCCGAACTTTCTGATGGATGGATGACTTACATACCCGATCACCATGTGAGTTGGAAACCTCTTGAAATGGTGAGGAAACCTTTCCAAATCGAAATGAAACGTGGTATAATCACCAATGTGATTGTCAACAAAGGTGTTTCAAACTGGGAAGCTAATATTATAAAGGGTATATTGAGTCAGTTCCAAATGAGCCTTAGTGTGGCTGATGAGCAAGATAACAGTCAAAATTCAGCGTACTTCAAAACTTTCGAAGAGACCGTCACCGGTAACACAGAAACCTTGTACGAAGTCAGTCCGTTCCCTCAATACGCTTTGAATTCCCTAAATTATGAAATTCCACGGTTACAAAAAATGAACGACAACTATTTGGAGGTCACTAAGCACAAGAATTTCACCAACGATATCGAACTTCCTTCATATTTCTATGGATTAGGAAATATTGTCAATAAGGGAGCAGTTGTGGGAAGATTCTTTTTGAGAAACACAGTCACTCGAGCCATACTCTCAGGAAACATGAAACAATATACTATTGAACATTCACTTACAATGAACGATATTGTTGTACATCCTACATTGAGAGATCAACAAACTGGGGCAGTGCACTCATTATGGAATACTACCTTGCAAGAAGTTAAGGCCCAAAGTGAAATTCTCGAAGACATTTCTTCACCTGTGTCATTGGGTAGCCTTGTATACGCTTACAACAAGCCGTTTGCTAAATTGAACAAAGTCGAAGAAAGAAGTTCCCAAAAATATGAATTTCTTAATGACAGACCTGCGTTGCAGAGATTAAATCCGCAACTTTTTAGCAGTTACCTGTCTTCAGAATTGAGACAGAACACACCAAGGCTTAACCAAGCAGCGGAAAATCCTTTGTTCCCCTTATTTATAGGAAATAAAGGTCACTCTATTAAATCTGAAATTAACGTCGTCGAAACCTGCATAAATCTTTGCAGAGAAATGGGAGAAGACATACAGGATCCTAGGAAGACATTACATAACAATATTTACGGAAAATTCAGTAGCCTTATATCCCTTCTCAGACTTATGGATGAATCTGAGTTAAGACAAATTTCAAAAGCTTTGTACAGAAGTGAAGACAATGCCGAAGGTGCTCCTTGGACCATATTCGTCGATGCCGTCGCAGAAACTGGACAAGGCCCAGCTTTGACCATGATTGAAACTTTGATCGAATCCAAACAAATCCAAAACCAACAAGCTGCACACATATTTTCCACCATGGCTAAAGCAACTCAACATCCTACTACACAATACATGAAAACTCTTTTCAATTTAGTAAAGAAACCAGTGGTTGCCAATTATTGGCCTTTGAACGAAACCGCCCTTTTGAGCTACGCTGATTTAGTTCGTAAAGTGTATTTCGGAAGAGACTACTACGATACTCATTACCCTAAGCACACTTTCGAAAACTTGAAGGACAAAGAAGGACTTAGTTTTGTCAGGAATACAGTTATTCCTTACTTCAGCCAACGCCTTGACAAAGCCGTCACACAAGCCGATACCAGAAAAATACATGCATACATTCGAGCTTTGGGTCAAATCGGATCACCCGATATACTCAAAACTTACGAACCTTATTTGGAAGGTGACAAACGTTGTTCCGATTTCCAACGCGTTTTGATGGTTGTTGCTATGGACAAAATCGCTAGAAATTACCCGGAAATAGCACGTCCCGTGTTAATGAAAATTTATCAAAATAACGCTGAAACCTCCGAAGTAAGAGTAGCTGCAGTATTTCAAATTATGTTCACCTATCCCGATGCGGAAACGCTCCAATACATGGCTTCTTACACTAAAATCGATACTGACGAGCAAGTTAACGCAGCTGTTAAATCCTCCATACAATCAGCATCTAAACGAGCTACTGAACAATTTAAAACACTGTAAGTATTGACAAATAAACGCGTTGAATAAATTTATCTTCCAATATATTATAAAATACTTTAAATTTATAGTCGCAAAGCTGCTCTAACAGCCGAGCCTCTACTCACAGACAAGGAATATGGACTACACCAAGGAGGAAACTACTTCAGAACTTACTTCATCGAACAAATGGAATATCATTACAAGCAATCCGCTCAAATACTCTCCGGCGACTGGGGATACGTTCCCAATGGTATCCATTACTACTCAGGCTCCGTTAACAACGCACTGGAATGGCAACACTTGAATGTAGAAGGTTGGTTGACAAGCGTAGGTCAACTGGTTTATGCTTTCGACAAACAAACTACATATTACAATGAGGAAAAAGAAATGAAGGAGCGCTTGGGCGAAAGTAAAAACCACCCGTGGTCCAGCGAGAACATCGCTAAAATGCTCAACATGAAGTCCGACATGATGGATGGCTTCGAGGGATATCTGTTTACACCTATGAATGTACCTTACCAAATGTTATCTCTCGATAACACGACTTTCTGGCGATTACCTGAACGTAAGATGAGTAAAATTTCGTTTTATAACAAACTCACCGAATTATATTTTAGTTGTCCAGAAATGGGAGAGAAACCTCAAAAATGGAGAGGACATACACTACGTCAAATTCCTTAATAATGACCACCTTGCCCTCGCTATGCCTAATGAATTGGGTTTGCCGTTCACTTTCACTTACAATGCACCGATGTTCGCCAGAATCAACGGAAATGTAAGAGCCGCTGCCAGTCCAGAATTATTCCAAAAGGGCAAAATTAATATCCCGAATAATTTACAAGTAAAAGTAAACGTTTCCATAACTGTAGGATCTAAAATAATGACGAAGCTCGCTTTCAATACTCCATTCGATCATCAAGAATACAGTTCCGGAATCGACAAAGTATGGCAAGCACACGTACCCATAGTAGGCAAAATTCAATTCGACAGTAACAAAAAAGAATTGCAACTTAATGTTCAGCCTAGAGAAATGCACCAAGGAGCGCATTTATTCCATTACAGCACGTGGCCTTACACTTCAATTAAGGATGTTATGAATGCCAAACCTGAACAAGAACACCATCAAATCATTAAACCTCACGGCCTCCGCAGATTCGACAACGTTTTCGGCAAAAAAGAAACCGGAATGGCCTTTAAAGTTGAAATGGAAAGGGAAAGAAACACCTTAAGCATGCCCGACTTCCGCGTTTTCTGCGAACACGGCATTTCTAACGGCCTTGCCAATATTTGGAACGACGACAAACTCCAATACAGCATGGTAAACATAACTTATTTGCCCCAAGAATCTTCTACCCAGGAAATTACGATGCGCATGAAATACCAAAAAGAATACAAGACACAAGGAGAACAATCAAACATGAACTGGCAAGAAGTTATGCAAACTGACAGTCCTTCGACCAGGCAAAACAGGCTATTAAAATCCGCTGCATCTGGAATTAACAATGTTCAAACTTACGCCGTTGAGGCATCGATCGATTTCGAGGGACACGACAAAACCGAACACGTTGTATCCGGAGCATACGCGTGGAGCAACGTCGACGCCAAATCGCGCGTCTACGCTCTATACAGGCACAAGAAAGGAAACGAAAGGGTTTCTCAAATCAAATTTGAAGCCGACAATACCGTACCCAACGTCAACTCCCTAGATTTACAAGACATCCTTTCAGCACAACCCAGAGCCAGCTCAAACGTCAACGTTAAATTCGACAACATAAACGGAGAAGGTAAAATTGCTGCAGAGATTAAACTCAGCAGAAGCGAAGAACGTAAGCGATACTTGAGCGAACAGCCATTCTTCCACCAATGCCTTCGCGATGAACGTCTTGGCAACAAGCAATCACCAGCTTGTCTTAACATGACCATTGAAGCTAATCTTCTGGATCGAGTTAACGTAGACTTGGACGTAGAAAATGTCAGCCCTGCCGTACGTAGCATGGTGGAAACGGTTTACTCTCACTTGAAATACGAGTACTATCCCAGTCTGAAATTCGAAGGACAATCTTCCAACGCTAATAACAAAATTAATATTCGGGGCCAATTCGATGACGATTTGAAATACTTGAATGTTACCGTTAAAAATGCCAGAGAAACCGTTACTTTCAGGGATATTGAACTCAACGAATACGCTAAGAGGATCTTGGTGGTACATCCAGTATTCGAAGCCTCTATAAGGGCTTTGAGCAAACCGCTCGAAATCGACACATTCAAATGTAAGTTCAACTAATATTTATTATAAAAAGATACATTTAAAGTGTTTGAAAAAACTATTAAAAATTAGAGGAGATCTATATATTTTTTTAATTTTAGCCGTTTGTATCGTCGACCAATCTCAAATAACTACATTCAGCAACAACACTTACCCTGGTGATCTTTCGAAGGAATGGACGGTCGCCGCGCAATTTGTACCGAGAATGAAACATGACGCTACCCGACAATTACAAAAACAACGAGAGAATTTCGCCATTTTGGTCCGTCAAAGTAAAGACCACAAACAAGGAAAAGACATCAAAATCGTCGTCAGTTTTCCTGAAACCAAATACAAAGTTATTGACATCACCATGATTTCAAAACCCCAAGGTCCGGTGAGAGCTGATGTCAAAGTAAACGAAAAGTCTGTTCAAGTCAGTGGTGTAAAAGCTCATGACATTGAAGATGGTTACATCCAAATTTACTCGACGCCTAACGGAGAAATTAAAACGATTGTACAAGGCAGGATTTACGTCTTCTACGATGGACAACGTGTTAAAATCGGAACCATCAACGGATTCCTAAGACACGGCAACAGAGGAATATGCGGTCAATTCAACGACCAATCTAATGAAGATGGACTCACCTCTCAAAACTGTTACACTCGCGATCCACAAAAACTTATCCAAAGTTACGAAATTCAAGGATCAAGAGGCCAACAAGTAAGGCAAGAATTGAAGAGCGACCCAAAACAATGCGTAGAGAAAAAAGTGCCGATTCTTATTGACGTTATCGATGGAAAACACGTCGATGAATGGCCAAACAAATACCAAGAAGGAAGTTCTTGCAGCAGATTTCAAACCAAATACGTCAAAAAAGACAATCAACTGTGTTTCACAGTAAGGCCTGTACTTACCTGCAGAAGCGAGTGCCATCCTCAAGGCTTCATTACCAAAACACTGGCGGCCCATTGCATTGATGAGACCAACGTTGCTCAATTGTGGGCGTCGCAAGTCGATAAAGGTGCCAGCCCCGATTTCAGCAGCAAAATTGCCAACAAGAATGTGCAAATGGAAATTCCCATTAGTTGCGGCATTTAATTTGCTATAAAATTTTATTGAACTCGAAATATACTAATGAAGCATTTTGAATTGATTATTTCCCTTTTTACTTTAAAAATAAAGTCTACTTTGTTTCCTCTAAAGACCAACAATTATGTATTAAGGTCGAGATGTAAAAATGGGTCTTGGAGAGATCATGAACTTATCAATTTAATAATTCATTAAACTATTATTATGTGTTCGTGATTAGTTCAGACATCAAATTTCAGACAAATATTATTTATAAAATTAATTCATTAATATTTAATAATAACTAATAAAGTAATTAAGCAAACATAATAAATAAAACGAAAAAGGAAAAATAGCACAAAAAAATTGTTTGAATACATTGAGTTGAACATTTAGATAATATTTAAAAAAAATGGAAAGCAAATATTTGTTAAGAACAAGGCTGATTGAATTGGAGGTGATGATATTTATACAGGGTGTTCCATAATGACATGCTAATATTTAAGGGGGTGATTCTTTGAGATGGAGCGTCTCAGCTCTTCTTTGAGATGAAACGTCTCAGCTTTCCAATCGCAGAACGTCGCACAATCCCAATGTTATCTGGCGTTCTGATGGACTTCTGTTGACCTTGGTGCTTCCGATTTACCACCGAAATCGCCACTACATACGAATCGATCGCTTTAGAAACCGCCTCGACTGAAAATAGAAAATCCGCATGTATTTACCACAAATTCCCCCCCAAATACTTTTCAAACGGTTGCACAGGCTGCACGGTTCGAAAACCGAATTTTACTGTGAGTCACCCTGTATGTATATCCATCAGAATGCCAGAGAACATTGAGATTAAGCGCCTTAGCTTTCCAGTCGCAGAACGTCGCACAATCCCAATGTTCTCTGGCGTTCTAATGGACTTCTGTTGAGCTTGGTGCTTCCGATTTAACACGAAACCTGTTTGTCGGAGATTTTAAACACCGATTGCACTAAATTTGTCACAGGGAGCATTACGTATACGCCGAATATTGTGATTGTTGCAAAAACGTCGAATTGCCACTACGTATGTATGAATATTTCGCTTTATAAACCGCCTCGGTACAAGAGAAATATTGTGTAAAAAATATTTATTATAAAAATTCTTTATAAATTTAAAATTTTTATTATCTTTGTAAACTACGTAATTTTTTTTAGTTCTTTTATTGTCTTCAATTCCTTTTTAGCAAATTGATTACACTCCTTTTATTTTACAACATTTATATAAAGAAGACTAATTTTTGGGCACTACATAAAAATAGGAATTTTTAATAAAATATAAAATAAATAATACATTACATCTAATCAATATAAACAAAAATAAATTAAAAATTAACAAATCTATTATTAAATCTAATATCACACTCACTGTTAATAGAACACATTTTTAATTTAACCACAAAAATGTTGAAATAATATAACTTAATATCACCCTCATTAAAATAAATTTAATTTGCAATATAAAATTTAAAAATTGAAAGTGTTATTTATACATTTAGGTGGTATTCGATCCGTTCAAATCGTTCACACATTAAATTAATATGCTTTCTTGTTATCGAAAGTTCTTGCAGCACATAAAGTAACGACTTCACATACCCGAAATTCCCTGAGTTACAGTTTTTCTGAAAACACTCAAAATTTTTACAATATAATCAAGGATAATTGGTACACTGCCCTCAATCTATAAACGTACCCCTGAACCTTAATATGAAAGTCCACTATGATTCTAAGCCTAGATAGTATTGCATCATTTTGTTTCTTACAAATTTTTATCACAAACATATCAAGGATATTTAAATATTAAATATCAATCTTAATCAAAAAGCTGAACTCAATTTTTACTCATGTACTAAGTGAATGTCCCGCGCTCGCATGCCTAACAGTTCATTTACTTAGTTTCACTGGGATAAACAGATATCACTAGAGTCACAATACTGTTAAAAATCGAAATTCCTAAAATTCATGAGTTACATGCACCCGCAACTGTCCACTATCATATTCGATAACAATTTCGTCGTTAACGTTTTGTTGCTCTGCATGTAAAACAGCTGGAGATTCTGGAATTGAATAGCCGTGCAACATGGCGTTATTTCAGGCCCCACCACTCTGTTTCTTTTGTGTCCGTTCATAACTTTCTGCAACAAAAAACATGTTTTTTCAATTAAATTACTCGAATTTCGAGAATTTTGAAAATTTTGGAATTTTAAATTTATGGACGAGAAGGTCATAAACACCGTTGATACAGAGGATATTCTTATCTGTGCGACATTTAGACTTTGACTTGCACTCCGCAATAAGTGTAAGCAATAAGTGTAAGCACAATGTTTCGATGTAGACATTTTTACGATTCTTGTTTACAAATAGAATATTATTCGAGTTGAATGCTATCGAAACTCACCTGGAGAATGGTGTTATGTTGGCTGGCGCTGAGCGTGATGGCCGATGACGTGGTGCACGATCCTTTGCAGAAATAAGCATTGTATCCCTCCGGTTTGATGATCCAATCGTCCCAACCGATTTCAGCGAAAGAAACGTAAAAGTTCTCCCGACAACATTCGTTTAGGCCCGGCTCGCAATTTGCCGATCGCTTGTGTCTTCGATGAGACAGGGTTCTTCTTTGCTGCGTATGCGTGTAAATCACCAAAAAAGGCTTCAAAGAGTTGGTAAACGATATAGGATTTTTAGTTTTATCCATTCCGCACGTTTTGCACACAATGTTTATGGCGTGAACTCGCGAATCTTGAAAATCTAGCCAATTTTTGGCGACGTAAGTTACGTCTATTTTCAACCATCCTTCTGCAATTAAATGAAAAATGACGATAACGATGATTTATTTCCCGAATTTTACGTCTATTTACCGGATAAGCTCGTTTCTTGGATGGCAATAGGCGTTGTCTTCTGGAAGCTTTTCTTCGTATCCCAATGCGTTACTTCGTATATAACGAACGTTTGATTGTGTTCGTCTAAATCGTCTTTTTCTTTGTGAATCCACAATTCCGCGATGGCGACATCGGTTGTGTGAATGTCATTGGGCATTTGAAAGGGCAGGCAGGCCGAAGGAAATCGTATGGTCCTCGAACAACGGGCCTCGTCTGAAATATAATTATTTTCCTATACTTTCATTTCGAATTTTCTGGTATGAAATTTCAAATATAATGGATTATCGTTATTTGGTTACAGTGCCAAATTAAAAAATATACTGCTTTAACCAATGAGTAAAAACAATATTAACTGATATTGCTATGGTTTGAACAAATAAAATTAAATACAATCAATAAATGAAAGTAATTTTATTTATTAATATTTCCATGATACAGTTTTTAAATAAACAATTTCTTACAGCAATATACAACATATTTCTACTAGTTACCTTCATAAGGAAATATAATAGCTTGAGTAGTTTTCCCATAAAAATCATCAGAATAGGATTGTATACCCATATCATGTGTAGGCAACAAATTTTCGTATTCCTTAATTGGCTTGGGCAATTCCGATGGAGTTATGGTAGGTTTTTCCTTGAGCCTCAGTTTCTTCAGTATTTGGTTCTTGATGTATTCGATCCTGAGTTTAGCGAAATCATCCTCGATCACTTTGTAATCCTGTTTCTCAGCATGAGCCGCCAGCGTTTGGGGCACACTGTTGTCCTCCTGCAAATCCCCGTTGTTGTTCGAGTTCGAAAAGAACACTCCGAATACGGAAGGCACTTTAGCACCCGCGAGATTCGCGAGAATCGTCAGCGCAACTACCAAATGGATCGAAGGCCTCATTGTAACTCTCGAATTTTGTCACCACCGCGTCCTTACAACAGCACTTATTTACAAATCGCTACGGATTGATCCTGAAAAGTGCAGGCTTAAAATCATTATAAACTTTATTTACCCCACTCTTTTTAATAGCATTTCTGTAACGAATGATTCGTTTGAACCTTGAACCCCGTTGGATCTGGAGTATACGAAATTAGATAATAAGGTATGAGTATTTATTTCACTATTCTTCGAGTGGAGAATGCCACGATAATTCGAGCACGTGCTTGCCACTTTCGTAAAAATTGATCAGCGACGTGCCATTAATGCCATTATTGTAAATAAACAAAATTAGAAGATATTTCCACATTATTATATACGAATATTTTCCAACATTATTTAATGTGAATGAATCGTTTTAAAAATTTTATTACATAGCAATTTTTAAAATTTCTTTTAAAATCGCAAAAATTAATTAAAAAAATTATCTACATTCTACGGTATGGAGTTTGTATCACCAGTCATGTACACGAATCTGTTGTTAATTAATCCATGTTTTCGCTTAATATTTCGCAATACGTAAAGGAATTTTTTTGGTTTATCTTCTATTTTAAATTAAAACGGTTTTACTATCTTTATCATGCCATTAGTTGAATTAATACTCGACACGTGTTCGAAATATCGCTGGACCGAACATTTTTGCAAATTAATTGCGTGATCGCAGTTGATTAAACTATAACAAAAATTTGAACTTTCGGTTTTTTGAAATTGTGTAATGGTTCATTGATATTACATTAAAAAATGGGTTCATAGATGGAATTCGCTGAACACTGGTAAATTCGCTACCATGCGACCCATAATTAATTTGCAAATTGTTGTTGCCATAAAGAAAATGAACTTTAATAAGTTTATAGAAAAGCATGTCATTTATCGTACAAAATTCGGTATTTTTTTTAATTAATAGTGGAAATATATCAGGAATACTGGATAGACTCAAAGAACGCTGAAAACAAATCATTTACAGTACATGTACCTACTGGCAATGCAGCTATTTTAAACACACTTCTATTGAATGGTAACCGATTTGAACGATTTGGATACAGCAAACCCACATTTTCTATTCACTCAATCCAATTATAGTTTTAAAAAATCCAAGGCATTTTTCTGAAAATAAGAATCCTAACATTATTTGTTTTTACGTTCCATTCGAATAAACTGTATAATTCCGATGCTAAAAATGCGCTTTAACTTGATGGTGAAGAGCATGAACTTTAATGCTTTATTAATCGTAAAGAAATGAGTACTCTGTCCCCTACTGAATAAACAGTCTAACGTAAATGATCAATCTGTGTCATTTAAATAACTTTAATCAGTCTAACATATATTTTTTTGTTTAATATGAAATAGACGCCTTTGAGAATATACTATTGAAATAGTCTATGTGTCTTGATCCCGGACTTGTACTATGGCCTATGTATGAGTCAATACACTATTCTTATCGCGATTATACGGACATTTTGCTTTACAATTCTTACAACAATTAAATAAAGTATTATTATTGTTTATACTCTTTTGCAAATAAAATAATATTTATTGTATGAAGGATCTGTTTGAATTTTTCGTTGCCAATCATCGGAGTCTTTTCCGATATACTAATTAGGTTTTCGTAGGATACACCTAATCTGTATTAATTAAAATTAATTGATGTTGATACATCGTTTTTTTATACAACGGAACCTATTTAATAACCTCAGTATCTAAAGTCGATGTTATCTAATTCTGATGAAATTTTTAAAGCAATTATATTACTTTACAAATTGTTAGAATCCGGGTGTCGCAATTCGAAATCCAGATTGATTGTATTACAAAAATATATTGAGATTTTCTGTATGTAATCCGAATAGTCATTAAGCGATTTTGAGCACGAACCAGGAAATCACACACGTTATCTCCGAGGCGTTTTGTGCAAAATAAAATACATATATTTCAATGAAATTATCGTATTCTCCGGGGTTATCGTGATGATGGATAAAAATATTCAAATATTTACATATATCGGGCTTTTCGCATCTTTTTAAGTCATGTGCTACGAATTATTCCCATTGAACCTAAACGTATGTAATTTGTAGTAATTTCTTAACTTGCACGTGAACCATACTTGACTTTTTTCTTAATACTTTCTCATTCAAAAATTTACTAAATAGGTATAATCAATTTTGACGCAATGATTGGTCATGTATATCCATGGGAATCTGCAATTTACTGATGTAATTATAGCCACTTAACTGGTAACATTTTACGTTCAATTTTACACATTGAAAAGACTTCGTTGGAACAAATGTTTTATTTTATATTGAATTTAAATTCAGTAAATTATTTTTGTGTGAGTAAGGTTAAGGGTAAGTATGAAAGTATTAAATTAGGGACAATTCATTTATTTGTCTCGACAATGATTTGGCAAGAATATACAAATTCTTGTCGTTCAAAACCCTTCTTTATAGTTAGGTACAACATGTACTTGCGCCCTTTTCTATCTAGTCAAAAAGTTACAAAACATCATTGACATGTTGAAATAAAAACTAAATTTTAATTAGATAATTAGATAAATGTGCTAATTCTAACACATCTTATTAATCAGACGATATATTGGTAACATTTTTTTTCTGGAGCGTGTCTTTGATAAAACTGAAAAAATGTCGCAGTAGAGTTAGCGAAACACGATCCGTCGACATGGATAAATTAGACGAACGTCCTGATAAAACCGAAAGCAAATGATCCGAAACCTCCTAAATTTGTACTTTACTTAGCTGCGAAAGTCGAACGTAGATCATGTGAATGTTGCTCAAATTGGATTAATCGACTGCATGCATTCCTTTACAATCGCTAAGGTTACGAAAACAGGACTATCAGTTGACATTCCAATCAACTGCAACCAAGGTGTAATCACCTTTTTTTAAGGGTTTTTTGTGCGACACGAGTTATGCACTCATATGTTATCTTGGTTTTATTACCTCGTGATTGTCTGTAAAAGATTGTTCATGTTACTATAGAAACTCATGCATTATTTGTTAATATCCTATTATATTTTGCAAAATCTATCAAGAGAGATGTAATCGTATCACAATACATAATTTGCATACACTGTGTCTATGTTCGAGCGCTACATTCGTCCGCCGATTCATCGCGCCGAAGCCGCGCCTCTCCACAGTTCAACTGATTCTCTCTTTCTACTGTTTGCAGCGCTCGGACATAGACACTCTGTATATGTATCTTAGGTCAATAAGAAGGTAACCAAAGCTCCAATCTCACCAATCAATTTTTAAAAGTCTCTTCTTGGTATTCTTTCCCACCAGTTATGTGCTTTCGAGCATGTAACAAATCAAGGCTTTAAAAATATTGTAGTAATGTACAGAAATGTAGGTCATCATTCAGCCGTCTATTTAATTGTGACAGATGATTAGTCGTGGAGACAAATAGTCTGCAGTTAAATATAAACAATTTTAAATTTAAGGCATTGTAGCAGAGAATCGAGCTACAAATGTATCCGTGTAACGAAAATAAATGGACCTACATAATATGTGCGAGTTAGTTTGCAATATCTTAGTAGATGCATATGTTAAAGCTGCACATAAGGCAAAGTGTTGTTACAAATATTTGGGTAATTTCCAGTTCTTATTGTTGCCAATTTAAACACTTCGGGTTTTGCTGTTACTACTGCCAAATAATGAAATTCTTAATCAATAAATAGTTTACAAATAAAAAATAATTATTAGCGATTGCTGTTATTTGTTGTTTATCTACACAATTAAGTTTTATCTGGTTTTTGAGTGAGCAGCAACGTCTTTTTGTTTGACCCCCTTCATCAACCACTTTCTGAAACTATTTATTTTTATATAGATATCATGTTGTCGTTGTGTGACTGAATTTTATCGAAATTATTTAAATTAGTCAAAAGTTAAGTACAAAAGGACAACAGAAAATTTAGAAGTCGCTGGCCTACGAAAATTTATCTGTTGATTTCAAAATTGGTTGAATTTAAATATGTAATTTTCGACTTAAAGCGTAGAATTACAAGATACCGTGAATTTATCACAAAAATTAATTTGTTTAAACGTTTTTCGCACTTTTGCGAATTATTAACGCAACGATACATTAAATAAAAAGCTCAAATATTATGTAATAAATCTAGAATTTACTTACATATGTATATTGAAAGTAAATGTGAAAATATAAATTTATAAGATAAGTGAAATTGTAAATATTTTCATATGGCGATTCCGTACACAAATTTACGCTTTCACACTATTTAAAACTTCAGTAATGCGTATATTAATCAACTTTGGATTTTATAAACATTCAGATATAACATTTAAAATATTTAGGTAAGCCTGTATGTGTTTTAGGCTAATACAAAAGAAGTAAAATAATGGAAAATGTTATATCTGTTTTTACAAGTAATTAATATATTTTTCATGATATATACCAACAAAATAAATCTATAATTAAATAAACAAATTCATAATAAGCGAACTAAACAACAATATTACGATAATTTAAAAAAATATAATTATTTATAGTTATCATCAAAAAAATATGTTTACATAAAGTAATAAAAAACTAGATTCTTAAGAAATCTCGCTTGTTGGTGATATCCAGGACTTTTCTTTCTAACTTCTTCCAGATTTAATGAGACTTAAGTGTAAATTAAAATCGCCCAGAATTCCCCATAATTATTAATTAACTCTATTCATATACTTAAATACATACGATTGTGTTTGCAACAGCTTATTTTATCTTTTAAAATATTCGTAATCCACTGTAGTTGAGGCAGGTCATTGATAAATTATTTTGAAAACAATTATTCCAAAAAATAAAAATAGGAAATTATCGATTTATTAAAAATTTCATTTAATAATATAAGCAATTTTTACATCTGCGATAAATTGTAGATTATACTTTAGAGAATTCAATTACCTAATTTGTGGATAATGAAAATTAGATAAGTGTCATAATTAATGTAATCCTCCCTCTGATCTGACTAATTCTCATGCATGTGTTTATAATAAGTCTAATTTTATAATTACGTCCGTATTAAAGTAATTACTGTTCAATCAGTAACTTAAGAAAAACTGCTGAAACACGTGAATTAAATTTACATTGAACGTATTTGTTGCCAATAAAATGAAATTATTTTCTTCAACTCCTTGGCTGCCACCCAACTCAACTTTGCATCTTGCATTTTTTAATGCAAAAGTATGTCGTGTGTGAAAAGCATTGAAAAGCTTGTGAAAAATGGAATCTCAACATTCCTTTTTTTCTTTTACTTTTTTTTTCTCTTTTGTTGCTATTGGGAAATGAGAGAAAATGAGAGAACAAAAAGTTACAAAGGGGATGAAGAAAAATAATCACTTTATTGTCAATAAATATGTCCAATATAATCAATTCACGTGTTTCGGCGTTTTATTTGATACTGGTTGAACAGATTTTATTCCAGGGTTTTGAGCAACCCTGTGTAATTAGTGAATAATGCAAGTAGTTGGGTTTTCAATGCGATAAGTTAGTGATCCAAAGGGAAATCTTTCTTAAATGGAAATTTTTGCTGATATCTCTTAAGTTGCATAACTATGCAGTATTAAGGCAACAAATATATTAGCGCCGTCTAATTTTTGAAAACCGTAATTAACTATAATTCCTAATCGCAAAAACTGCGTAATAAGCCATTTTATTTGCATAATCATTGGTTGGGAATATTTTTATTTCCCTATCGCAAGAAATTCCATTTTTTTATCCAACGAAATTTGTACAAACAGGAATAAATATTAGATAGAGTTCAATGATGTAGAAGATCATACTAAATAAATATTGTTCAAATTTTAATCAACCTATTTTTAATTACTTCATTAATTAAATCTCCGTGATATTGGAAACACGCTTCAAAAAATGCTCAATTAAAAATAATCATATTTCCAAGGGATATTTTATTCAAATAAATATTACTCAAATATTAAACTAGGGTAAATTAAACAATATAAAGTAAATATTTTATCACAGTTTTCTCCTTATTTACCTACAGTTGGTCGTAAATTCGGAATTTTCGAAATTCCCCACTATTTGTTTGGGACAACAAATCATTTTTACACAATTTTAACAGGAGATAAAGAGAAAAGCAATCAATAGGTTCGAAGAAACTTTTATTAAAGTATACAAAATTTTATGACTATTTTCATATACATATTTGATTCAAACTGAATGAGACATTTTCAATGATACATGTACATACATTATAGATTCAACATAAGGCAAAAATTAAACTTATCAGCATCTTTTTATCATTATCAAACCAACACGTCTTACACATGGAATATATTTTATAATAAACTAGTAACTAAATAATCCAGCCTAGCAGCTTACGGTGTAATAATTTGAAGTCCAGCTTCAACGCGTATGGTTTCATTATCAGGTTTTCATTACTTTTTGAATTAATTTGCTCCTAAATAAAACGCTGCTGATAATAAACAAGCTACATGGCTAAACCACTTTACTAACAAACTTTAAATATTAAATCATTCGAAATCTAAATTAGAAAACTACAAATTGGACGTACCTATAATTTAAGTAGTATGTATTGAAAATAAAGTGGGGTTGATCACGAAAGCTTCTCTATATATTATTTAAAGTTGCTTTACTTAGCAAAACATCCATCAATCATACAAAAGAATAACTTATTAAATTCAATTTTTCAATAAAAGTGCGACTAGAGCCTTTTGAACCATCGACATTAGCCCAGGAATGGATTTTCCGCTTGTGTTGTAAATCGATTTTGAATAGGTAAATTTTGATTAATAGTTAGGAAATATGGTGTAAAATCCCCGAAAAATCTGATTAACTAGTCGATCAATATTTACATATAAAATTAACACTTTAAACTTCCAAATTTATCAAAGAGTTCAAAATAACTTAAAGTATTATTTATACATTCGATTTTCCGAGAATTCGCCAATTATTTAAAAAAAATATATATTTAAAATGAGAAATCAAACCAAAACAAGTTTTCATGTTAAACTATAAATTTTGAGAAACGCTAATACTGATATATTGAGCATATTATTAAAAAATAGATCACTTCTTTTCCATTATATCTCATGGTGATCAATCCCCATTGACTAAAGATGGACTGGGAAGGAATGTATTGGTTAGTTTTATGTATTTCTAAAAGGCTTTTAACACTATGAAATCAAATACGGAAAAATATATAATGTATTTACAATACAAGCGACCTAATAGCTGAGAATTAACTACATGAAACTAACCTGTTTCTCGACTAATTATACAGGGTGTCTATTTACTTTGTAATTGTACTTGGTTAACATATTTTAAAACTTTGAGAATAGTCGATTACAAAACCAAATGGTCAATAATTATATGCATACATATCCCAGAATGTAATAATTTCGGGAATTGAATAGGACGTTTAATTTAAAATAGGTATGAAATAATCAATCAAATCGGCCACTCTCGCTATATTTACTTTCAAACACGAGGCGATAATAGGTAAACTAAACAGCGAATGAACTTGGGGAGAAAAGTTGTAAAATGCCATCATTTAGCCTAACACAGCAAAGAGACTATTCTTATTTGAAAAACTATTCCATTCGTAGCCTCGAAATTTTAAGAAAATAAGAAGTACAATAGATCTCAACAAAACGGAAAATATTTGATTAGTCTAATAATATATTTTAAATGAAATATAAGTCGCACTTCTGGTGGATTGTGTTCCAAATATTGCTGCTATATTATTATATTATGGTATATAATTAAATTTTGATTCTTTTATTGAACTTGAATTCATAAATAAATCCTAAGGAATTTTTAGTGAATTGACATTATAACGATTATTTCTTTGGGCAGGTTTCAAAGGTAAGCTTTGGACTAAATGTCTAAAGCTCTTTACATAATTGAACTATTAAACTCGAATTATCTTCAAAAAGTAGTTGTGAAATTCTCTTTGTGTATATTATTTTTGAACTATGACCTACATGGAGCATTGTCTTGTAATGAAATGGCTCAGCATCTTATTTTAATAATGATTCGATTAAATATGATTTATGCAAAAAACGAACAAGGTTGGAACCAATAATTCTCCAGTTATCCGCTGTTTATAGCCTATTCTCTTCAGGGATGCCTTTCAGCTACTTGTAGAGAAGCTCCACTAAATAATTCCATATACAGTCAACTTTTATAAAAATAGTTTCACTCCAATAGAGAAAGATTAACTAATATTCCTTTGCTCTTATTCATAAGTAAATTATAAGAATTTTACAGCTACTTTTGGAGATTTAAAACTTTTCAACTATTCAAATCTGCATAAAAAACAGCAAACGCGAATTTTGATAAAACTATAGAATCAACAACAGAAGTAATAATACTGATACGAATTCAATAAAAATTAATCGAACAAAAATTAATTTGAAACTAATTTTTACATGTTATTTAGAATTTATTAAAACTAAATGTGGACTTGCAGAATAGACTAAAGAAGAATTGCATATTAGACTAATTAAACATGACAATGTTGTATTTAAGAATCAAAACGCGTGACTAAACTATCGATAACCACAAAAATAAACCCATACTGTAAAAACCCACATTGATATTTTTGAAGAAAATAAATAAAAATAAGTATATTAACCACAGAGCACCAATATGTAGGTAAATTTCAATGAAAATTAAGTAGATACACAGGGTATTTATTAATGCTTGAATCGATAAAATTCTGTCGTTAAAAATTAATGACAAAACCGTTTCGAAACCAAATATTGTGAATAAACATAGTCACAATTATCAGCTCCACATAAATGTATGAAAATTCAGCTTTTATTAAATTTCTGAATAACATAACCTGTTTGTGCTAACTCTTTTAAGGGTGAATAAGTACTATTACTATGACCTAACATAGTCAAAAACAACAATGTATGTCAAGCATTCTATGGTTATCCCTTTGCTTAAGTTACGCACGCATCCACACAGTCTCATCATTCAATACATTCACGCCCTCAAAAAAACAAACAGTTCAGATCACAGTGTTTCACTATCAGATGCAAAGGCACTGGCCATCAATTGGTCTCGTAACTAGTGAGCAAGGCAGCATCTACAGGCTCCAAGCAGCTAGGACAAGTAAGACTTCTCATCAGCCAATCATCGATGCATGCCATATGATACGTGTGCATGCAAGGAAGATAGCGTAATGCATCACCGACTAAAAATTCACCCATACAAATTACACATTCCCTAGCCTTCTTGCATCCATCATAAGTTCCTGTCGGAAGATGTTGAATAAGACCGATCCTTTTCGCAATCTTCACCTGTTCTTCCTCCGTCAATTGCGTGACTGAACGGGTTACACTAGGAGACGGGTGGTATACAGGAGAAGCTGCTTGTATCGGGAGGGTTTCCTGTAGAACAATTTCGAAATCAAGAAAATTTCTACTGTAAATCATTTCGAAGCATATTATTCATTAAACATAAATTCAATTTGTCCTTACTAAATGCTCTAATTATAATACTTATTCGTAACTATCGTTAATTTGTACAGTAATATACAAATAATTGACAATATACAATTAAGTTCAATTAAATTTACGAACATGTATAAACACGACAAAGACATTAATATATCTATCATAATATCTGCTATACTCAAAAAATATGAGTCAAATATTTGTATACTAATTTTATGTTTAAATATGTCACAACAGTCTGCTTAAAACAATGAGATAAACGCAATATTTACCTTGAAAGTTTAAGGAACAAGTTGTTATTGTACAAAGAAAGAGCAACAGCTGATTGTCACTAACCTGATATGCTGGGGGTCCCAATTGGTCAGACGAGGATTCTCTAACACTATCACTGCCCCTCAGCAAGGAAATATCGTCTGTAGTTGATCTTCTCAAACAGTTACCCATGATTATGCTCGTCATACGATTAAGTCGTATTTATAACCATTAATGTCATATTTACCATAGCTCCTACGAGACCATATTTTTTTCCACATCAGTGTTTCCTGATGTATTAGTTATTTTAAAGCTAATCGTCGTATTGTTATATTCGAACATAAGAACACAGTAATTTGATAAAATACTCACAATGGAGAATACGGAGCTCACAATTACTTTGTTTTTTTTTACTTTTGCTAATTTTGGAGATGTCAAAGTCAATAGTCAACTAAATTTAATTACATTTGCGACATCTTTTCACGAAGTTGCAAATCAAAGCAGGCAATTTCTCGCAAATTTTACATCGAGCTGATTTGCACTATTTTTACAATTTATCAATAAAATCGACAATTAAAACTCACTACAACAAAATTTAACAATTTTTCACGAAATAATTCTATTTTTAAAGAAATATTTACAAATAAAATGGTTGTCACTTGTCAACGTCATTTGCAACATGTGACAATTTTGACGTTGACGTTTGATGACGTACAAATAAACATTAACCTCTGTTTAGAAAAATGTAGAAATTGTTTTAATATTAAAATAGCTTATAATGAAGTAAAGAAATTATGGCTTGGTTGCAAAATCTGGCCGGTCGAGCCGAAGACCTTTTAAATAAAATAGATCAAAATGCAGCCACTGTTTTAAACGAATCAAGTTCAAGTTCAAAACTAGTAGATGATGAGTAAGTTAAAAAAATCTTTCAGGAAACAATGATTTTTAACTTTTAATTTCTATCAGAATACAAGTGCAAGATCTAAATTACGTTATTGGCACAAAAGAAACGGAATCAAACAATAAAATTAAAATTTCACCCCTTAACGGTAAAATAAGTAGGAATTCCAGTTTTAATAATTCTCCTAACAAAGACATTAGTCCTGCAGTAGAAAAGGATGTTACAGATGGCAGCATATTTGAGGTACCAAATGAATCTAATGGTATTTTCAAATTAATTTTTTTTTTATATTGAATATTACAAGTTATTCTTTTATTAGGTGTTGTCATTGGAGACGAATCATACTTAGAAGATTCAGTAAAGAGCTCTTTAAAAAGCGATAAAATGTCATCTTCTAGTTCAGTGCATAACAGGTAAAATAACAGCAATATTTAATTTATTCTAGGTGCGCAAAAACGGTATTTACTGACGTGCTTATAGTTTTGTTTTAGCTGAAGAGACTCAGTTACTGCATGAGAAAATAGCTCGACTAGAGTTAGATAATCAAGATTTGAATAAGCAGCTGTTGAATATGCATCACATCTATTCAGCATTGCGAAATGAAAATTCAAATCTGCAATTTCAAATTGAAAGAGCCAATGAACAAGCGGCAGAAGCTCAATTAGAGAAAGACCAATATTTAGCTAGGGCACAAAGAATCCTACAGGAAAAGGAACACCTGTTGTCTTTAAACCAAGCAGCTACTTCGGAAGACGATAATATATTTGCAAGTTACAACGCAGAACTAAAGTAAGTATATAAATTATTTATTTAAAATGAAGTGTTTAACTTCGGTCATTATAAGGAAAGAGTTGGAATTCCACCAAACCAAAACCGAAGAACTTTCTCAAAAAAACGCCCAGTTGTTAAAAGAAGTTCAATCATTGCAAATGCAACATCAAGTTATTCAAAACGGCTTGCAAGCTACTAATCAAAGTTTAGAACAAACTTTAAATAATGAGAGAAAGATTAGAGCTATAGCCGAAGAAGATTACCAACTAAAGAGTAAAGTAAGTGTTCATAATAAAATAAAACTTTATTTTATTCGATATATATTGCTCCTTAGGAACTACATAAAACTCAACAGGATTTGAATAATCTACAAGGTATTATAAAAATGAAAAACAATGAAATTTGTACCCTACAAGAGACCCTCAAAAATAAAAGTAAAAATGTATCAGACGAAGATATCGAATCGAGAATAAAATCATTAACACAAACTTTGATGGTAAAACAAAATAATTTAGAAACCATCACAACAGAAAGAAATGCACTGAGGCTTCAAATAGAAAAATTGGAGGTAAGGTTTGCATAATCGTAAAGTTGGAAGGTTCTATGCATACAATTTTTAGAATGAATATAAAAAAAATTTGGCACAAATGAGCAAGTCCCAAGCTAAAGTTATTAATATAGGAGAACCAGACGGTAAAAATTAACATATTTTTAAGTAACAACTGTCTGCAATACAACATTTTTAGATTCAATACCAGTACCAGTTTTTATGAGAGTCTCTCCATTTGATGCTGGAGTTACGAGAAGGGTTAAACATGCCTATTCAACTCTAGATTCCGTCAGCATAAGAACAGGAATATTTCTTAGAAGATATCCTGTAGCTAGAGTTTTTGTTTTCTGTTATATGGTATTACTTCACATTTGGGTGCTTATTATATTATTCCTATATGTTCCCAGCAATCATTAGATATAGAAATTACTGTTATTGTATAAAAATATTTTATATTAATAAAAATATACAATGTTATAAGAGGTATCATTTACTTTTCAGGTTGTTTAGCTCGTACAATATTAAAGCTATGCTAAACCTAAATTTATGGAACATTCGTGGTTCCAATTCAATTGTGTATCTACTTCCATCTTTCTTTGTTAAAGAAATTAGAATTAAATTAGGCACTTTTTTCGCTAGAACACTAAAAACAAATTGTATAGTAAATAATTAAATTTTATAACTGGTAAATGTTTACCTGTGATCTAAACTGACATCAATTCTCCATTTTAAGAGATTCAATCTTCCGAAATCCATGGTATAGCTTTTTTGCAGGTTATTAATTATTTCCTCCCTGTTTCCGAGGAACGGCAATTGTTCCAAAAAGCCAGCTGTAAACCCCAGCTCAGCTAGTTTTTCGTTATATTCGTTATCACTACCTTGCAAAAAGATTTCTAGTAATGATATGTATACGCCTAGGACTTCGTATACATGTTCTTTCGGTACGTTAGCATCTCTTGATATCACATCTATAGCTTTTGAACGGTCTTGGGCTGTGGGTAAATACGAAGAGATCGCCACTAAAACAATTACAGGTAACTCAACGTATTACAAAACATTAATTACTAATATTACATTTCAATATTTTATTCCTAAACTCATTGGGAAATTCTTCCGCTAACGTTTTACTAGCTTTTGATAATTCTGTGTAATTCATTATTTATGTTTAAATTAAATATGGCACTTTATTAATATCTAAAAAATTTGAAAGTTTTCAAATATTTTTTCAAAATTCTAACCCCAAAAACATTTTTTATATTGATGTGTCAAAGTCAATTGTCAAAAGTGTCATATTATAGAAGAATTAAATGTAGAGTTGGGACCAAATTTTAAATAATAGAGTATTGTAGTAACTTTGTCACTGTGCTTACGAGTTGAAACTCCAAATTAATTATATATGAGTAAAACGATAAATTCAAGGAAATGCACAACTAGGAAATAAATATAAATAGACCATATGCTTTATTAAATTTTTTATTGAATATCCTATATACTCTGGTACTTTAAATTAACATTAAGCATATTTCAATAAATATTACCAAATTGAACTTTCCAATTTTACTACAAAGTAACAACCAAATTTGGACTTTATTTTAGAAAAATATACATTTTTAAATTACTAGGGTTTGTTTAAATATGCATTTGATTTTTAAAAAGGTATAAAATAGTGTATAAATTAGGATTAAAAAAAATATTGAATTTGTAAAGGTTTTCACAAGAAAATATTTAAAATTACAAAATAGAAATTTTCAGAAAAATAGACATTTCAACAAAGAAAAATTTGTTTTCAAACATGAATTTTTACACTAAGTTAATAATGACAACAAATATAATGCCACTTAAATGGACAGTAGTTGCAATAGATCAGTAAAGTACTAAATTTCTATTTCTGTAATACATATATTCTACAATAGGATTATATTACTGTGGCGGTCAAAACTACAATATGGAAAATACGGACTACTAAAATCTTTTTATTTATTAAAATATATCGATATAAAAAATTCGAACTTGTAGAAAAAAATGGTCCTGTTTTATTTACAAGAATAAGGACAAAACTGACAATATAACAATAAAGTTTTTAAGACATGCATAATACACTTACTAAAATGTTAAAGTAATAAATAAATCTTTGGAATGGTTGAGTAAACCAAATTAACTAAACTATTCCTATAACCAAAACCAAAATTTAGAGAATTTAATTTAGTCGGACGCTCAGTCCAACTTTTTGTCACGTAACATATTTGTTAGAGCGTGCCAAAAATAATTTCATATAGCCCGCGGTTTGTTACATTTACATAAAAATTCAGCTTAAATATTTTACAAGGAGTTAAAAAAAACTTAAAACTTTGTACATTCAGCTTATAAAAAACATTTTTCTTACGTGGCAGGAGAACATTTCGTTTAGTTTTACAAATTCTTTTTGTACAAAAACAATATTTCTGAAAAATAGAAATAACTTTAAACATACAAGTATGCTAATTCTACAAGACCTGTATGGAACAATTATTCTGTACCATCAATTTCATCTTGATTTGATTAATACTAAGAATACATCAAATTGATGAAACAGACATTGTTCATTTGTAGTGCGAAATGTTTCAATCTTATACAGTTCTTAATTAAGTAATTACTATAGTATAATAAAATTTCTAGTACTACAAATGTAGCACTTACATGCGACACTTATGTTAACAATAATAAAATAAATAATTATATATTTAAAATGAAGTAAGTGTTTTTTAATAGAAGAATTAAAACATTCACAGTAATCACAATGCACTTATAAAAATAATTTAACCTTTTTACATAATTGCACAAATAAGATGATGGGACACTTTTCTATCATTGATATGTAATAACAACGTTTTAAATATCATTACATTTATGAAATGCTGTCAGTCAATCTATCAGCCTTTAAATGTAGATTGTAATATTTGCATTGTCAAAATATCTATTAAAATAAATAAGTTCTGCAATTTTTGGATTAAACGCTTCTGTACTGAATTTATCAGTAATCAATTAATCATTAAACTGCTGCACTGTTTTCCTCAACTTGTACTTGTGCATTTGTAAAAGAATATAGTAAATTTGAAAATTTAGGAAGTTACAACCGACAGTGCAGAATTTAAATAAATTTAATAACGTTTCCACTAAAGCCTTAATACAAATCAGGCATTGACGCAAATGAATTTTGTTGTGCTAGATTGCACTAATCATCCTGACGTTGCTTATATAACCAATAACTGTATAATAGAGATCAAGTATCAGGAGGGGGTTTCCCATTACCACCGCAAGGTACATTTGGAGATGAACTTCTGTCTCGACTGTCTTGGTCTTCCAAAAACCTATCCATAAAATCTGTCAAACCTGGGTGAAGGGCATACTTTTTCTTCTCTAACCTCGCCTTGTTTGCAAATATGTCATGTCTTTCTGATTTTTTCCAGAGGTAGTAAAACTGAACAAGCTCACCAACAGACCTTGTTCTGACCTACAAATGTACATTAAATTAAAATTAAATTAACGAGAACAAATGATAATTTTACCTTATCCTGCTGGATTTTGTGAAAATTTTTTCCGTAACACCTTACACCAGATTCGAAATTTCGACACTCCTCTTCAGACCAGAGAGATTCGTTCATAGTTTCCGAAGGATTAGCAGGCACCGTCATTCTCAATCTCCTGAGCGCTTCTTCGACGTTATGTCCACACTGTTGCAGAAGATACAAGGCCTGCTCATCATCTCTTAGCTGAGTACCAGTAGGAATAGGCGGTTTCGTAATAGCTGAAGCTTTCTTCAAAAAATCTTCTACTTCACTACATAACATCACAGACGGGTCCCACAACAGTTTATCTTCATTTTCGTATGGGAGAGCATCATCATAATGGCACAAACCTTCCGGAATCTGGGCTTGATAGTCACTTCCTACCATTATAGTCTGAAACATATACATTGCATACCGTTTACTTTATAGTTAACAATATAAGCAAATGATAATAATGACAAGAACTGAAAAGATTCAATTAAATTATGTACAATAGAAAGCACATGCAGTTAGTAGATGAGTAATGAAAATATAATAACCTTATTAACCTTTCTCCAGTCCTCTTCATCGGGACTATAGTCGTAATCTTCTTCTTCCTCCTCACTAACCCTTGATACCGCTGTAAAAAATGTGATATAAAATTAAATCGAATTAAGGAAACAACAAAGGAAGCTTACACCGTAAGAGGCGAGATTCATCTTGATCTGTTTCAGGCATTGGTTCATAAAGAGCGCTCAATTTTGATGGTTCCTCAGGTGGAGAAGGTTCGCTTTCCTGTTCTTCTATTGGTTCCGACATCTCTGGACTATGTTGCTGTGGTTCTTCCTCTTCTTTCTCCTCTTCTGGACTTTCGTTTTCTTGATTTTCACCTCTATAACCATACAGGGCCAACAATTCTTCTAAAGGCATATTACTCTCCTTAAACGAATTAAAAGTTGTTATTTTCCTTGCTATTTATATTATTGAAGGAATATCAATTACAACATAACTGCGATTGATTACCTTCTGTAAACTGGATAGTTCAGCATCTGGATCTTGGAATTCACCTGCTGCTAAAGCTTCTTCTTCTTCTAGTGTGCGTTCATCATCGAAATCATTTACTAGCATATCAATAGAAGGATCGAATAGTTTATCTTTCATTGGTGACTCGGTATCTTTTCCATCTTTCTGGGGGGCAACAACTTGTTCCATATTATTGTCCAAAACTACATTAATCACTAGTTAGTCCTAAACCAATTTTAAAATATTTCAATATTGAATTTATGAGCACTGATAAATATAATGGAAACCGCACTGTTATAGAATTTTAGAAACCAAAACAGTGGTATTGAGGTTAGGGTTACCATTCTGCAAAATAGGCGCGCTTGTTAATTTCATGTATTTGTATCATGAAACATTCCTTTTTTATTAAAATTTAAATGATGTTGTAATTAAGTACCGTTTCAAATACTTATAAATAGTGTCTTATTCCTTGTGGATTTTTCGCAAAATTACGAGCTTTAACTGCTTGCCAAGGCTGTCAAACAAGCAACATGGTGGAGTCTACATTGGACACTAAACTATTTAATTCTCTTTGTTCCTTATTAAAATGCACTACATAATTTATAAATCAATTCGTTAGTTTAGGTATAAATCACCAAATATAAATAACTTTTTAAACGAATCTGGCGTAAACAACAAGCAATCCTATGTTAGTCGCAATTCACACTTCAAATGTCAACGTCACTTTACTTTTGACACTTGCCACAAAGCAGTATGCAGGCTTACCAATATTTTTGTTAGTTACAAAATAGTTTCCTACTTCCAAAAAACTTGACAGTTATCTGTCAATTTCCCGAGGAGTTATTAAAATTGTTCGAAGATGGCGAGTGAAGTTCAATCTTCTGTAAATTTCCTGTAAAATTTAAATTATAGCACAATATCTTTAAATCAGTAAGTAATTTGATTCTATAGTTAACATTTCATAATATTTAACTATGAGATTGTAGTGGAATTCTAGGGAACAACATTGCATTTTTTAAAGAATCGTAAAAAAATTTTGAAAAAAATTTAAACCAAAAAAATTACTCACGTGAAAAAACTACGCACATTAATACATAAAATGCATTCGTTGATAAATTTTACTTACTTACATAATTATTTTATTTTATTATAATAATTTAATATCTACTGCATTACTGATAATATTTACTTCCGATATATCTAGAATAGGCTTAAATATGAGTATTATAAAAATACCCAGCGTAAAGATATGATATCTACATGATAAATTAGTTACATCTAAATTTCCAGAAATTTAATGTGTTCTGAAAATGCCCAATATGATTTTATTGGTCGATTTTAAATAAAAAATTTAAACAGTTGAACAAAATTAAAAGAAAAGATGAAAAACTGTTTGGAATAACACATTTTTTCACAAATATTATTCCATCATATTTTGATTTTATTAGAACTTTCTTAGCTGGGAGGAAAATTAAATTCGAAAAGTTCCGATGTTATTCTTAAATTTAAGATTTATGAATACGTTAACTAAATGCGGTCAATCGATATTCCCCAAGGCATTAGAGGGTCCAGACTGACCCTTTCATGGTCCATTGGTGTTGCATGCGTTTCCCTAGCGTGTTCTTTCTTGCTTTTACCGATCAATTGCTGCAAATGGATATCGAACCTACAACCAAAACCACTTATCAACTACCGATCACTTTATTTTGGTACGCTCGAGAACCTCACAGATTTTCCACGTGCTCTAATCCCTATTCATAACCAAGTTTCTTGTTTTGACTTCACGGTGTTTTACTTACACTTTTGATAACCGAAAATGTTGGGAAAATTTAAGGACAACTTAAGAAAATTTGACCAAACACTGAAAGTATTGAGCTTAATTAAAATTTAAGATGTTACTTTAACCCTAAACAATCTATTAATTTAGTTTGATAGGGTAATTAGAGTTTTAGTATACTAATCATTTGGGTATAAACTTTTTATACTTCAAATTCGCAAATTTCTAGTATAATATATTATCACAAAGGTTTGACTGTACAATCTCGGCGAAGCAGCGGGTTAACATCTTGAGAGGGGAGTTTGAAATAAATCCCTGCAGCTCGACCGACGCTATGGCCTTAATTGATTTAATTACATTTTGTTAATTAGGGTAGCTGTTTGGAAGCAATTGAATATAACCCTACAACATACCGCTATCGCCAGTGCTGCCTTCTCGGCTCTCGCTATTCTATTTCGACTCGATCCATTCAAGGAAACGACCAACAATCAATTACCAAGCAAATCCTACAATAGATCTATTATTAAAATTATTGGGGAAATTGGTTGTTCTTTTAAAGTTTGTTAATCTGTATTATTATGAATTGTGCTCGGCCTTTGATCATCTTTTTTGTAACTATAACCAATTATTTTTATATTAGAATGTGCATGAAAGGTTAATACCCACTGTTAAAAAAATTAATCAATAATTTGCTTATTTCTACAACGTTAATTAGTAAAAAATGCACATTGTGTGGTTTATTTTTTACTCGTATGGTGCAATTGATTCACAGAAGGAGATTTAGGATCCGTGACTGTCCTCTCCGATTGAAAATGTTCCTCGAAAACGTCGGAACAACGGACTTCGATTAGGTAAATGAAGATTTCGAGCATTTCAAGGGTATCGGAAGAAAACCAGTAGCCGCCTTTACCTTGTTCTCGACTGTCCCTTAGGAAACGAATGGATATATCGACACGCCCGCTACCGTCGTTTAAACAAATTTTCCATTGCACATACTAGCCCCTCTGTTATTTGGTTGGATGTAAAGGTTAGTGTATAGCGTTTAGCTTTTATACGATTTACTAGAAAATTAATCTAAATAGTAATTTTTAATGTATACATATTTACAACAGAAATAATTCAGTTTGTTCGGAAATAATTGTATACCTACCTAGAAATATTAGATAATTGCTAGATTACTAATAATAACTTAGAGACTTAATTTAGTGTAATCAGCATCATAACGGCATCTACAAACTGATTTTGATTTCTTTTTTTTTACATTGCCATGTTTCTCGAAATTAAAATTAGATGCTTTCCAATCAAGAGTAAATATCGTTGATTATACGTGTGTAGAAACTCGTGGTGTATAAACACGTTGCGACCTCTCTTGTCGATTTCATCCCTGTGGTGCTTTGTGGTCAGTGTACACCTGTTGGGAGCCCTTTCAGGCCCTAATTATCTCTTTATCGGGTGGCAATAGTCAGACGGCCACTTTCTCGGTCAACTGGCTTTGTTTGGATTGGGCCGCTTTGAAGGGTACCGCCGTTTCGTCCCGGCATCGGACCATCTGATTATTTCTTGTTAAAGACCTAGATTATCATTTTGAGTTGACCGGAAAGCAAAGTTAAGTAGACATTGCGAAGGGATAATGAATCGGCCGGTTCGTTTCGAAATAAGTATGTTTTAATCAGGCTTTAATCAAAGAATTCTCGTTCGAAGGGTTTAGCATACATCGAATCAATATTATCCCAAGCGTTGAGTACTTGTTAATTACTAAAAATAATATAAATTAGATATATTTATTATAAAGTAAATGAAATAATACAATTTAATTAGGCATAAATAATAAACAAAATGCCGACTCTAGCCACCTGGTGCTTTTCTTGATGACTTCTACAGATGTACAATTAATTTTATCGCTACTTAGATATCTGTCATTATACGTTTCTCTGTTCTGCTTTGCTACATTTACGTCCTAATTGCTGAACGTTCGTGTTTATTAAGAAATCCCAGTTCCTCGACTCCATTCACCGAATGTTTCCTCTTATACTCCCAATATACCCAAACAATATTACAGGAAGGAAATTTCTGATTTCCGTTTCGGTCGAAAGTAAACTTATAACAACAAAATTGCAGTAAAACAATAATTGAAATTCATATTTTATTTTATTTTCCCGGTTATTGATCGAACATAATGCGAAAGGGATTTTATCACAAATGTAACAGCGCCAAATTTTACAGTGTACTTTGCAAATTCTTTACTTAATCCTTCCAATAAATAAACTTCAAAGTTGGATATTCCATATAGCTGGGAATAAAACCATTCGCGAACCTCTCACTCGAGTCAGAGCCCAGGATGAAGAAGATAGTCGATTAGCAATGCATGATAAATCACTCAGTAGTATTTGGATGTCGTGTTGTAGCAAATAAATGCTCGAGCACAGACTTAAGCCAGTAAATGCGCTAATAGCATTTACATAGGATAAACAAAGCCTACTATTAATCTTATGTACTCTTGACGAGAGCTATTCTCAGAGAACTTCGGTAAAGAACACGCCTTGCTTGTGTCTGTTCTCTTCGCGAAATCGCTATGAAATGATGTTTTGCATCGAGATGTTATTAATCTTGGCGAGATGTATTCAGGTGGTGCTTCTATCAATATTGTTTTTCTTCATACGAACAATAAATTAAATTTTAATATAAGAAAACCCAAAAATGATTCATACGCAGGGTAATCACAAATTTAAAATATAACCTATTTATTCAGAACTTCAGAAATGTATTCTATATGCTCTATTAAGCAATTGCAATTTTTTTTTTCATTTAAAAAATCGTAGAGAATTTAAATATTATTGGTTTTCTTGAGGCTTTTTATAATATATCAAAAAGTGAAAAAGTGTTTTACTCCTAGGTCCTAAAGGAATCTGTACCTATAGGTAATGCCAAATAGGCAATTTCGAAGCAATCTTATTTATGCGAGGTTGGACGCTTTCTTCCCTTCCAAGATAATTTGCGGCAAAAGTAAAAGTTGTTTGGCAGAAATACCGGGAATATAACATAAAAATTAACGTGAACATAAGTACTTTCTCAAGTTAGTGTTTAAATGAGAATGATTGCGGAGGAATTGTACACAAGGGTGCTATAGCATAAGAGTGCGACGCGTAAGTGTGTCGTAGACCCAGTGCAGGTCAGGCCTTAAAGATCAAAAGGGTGAAGTTTGATTCACTAGTAGAATTCTCACGTTAAATTTTTTTTTGCAAATCTTGAATCAACCGAATACTTGCAAATTTTTTCTAATTTTATCCATTTATCAAGCAATGTGTAACAACAAAGGAAGCTTGAATAAAAACGTATGAGCTATTTTTTTAATATTTTCATGCTTATAACTCATCTCCAAATGTTTGGTCAATTCGTCTGATCAAAACTTCATTTTGATTGACTAAAATTAGATTTTTATATTTTTTTTCTTTTTCGAAAAAATCTTGACTGAATACGAACCTATTTAATACCTACCCGCTCTGCTTGAGGGGTGTATAGGGTTGGCTCTACGGCTCGATTAAGAACTTTCGCACGCAACGATCCGCTACGTTTGTTTCTCCTTTGTCGTTCCACATAAACTACGATCACCCACAGCCTGCGAACCATCTCCAACTTGTTAACTTTTCATAGGCAATTTCATACAGAGCGAATCACATTAAGAGTTTAATGGGATATTTTTAAACAGTTATTTTCGATATTTTAAACTCCCACAGCAGCGACATTTTTTGATGAACGTCTTTAAATATCAAAATAAAGTGGCTATCGATTTCATCGCTCTATATAGCCTGTTTGTTTCCGGTGTGGTGGAGAAATTTAAAAATATAAAATTTGGGGTGGTTTTCGTGCCGTCTTAATCATTATTCTAAGCTCATTCGAGTGAAATGAAATTTGTGATTTTTTTACCCAATGGAGTTCGGAATGCTGAATTTTAATCGACACCTCCGTTCTATTTGTATATTCCGAAGCGGCGGCCTCGACTCTTGTAATTCTTCAATTTTAAATTGAACTTTTCCTCCCTCATTCACAATCAACATCCATAAATAAGAAATAAATCGATTGGACGATTCTTTTCTTTTTTTTTATTATTACCTTCTCAACACTTTCGATTTTTCTTTTAGAAAAAAAGTAATAAAAATTAATTAACTAATAAATAAATTATAAACGAGGATAAGTTATAGAATTGATTATGTTAAAAGTAATTAATATTTTTTTTAATTTACTTTATTTAACTAAAATAAAAAAATGGGTAAAATAAAAAAACCCAACAGTTAAGAAACGTAAG